ATGTTGTAATGGTTAGCACTCTGGACTCTGAATCCAGCGATCCGAGTTCAAATCTCGGTGGGACTTGATCACAACAATTTATTTTGCTAACTCAAAAGGTTAACAAATATTTGAAATGAAATTTGAAATGATAAATAAAAAATAATAAAACTAAAAGACTCAACACTTCACTTACTCCAATTTGGCGAGCAACGAAAAAAGTAAAACTTCAATTTTCTCTTTTTATGTTAAGATTAAATACAAAAAAAATATAAAAAGAAATGATATTTATCACTGATGAGTAAGCATCAGCTGTACTTATATATTTCTGCAAGATCGTCCGTCTCCATAAAAACCAGCTCGACAAGTGCATTTATATGAGCCCGCGGTGTTGGTGCAGTGAGCATGTTTATCACACCCGTGTAATCTGAGTTTGCACTCGTCCATGTCGAGGCAATACCGGTTTTCCCGGTAACCATAGGAACATTCGCAACTGTATGATCCAAAGGTGTTTCTGCAGCGAGCATTCGGCGGGCATGAATGATTTCCAGATGCACATTCATCGATATCTGCCCAGGAAAGAGAGGTTTGATGATGTTAGAATCACTCTCATCCATTCATTTTTACTTATACAAACATAGTGATAGTTTTTAAGCGTGACATTTGGATTCATTCTGTCTGTTTTCTCTTTTTCCCATTATAGAATGTCAAATGAAATTTTAAAAAAAATTCTCTCTTCATTAGCTTCAAACAGATTCAAGATACTGTCAGTTTAACTGAATGAAAATCAGAAACAGAACTGAAAAACTAATTTTTCCAAAGGTTTCAAATTGACAAACATTAGTTTAATGAATAAAGGAGGTAAGTCTCCAAAGAAACTGTGTTGCTGCGTCCGTGGGAGAGTATAACAGGGTAATTTACTATTATCAACTGAGTTGATAACGCAAATTGGCCACCGTAAAGATTTTAAAAGCTGACGTTTCGAGCGTTAGCCCCTCGACGGAGAGATTAGAGTAATATGGGTTGTGTGTGGGTTTATATGCAGATTATGTAGCTACGCTATTGGTGACGAGAAAACAAGAATAGAACAGTTGAATGAAAAATGTTCGTTGATACCGTGGGGATTAAGAGTGCCGATTTGAAAGATTGATTTTTGTTCGAGAGTTTTGCGGCCTTCCAAACTACCTAGATGTAAGGAAAGGCTGCAAACTGCCGTATACTGCTTGGAATATTTGGGAAGATTAAAGTATTTGGTTTACATGCGTCCTTGTCATTTCTTTCTACGTCGCGAAGGTGTTATCGGAATCGGTCATCTAGTCGTCTTCCTGTTTCACCAATGTATAACTTTTTGCAATGAGTGCAAGTTATGCTGTAGATGACATTGGCGGAGGTTCACGTTAAGTGATCAGTCATCTTAATGAATCGCTTTGATCCCGACATTTTCTCTTTGTTATGAATGAAAGGAGCGCATTTGAAAGTTCCAAGTTGATCATTGGTTTGAAATGAACTTCTGACCAAATGATAGACTTAACTGCGTGGTTGGGAGGTTGAAATGTGAGATTAAATGGAATATAATGCGATCAGTATTTTCCTTCTCAGCCATTTGTAGTGCTGACTGTCGATTAATTTGTTGGGCGCGGTGGTGGCCCGCTTAAACGGCAGAAGCAGGTTAGCCACGTTTATAGAAAAACTGGCACATTGCCTTTGATTTTTCGGAAAAGTCAGAGTCGTCACTACATAAACGACGAAGTGTGAAAAGCTATGAAAAACGTATGGAATTCTTGACGTGTGATGGATGCGAAGATCAATACAACAAGTAACTATGTGAATCTGTAGGTTTGCAGTAAACACTAGTGCATAGAACGTTGCTTTCAATTTTGACATTTTGATACCTAAACATCACTTTAAGCAGCTTCTATAAAGAAAACAAATTTTAATCGTGTTTACACCAGCTTTAAAACATATTTAAGCTTTGGAGTGAATAGTGTATAACAAAGACTAACTCCATGATCTGCAAACTTATACACGAAGAGAATCCCCAATTCCTTCAACTATCAAGTAAAAGTTCCCCATGCAAACAACGTTCTCACCTGAACAAACATGGCCATCCCCCTTAAAACCAACATGACAGTGGCAGTTGCCACTGTGATTATTTCCGGTCAACGTCAGCCGAGATGAGTTTACGGAGCACTTGAGAGTATTTCCGACGTTACTGACCCTGATGTCATCACCTCTCTCTTTGAGTAAAGTGAATAATTCGGTTAGTAATACTCCATAGCGAGGCGAAGCAATATGACAGCTTCTGTGTCTGAACTCTTTTTTGGATGAAGTGTCGTAAGCCAAAAGAAAACTAAGCTCATTGGCTAATTAGAATAAAGGAACGATTAAAAAGCTTAATATCAAATCATATCGTCACTCTGGCGTGTCCAGTACCAACCCAACGACGGTCCCTTAAGTGGTGAAGAGAAAATAAAAACAAACAAACGGAACACATATGAAAAGAAATACGAGAGGGACTGGCTTCTCCTCCGTGGACGGGTACAACTCAAATGTCGCACTCCTATAGCGGTCGCTGTTAATAAGTTACAGAGCTGCAACGCACACACGTTTATTCCGCAGGTAAGACTCGACAGTTCGGGTTCAATTTCCTCACCTCTGGGCATAAACGACAGTCAAATGCTCCTGAGTTTCGCGAGAGGATGTTGAAGCCTCGAATTGATCGGCGCATAACAAGCAGAGCAACAAAGGTATTGGAGGACAAACTTATAACCTCCGCTTCCTGACTATCTTCTGATCGGCCTTCGTAATCTTTTGTTAACACTAAGCGATTGAATATCTACTGCCGGAAATAAAACATAGGTTGTTTATTTCACCGATTTCGACGAAAACCAGTATTTAGGGCCTGATTTACGAGTCTTGAAGAAAAAGTGAGGTTTTTTGAAACCTCTAAAATCGAAGATATCTTTATTAATTCTTCATCCGTAGCCGGCATTAGTCTTGGCTGCTATTTTGATCTCGTTGTTGGGTTTCTATCATGACAGGAAGGCATTCCTTAAAAAAAAAGTCCTTGCAGGCGATCATCAGACATTTCCATAACGGAAATTCTGCAATCATTTTCTCCTCGACGTTTGGCCAAAAGAAAAAAGGCACGCACACACTCACTCACGCAAACGTAGCCGACAAGAGATCGTAAACTGAAAGTAAATGCGAGATTAATTTTATGATACTGACTCAAATTTTTGAGGGGGACCTTTCGCAGGTATGACAACTTCGCTGAGAAAGACATTGACTATAAAATAAATATACATTTGTTTCAAGAATCAGGCAAGAAGTTCGATATTTTTTCCTTCCCAAATGGCGTTAAACCTCTTCTTCATCATAATATGTAAAGGTGTCGTCGAGTTCTAAGTGAAAACGGAAATAATTTGCTATTGAACTCCCTGCCAGACTTTTGAGGTCCAATATATCATTTCGATCTTTCTCATCAAACACATGACCAGCCGTTTTCGAAGGAGCCATTTTTAGTCAGTGACGTAACTGAATCGCAAATTTTTTCCTTTTTATTCTGTTGAGTCCACAATGAGGAAATCGTCCAGTTAATGTCGTGACGCTGATAATTATGGGAATAAAAACTAACAAACACGCCGGAAATCAATGAAATGGACCACGTTGATTATTTCCTTGTGTCTCCTTTCAAAGACAGTCTTGGTAAAAATTTCATTTTCATACGGAGTAAATTTGAAATCTCAAAAACGGAAATATACGAAACAAAACAATACGAAGAAATGAAACCCACAAATTAGTAAAGGAATGTCACTTACAGTTTTGAAAGTCTGGTCATATTTTTTAGAAAACGACCAGACTTTCGAAACTGTAAGAGAATTAAGAAGTGATATGTGGCTAAATTAAATTTTTTTTTCTTTATTTTTCACTAACTTTCTCGAAGAATTTCTGCTGTTTGGCCGATAGTAAGGAGCAATAAAAATGGTTAATTTTCATGCCGAGTTTACCGGGAAGACTGCATAAAAAAAAAATGGAAAATTAAATAAGACTGATGTCTGTTTCAAGACAAAGTGTTTGGCTGTTATATTTGGTTAAGTCTGACCAGCGTCATATCTTATTTCAGGCAAACAAACATTAATCCTCGATGTTTGTCTTGTTTTCTTTTATTTCCGAATACAAACGAAGATTGCCGAGGAAAGGTCTCAGTTTACATTAGAGAACGTAAACGCGGGGTGAAAAACACTTTCACTTTCCTAGAATGCTGCTATGGTAAATATTCTACAAAGTAAATATTCAAATCTAGCGAGCTGTTCGTCTCGGATCGCTTACTCGGTTTCAAAGTTTACAGTCTAGTCAACAGTTGACTCCAATGCATTGTGTTTTTTCTTCAACCAGGTGACTGGTTGATTTAAGTGCCTAGCGTGGTGAAAACCTGGACCGGTGATAGAATATTTGCATTGATAAATGCTCATAAACTTAGTATAATTAGGGACACCACATCATACAATCAGCATGAAGCTTAACCCAACGAGTCTCTCCATAATAGTGAACACGAAACGATAATCTTTGATATTTCTTGCCGACTCATTTTCTGTTAGGAACGTACCATGCGTCACATCAATGCTCTTTAATTTAAGGGTCGACAAATTAATCTAGCTGAGTGAAGCTGGTTACTAGCTCCAGTTCCAGCTTCTTTGCACCTTTTAGTGGCAATTATGTACATTAGATATTAGCTCTAGTTTACAATCGGGACTTTCGATGACATTTTTTCGCCAGTTAGCTATTTTGTTGATCTAAAAGCAGCAAATAGGTTACAATTTAAAAATGATGCGAGAGGTGATGGGGTCGTTTCCCGGGTCCACTAAGTGTGTTCAACAAAGACCTTAACTAAACGTGACAGCGACGGCAAGGAGGACGTGACAAAACAAAGTATCCGATTGGCGGAACGATATTTCAGCACAAAGCTTTGACATGACCTCGTCCATTGACAAACGCAAGAGACAACATTACATTTCCTACTCACCTATCGATAATATATTTATTAGCAACCGTGAAAGAATTGTTCAAGTAAGCGGCAACATTATCTCGGAATTAAGCAATCACTTTTCGCCATTTTGCTTTCTTGGCTCTTCTTGTAAGCTATTTGATGTGTAGAGACCTAAACAATTAGTTCGTGACTTCTCTAATTGTTCAGAGCCCACCTTTCCAAACGAGCTGTCATAAATTGACTTGATCAGTGCTGTCGGCAATAAAACGGATGTTCGCAAATCATTTTCTGCATTCCATAATAAAATCAATACACTCCTCAATAGGCACGCACCTCTAAAACTACTTTCAAAGCGCAGTCTAAGAGGAGCTCAAAAACCCTGGATAACAAAAGGTATTAGAAGATTGATCAAGATAAAGGACGCTCTATTCTACTCTGGGGACACCACTGCCTACAAACTCTATCGAAACAAAATATTAACGCCAATGGGAATTATTTCTAACACAAAGAAAACATGGGAGGGCATGAACGGCTCTCAGACCGGAAACGAAAGGTCCTTGAGGAAATGAACTCTCTCAAATGTCCGACAAGGAACAAAGTTTCTTCCAACTCCTCTGAATTTCTAGACATAGTGAATAAACATTTCTCTTCAATTGGGCACAATCTGGCATCCAAAATGCCAAATCCCCTAAAAAATTTCACGAATATCTACCAAAGATAGATGTGGCTGGTTCCTTCAATTTTAATCCGGTGTCTCATATTGAAATAGAAACTGACATCATGAATATTCAACTAAGTAAAGCACATGGATTATAATTCCTTTCCCATCCGCATTTTGAGATCAGCAAAACATACACTTAGCCGTCCTCTGTCTCGACTTATAAATAAATCAATCGAGCACGGTACATACCCCTCTAAATTAAAACTTGCTAAAATAATTCCAGTCTATAAGAGTTATGATGAATTTGATCCCCATATCGCTTTTATCGGTTTTCAATCGTATTTTCGAAAAAACGATGTACCGTCGTCTAAAATCATTTCTTGAGAAAAATGGTATCCTTCATGATTCACTATACGGTTTTCGTGAAAAAAAGATTGAACCTGCCATTTTGGATATAGCTGCTCATCAAAAAGAATCCAACACGGACAGAAAGTTATACACATGTAGTATATTTTTCGACCCACAAAAGGCTTTTGAATCGGTAGATTATTTAATATTATTGAAGAAATTGAATCACTACGGAATCACGGAATCGTTAACGACTGGTTCACTACATATCTAGTGGGACGTAGACAAATAACTCAAACTTATCTACAAAATTTATCCAATAAAGAAACAGTCTTGTCTTGGGTTCTAGGTTCCCTGCTCTTTCTCATTTACACAAATGATATCACAAATAGCTGCGACCGATTACAATTTCATTTATTTTCTAACGACACTAATCTTTTATTTGCATATCAAAATGTGAAGACGCTTGAATCCATTGTTAATGATGAGCTTTCAAATGTTTACAACTGGCTGATAGCCAACAAATTGTTTTTTAACATTACGAAACTCCGCCACTATGTTATTTTTCGACCTAGACAAAATATCAAGTAAATTTTAGAGCATGTAACCATCATGCCGGTAATTTTATTCTTCTAGAGTGTAAGAAATATGTCAAATATCTAGGCGTGCTTATTGACGAGAATCTCTCCTGGAAATACCATATTCCTCATATAGCCTCCAAAATAAGTATCTCAATCGATATTATTTCTAGATTAAGACATTTTGTTCCCTTGAATACCTTATGTCACATATAAAAATCACTCATCCAGCCGTATCTGTTGTACGGTTTAGTTGCGTGGAGTCAAGCTGACAAGATCCATATAGAAATAGACTTTTACTTCTTAAAAAATGTACCTTGCGACTTGTTCTTTGGTGAATTTAATGCTCATGGTATACCTTTCTTTATTTCTTCTAATCTACCCCTTGGATTTTCTTTATATAGTTCAAATCACCAGCTGTGTTAATGCATGATGTATTCAATAACCCAACGCCACCTCACATAACTAACATATTTACTTATCAAGCCAATATCCATTTCTATAAAACACGATCGTCCTCAAGAGGTACTTTTTCGTTAAATACTCAAGATTGAACTCGAAAAATAAATCTTTTTCTAGATATGGCGTTCTATTTATCTGCTATACTATTATAGCTATATAACTTCGTAACTTATTTGTTTGTAGCTTTCTTTTGTAGAAACTATTCTTTCCATTTCATTATTGTAATTTCTCATCTTAGTACTCTTGTTATTGTCACGATCAAGTGTATATTTATTTCTTTTCTGTAATTTGTTACTGGAGTAAGCTGCGTGAAACAACTGCTCGCTTCGACTTGCTGTTGCTATCTGCGAGCAGTAAATATACTAACTAGTATCAATAAATTGAATTGAATTAAAACCATAGCAAGAACCACAATTTGGAATCTCATCGCGTAGTTTAAATCTAAAAGAAACTTTGGACTTTCAATTTAAAAAAAGTATCGAAATGCTTAATGTAAGCAAATGAATAGGTTATACTTAACTAACTAAATACTTCATAACAGAAATACAGTCACAAGAACGAGCTGGTTGCGAAAACACAGCTGGCGAGCAACGGGCAATGGTAGGTATATTCACCAGCGAAAAAAGACGAACGACATAAAATATAGCGAAAGCAGATAAACAAAATTGATTTTGACGTTCGTTACAGTACAATAAGGTAAAAACAAATGAAGATATCATCTGTCCTCTATATAATTGACTCAGGCCCGATCCACGCACCTGGTTTTTACAAAGATGATTTATTACCATCAATATAGACTTAATATGGTAAATGATGTCTGCAATCGAAAACTGAATCTGCACATATGACGGAAAGTTGTCTTAACAATTAAACTTTTTCAGTACCCTTCTGTTACATGGAATAAATAGTACTTTGACCCGCTGATGATTAATAACTGAGTATAGAAACAATCTTCCCTAGTAAGCTAGAATTAAAGCAATTGTAGATAAGAAGCCGAAACGATTCAGGCTTCGACTGTGCTGGAAAAACTTGACTTTTTCACGTTTATTTTCTGCTTTAAGTGTAGCTTACCTGCAATGATTTTTCCTAACTTGTGACCAACTGTTCATAAACGAAAACTTACCGCAAAAATCTCCACGAATGATAGGCGCGGCAACGCCGAGTAGCACGAAAATTATGATTACTAACAAGAGATCGACAACGTTTCGTGTCGTAGCATTGTCTGCCAAGAGTTTGCACTGAGAGACATTGTCGTGATTTTCCTCTCGCAATCGTAATTGCAAAGTAGTTTGCGATGGAGCCATTTTCCTTTATCCAAATACGTCACACGGGTGTCTACTTCCTGAAATTTCTTTATTTTAGAATTCTAGGAAACCGAGGACATTAGTGCGCATGCCAAGCTGGAATTTCAGGGGTGGGAAATCATTGGAAGAGGTGGGGGGAGCTACGGGTTTGTGCGTGAAGGCAAAGGCCTCTTTTCCATGTGGTGCTGTGTGCTGTCTCAGAACTTTTGTTGGGCATCTTACAAACTGCTTCTCCCCCCCCACTCTCAACTATTGTCAGCTTTATTGTAATGCATGTCGTAATGCCTCTCGCTTACAACATTAATTGTCCAATTATTTATTTAAAGAACCATCATGACTGTGTTTTGCAGAATCAAGAACCTCCTGATGGCAAATATTGGCGCATTCGGAATTGGAAACCTCTAGGTACATTTACTGTTTGCATTAATAATAAGACATTAATAACATACGCCACAAATTAAAAACCCAGACGTCAAATGTTCTCGCGTGCAGACCATACTTTTCGAACCAAACTTTACGTTTCATAACAGAGCTATTGTCGCGTCGGAGGAAGATAGCATGTAGCTAAAGCACAGTAATTCATAAACTTTACCAACATTTTCAAATTTTGTATTTAACAAATAAATTCCGTGTTGCTTTACCTCTGCCAGAGGTCACACCACAGACGGATCACACATTGGGTTCGTGGTTAGTTGTTGTTTAGATAAGGCGAACAAACTCCTTGAGGGTTAAGAGTAAACCACTTAAAATTGCACATCTAAACTTTATCTCGGTCTGAATATCTCAATAAAGTTAAATGAAATGTTAATCGACTCTTTAGGCCGTTTGAAGCGTCTCTTTACAAAATTACTTTCGGTTCATTCCGGTTGCCTTCTGCGCGTGCTCAAAGTAGAGCACACGGTCCACTACGCCAGCGGAAGAAGAGAAGAACGTAAATTGTCTTTGTGTACGTGAAATTAATAAACACTCCTCGTAACTAATCGATAGGGCAATTTATAGACCAGAAGATGATACCGAGATTTTTTCCAGTACACCTTCCGGTGCTCCTAGAACTTTGGAAGTGAAAGAAAAAGGGATGTGATGGCTTTTTACGCAGCTTTTACGCTGTTTTCAGGTTCCCGCGCGGGGTGAATCGATTGCATGCTAGTTTGTTCGTAAAGATGGACTTTGAACAAGATGGGTGCAGCAGTTTCATCTACTTAAAAATAGATGGGCTTAGAGGACATGAAAAAGGAACAACAGCAAACTCTAGAAGCAATTGGTTTAGGTTCCAGAGAAGTTCTCCTTTTTCTACTCCTGATGCAAGATGATGATGATGATGATGATGATGATGATAATGTTATTATTTCAAGTGAGAATAAAATCATTTAACAGTTATTGTACTATTTACTTGTTCCAAAAGAACTTTAGGAAGCAAAAATAAAAATTGTTATTTGATGTATTACATTTTGCTAATTTTTGAGACTATCATTTGCTGTTCAGTTGTTCAGTTCAGTTTCAACTAAGCTAACCAGTTATTGTCATATTGCTAACCAGTTATTTGCCACAAATAGGGAGGCAGTCAAGAAGTAAGTTTTCCGTAGATTTCCAGGTTATTACAGTTAATTTTCTGTTTCTTTAGAACACTTGTAAAACCGAGTGCCAACGTGGCACTCGGTTAAATACGGTTATGCCTCCGTATTGAGTCTTTGGTCTTCTTCAAAAACCAGCAGTTCCAGGTTTCTGTACACTGTTCACCTCCTCTAGAAACTGATATTTGGCACATGCTTTGACACTACAAGGTAGTAGGTAGCAACATAATAAGTTTTGCTTTTGCATCTGTAAGGTTTATCTGTGATGCAACCCATGGCATACATAACTTCATCCTTTTCCAATTTAGTACTAGCATGTTCTGTCAGCTAAATATAAAACAGAATATAACTCTCCTTATACTGATAAATATTTTCATTTTGAATGAATTAAACTCTGTTTGATGTTTGTGATCACAGTAAATTGAACAAAGATATTTTGACATGGCATTTTGAATGACACACATGCATAATGTAATGGTGAAAAAAAAAATTGCTCATTATTATCCAGCGGTAAATATAGCATTATATAAAACCTTCATACTTAGGAACCTTAGGATTTCTATGGTCAGCCTTCTCAAGTATTTCAATCCCTGTTTATAGCTTGGTTAAATTAGTGTTAAACTGTAGGTGATGGAAAAGGAGGATTTAATGTGTCGCTAGGTTCATAGATAAATATGAAACGGTTACTTCTGTGTTTCCATCAGAAGGGTCTTCTTGGAGTACCCGAGACGTGCGTATAATAGATCTTTAGAGTGGTTTACTTGCGGTAAAGCAGACTGTGAAACTGTCTGAGGGGCTTTGGATGGCGATAGACCTCATTTCTGTTTTTTCAAGAGAAAGCACCCTTTTCCTCGCGATTTCCTTACATATGTGGGCTTCTCGATCTCTTCTTTGATACTGAATACTATGCTATTCTGATGTCGAACTCCGTTACACTAATACATTTCTGTACGCTCGCATGGCCTCTACAATTCCTTCTTTTCTGCTTTTTACTCAAAACAAATTAATAACAACGACAGCAATCCATCGTTCCATGAAGAAAAGCTTCCCGCCATTGCGACACGCAGCGGCTTTGCTTGGATGTTTTCTTACGCATCGACATGCAGGTTACAGGTGAGAACTTTCACGCAGAAAAAAAAAAACAACAGCAACAGTAACAACAGTATAAACAATTCAAATTTATCGTTGTTATTGATCTTTTTCCGGCCCGATCGATCCTTTCGTAAATCACACTTCCTGTGTGGTGTCTATTGATTTGCTTTTAACCAATCAAAAACACTGAATTAATCCATTCTCCCCGAGGTCTTTTTTGGCGACCATATCGCTGACAAGGAACCAAAATGACTCTGGGCTCGAGATTGAGAAGACAGCTGTTTAAGGGTTAAGAACTTAAGGCTAATGTTTATTTAAATATAACAATACTTTTTAATGAGCGGTCCTATGGTGTAATGGTTAACACTCTGGACTTTGAATCCAGCGATCCGAGTTCAAATCTCGGTGGGACCTACAAAGTAAATCATGTTTTTCTCTCAGTGGAAAATATAGGTACTTATTTCAAGATAACAGAAATAGAGCTGGAAGAGACAGAAATATTCACTCGGAATGAAATGCGGGTAAGTAACCTTTTATGCAAAATTTTGAACTAATCGTCATACGTATTAGTTCTATTTTTACCTGCCCCGGCACGCAGTTTCATGCATGGACGACGTTGGACGAAGTCGATACAGTCCCGACATCAATTAGACTAGAGTGTGAATTTTAATATGAGTTTCTTAAAATTTGTCTTGAATGGTATCTGTGGTCCCATGGTGTAATGGTTAGCACTCTGGACTCTGAATCCAGCGATCCGAGTTCAAATCTCGGTGGGACCTTTACTTTTCTTTTATTCTTTTTTTTATTTTTCTTAATTACCAAAAGCAGGTAAAATGATTTGTATCTGGGGTGACACAGAGTGAAATGAAGTAAAGTGAACTGGCCAGTGAGAAAGTCTCTCAATAAAATCAATTCCAATTTTCACAAACTTTAATTTCATCACCCATTAATACAATTGCTAATAATTTTAGGACAAAATATATTAATATTACATATATTATATTATATTTAACAGTTTGAGAAAATTACTGCATAAAAACAAATGGGTTTTCTACCTCTCTCATGACCTTAAAAATAATGCTAAAAGATCATTTTGATGACAGAACCCTCACAAAATTAGTGTCAATTCAGTCAACAACATCCCTGTGAAGTTTACAATGATGTGTTAACCCTTCAACTCCCAGAAGTGATTAACATGTTATTTCTCCCTATAGTATTCACACATTATCCAGCAAACTGGTAATGAGAATACTCAAACTTATCAAGTAGAAGTTGTTCTTTTGATCTAACATCAAATTCTTGAAACCAATTACAAGGAAATGTCTTGCAGCTAGAGGGGAGAATTAACCTTCAGATCTTGAGAGTTAAAGGATTAAAATAAATCTTATAACGTATCTCCTTTAGCTTGATGGCCCTTTTTTAAACATATTGACCTACTACATAATAGATCTCTTAGTTATTTGATGCATAAATTTTATTAAATAACAGGTTTTACTATCAATTAAATCCCCTAAAAATTAAGCCAATAATCTTGGATAATATATTAAATTTTGCTCTCTTTAAAGAACACAGCTTCATAAAAATTTTCTTTCTTCTTAGATGAATGTCAATAAGTCTCTTTTACAATGCTTGATGTCTACCTACAATGATGCAGAAAAAAACTGTTTCTTTCTTTTAAGCAAAATATGAATCATACCTCTGTACAGTGTTAAACAGGCCTTGGACATTCAGTACAGACACATAAAAATCAATTGAAATAAATATTTCAAAGTGTAGTAGAATTCAAGGTCTCCACATGGTTCATGAAATTCACAATAAATTAATTACCAGTATGTTAAAATTTGTGTCAACAAAACATGAAGCCCTCCTCTCAGTTAGGTCCTTCTTCTTGTAAAAGGGATAGTTACTTGAATTTTTTTAATGTTTTCTGTTTTATATGTAGTTGGTCAAAGAAACATTACTGAGAGTAAAATTTCAGTTTCAAAAATCTTCAAATAATTATCACAGATATTTCAAAATAAATTACATTATTATACATTGTGTAATACATGTACATGTAGGTGTAGTGTTGTAAATTTAACCACAACAATTCCCTATTAGGGTGGTCTTTTTAGGGGGCTGGGGGGGGAGGGGGGGAGGGGAATACCTTGGCTTCTATAAAGTCTCTAGTTGAGATGGCTGACTAAGTTTCTAGAAAAGAAGAGGATTGCCTATCCTACATCTATATGAATATCTCTGTAACCAAGATACATATTTTCCTACACCACCACTTTCAAGTAGTTTTGCTCCTGTGATGAAACTTAGAAAATCATGCCTTGTTCATTATCTAGAAAGCTAGTTCAATTATCAACCTACAATGGAAGGGAGCAGAGCCAGATAATGGTACATGCACAGGCTTTTAACGGGACTTGGATTTCTTGCACAGAAATATGGGCCACCTCAGAGGCCATTCATATTCATTTGGCACCTTGCCAGACACCTTTTCCTCAAAGAACCAAAAAAGGGGGAACCATATGCGTGTCCTTTTGCTGTCAATCTGTTTGAGTGCTCGAGTGTTGGCAAGAGTATGGTAGTAAAGGAAGAGACGAGAAGAAATGTAAAAAGCAATAACAACATCAATGGAATAATGCTCATGGGCAGCCAGGATGAAGAAAATTCCAAACATATTCAGGACCCAGCAGCATGTGTGCAAGTAGTACATGTAGTATGGTGTATCTGTAAGAAAAAAAATGTTGCACAAATAAATATGTGTTTTATGAATAATCTACTTGTTGTAAACCCTCACTTAACCAAACTGACCTCTAACAGTGACTAACATCTAATTTCTCCAGCTAATATCATTCCTAAATCAAACATCAAGGTAACAAAAAAAAGAGGAAATGATCACAAACTAAAGAAGCTCTTGATTGTAAACAAAGTCTCCTTTTGTCAGCCCCTTAGGAAATGTGTAGAGAAATGTAAGGAAAACATGCTGATTTCAGGGAGTAAAGGGTTAAGATGTTTGCACCCACAGGTGTGTACTGAAACATAATAATACTTAACCTTGCAAATGAGAGAGAAATTGGTATTACCAAAGCTATTGAGTTCCAAACTCATCAAGTCAATGAATTGTTTTCAATTTTTTCACTCAATGAACAAGAACACAAGTAACTAACTAAAGGTACAAAATGTGCTTGTTCCACAACTGTCAACAAAGAATGGTTCCAGCATTGCTAATACAAGCAGTAGTCTGGATGTGAATCCCCAACTTGTATTAAATGTAATGTACCACAGAGCTTATCCAACTATAATTTTCCTGCAGCTTAGTGATTCAGTTTTAGACCATCTAACTTTTGATTGAAAGGATCTAGAGTGTGTTTGCACACTCGTCACTGACTTAGATACTGTTCATCTTTCTCTTAAACTCATAAAAAATCAGTCAGTACCTTTATTGTTATGTTCATTTTTTTTAATGGTTTAGAATTCCTAGAACCAGTTGCATTTTCAATTCCCTTTGTTTTATAAAAAAAATGAATACCAGACAAAATAAAATAAAAGTCAAAGTAGCTTGAAAAATTCTAATTAAAACCAATTAAACATTTAAAGCATCTTCCTCTATCATTTCTTCAGTTCAATAATGTAAAAAATATTTACAGTAGTAAGTTATCAATATGTAACTGTACCATGCATATGAAGCATGAACAATGGACAGATAAATACAAGTGATATGAAATAACACTTAGAACTTACATTCTGTTACAAAAAAATTCAACAAGGTGATGGTAACCGTGTGGCCACTAAACATGTAGTCACCACATGTACGCACACCATTTACTGACATCCCAAAACCAAGCAGGATCTCGAAGGCTCTTCTTATTTTTGCCCAAGTGTCACCATACAACTACAAAAAAATAACAAGAAACAAAAGATAATGAGAAATAATCTAATACATCCTACTTTATTCTACCATAAGCACGACTGACCTAAAACAGGCTACTGGATGTTGTTCTACATTAGAGCCTTAAATCTGTGGAGCTCATCAAAAGTTTACAAACTGTAAAACGCTGTAAGAAACAGATTTCAATTAAGATTAATTTTAGAATTTGTTGGTACAAGGGCTTTATGAGAGCTTTAATGTTTTAAAGATATTTTTCATTTATAAGGACTGCTATCCACTCCACTGTACCATGAAGAAGGACTCTAGTCTTCGACATAATTTAACACTAACACTGCACTTCAGTTTGAACATGACCACCTATGAGCAACATGTTTTGCACACTTTAAATAATACAGTCAAACTTTGATTGTCTGGACCTGTGAGGACTGGCTGAATAGACTGGAAAATCGAGAGTCTGGGTAATTGAAAATATAAATGTTGATGAGTCAAAAATAGATGGACATTCTCAAATCATTGTGCACCATTTCCAAAATTTGTCAGAGTATTTAAAAAAGTATTTTATGACCTAAAATTTAGACACAAAATCAGTTTTTTCAAGCTGCTACAGTGTTTGTGTGCCACTAAATCTATCATTCTTTGAAGCTGCATAAATGGAAGTGCATCTGCTTTGTTTTACGGGGAACCAGTTGTTGCAGATCTCCAATGAGACTAATTTGTGAAAAAATAGAACCAGAGAAGCCAGTCTAGATAATCGAAAAATCTGGATAATTGAGGTCTGCATAATCTGGTTCTAGTATATCCACATTTGGCATCATTTCAAACAGAAAAATTTTGCCAAAAAGAGGTTCCAAGATGATTGTAAAAAGCAAAACAGAAAATTATTACACAGCAACAGCCAGAAACGTGATAATCATATCAATAAGTAATCAAAGCTTGAATGCAAAGTCCACTAAGAAGTATTCAAATTCTATATGTGTCATTAATGATTCATGTCTGGCAGAACACATTAAAGCTACCACAACTGTAAACAATATCTGCCTGTTCTTACGGCAAATTTTAACTATTATGCCACCAATAAGCATATTTCTCCGTCGTGTTTAACTGTTCTTCTAAGTGATAAAAAATATCTAGCCCGGTCTAAATAAGGTCGAAAATCGTGAGCTTTGAGTTCATAATTTGTTTACACGTACCTTTGACGTACCTCCAGAGCACTCCAAATGGATTCCAGGAACGCTGAGAGACGTCACGAACATTGTAACACACCGCAGAAGAAACACTGTTCCACACAAAGCAGCCATTCTTCTTATCACGATAACTCTGTGCTTGTGGAAGAACAAAACCGTAGTTAAAACGGCAGTTAAAATAAGCGCTGTGACCTCACACATTTGAAAAGCCCACGGTATGAGCGGTACATTGTCCAGGACTATGTCAGGTAGAGGAGGATACTTCTTCATGTCTGGTACGCGATCGTGGACGAAAACCATTACAAAAGAAGTGACAAAAAATACTGAAAACGCATAAACCAAACTGATCAACGTTCTCCCTGTTTCAGAGATATTTGAGAAAGGATGAACATCAGGCCTGTCATCATCGATATCAGAATCCGAAAAATCGCGTCGTCTCAGCTGTCCCACAAAACCGTCCACGCTATCAATCTGATCAACAAATTTTCGTTTAACGTGTCCATTCGTAGCATTAGGGAGTGCTAAGTGCGTTGGCCTGCTGTGTTTTCTTTGAAGAGAAGCAATCGCCAGAGATAAACGCTTGATATCGCCAAGGACTTTCAACTCAAGCGGGGGATTTCTTAAGTCATCTTCATTGAGGACGAGAAGAGCACCTCCGTCTATCTTATGTTGCTTCGCAAATAGATCCGCATGATCATCGAAACCGTTTTCTTTAAGCCACAAGCCCACATCTTTACACGTCCACTTGTGTACGTCTTTCCCAAGCCTCATGACTTGCTTTATGGCGACGGCTTTTAATATGTTGATTATTCTTAACTTATGTTCTCTGGCTTAGCAGCCACGCTTCGATTACTTGCTACCAGTCTCTCTCGTACACTACGTCTTCTCGAAGCAACTTTCCCAGGTCGGTAGAGGTCGCCATACTTTGTAAAGGAAGTGCCCTTCTTCCTTCCAGTGTCTCCAAATCACGTCTAAACTATGGTAGATTACAGTAAATGGGATCATATTGAGGTATGTATTTATAGAATGAGCTTATTTGGAATGTTCTTCCTTTAATGCACCTTCTCAGTTGTAAATCGTACGTGTTGTTTAGTCTCAAGTATTGAAATAAATTAAGTCGACTGCTTAGAGCTTGTTCTCGTTCCAGCCTTTCTTCAGTTTGTTTTGTTCGTTTTTCTTAGTTTTGTATTTCAATTATAATTCCTGTATTATTTTCGAGCACAAAATAATCTTCAGAATATTAAAAGCACTCTGAGGTATGCAAGGCCTTTTGGGGTTTAAATGGCAATTACCCAAATTGCACGAGCAAAATTGAAATATGTGAAGGATTCTTTCAATTCTGGTCAAACGACGCTATCGTGTGAATGGCCTTTTTTGGGGTGGTATTTAGACAAGAGAGTGATCCTTTTGGCAATCTTTGGTGACAAGGCTGTAATTTGAAGCAGAAAATAAAACAAGTTTGAGGACAATAATATTCCGTGTATAGAACCTGAGATTTAAATAAGACAATCTATCCGGCGATTTAGACTTTTCTTTTTGCATTTAGAACTTCATACAAAATGAATGTTGCTAGATGCAAATGATACAATTGAATGATTCCACCTTTCCAAGTTTTTACTACAATTGGATTAGAAAACATATACATGCAGTGTAAGTTAATTATGGTTCAGACCACTATTTGTTGAGGTGAATAGTGACAGATACTTACCAAGCTGGAAATTAGCAAGGTAGGCAATCACCAGTTCTCTTGCACTGAGGTTAATAATTATATCAGTATATGCTGTATAGGAACCCCAGAATTGGTTTAATTCTGTCAACATACTGATTAGTGGTTACAAATCAAACTTGTGATTCATGATTTTGTCTCTTTGGCTGCTTGGGGGGTGAACTTTACATTGCACTTGCCAATTACTGCTGAGGTAAGCAATATAGGTGCACAAAAACTACAATTCACCTGTGTAGTCTATATTGAATTAGAAAATTTGTTTGAGGTTCCCCTAGTACAGTGGGTGCTGCAATACATGAATTATTCATGCCCAAAATGCTTTGGTGCTCATGGAATACAGAGGTCAAAATAGATAACTTTAAAGTGGGCTGAACATTTTAAAAACAATTATGTGATCTCTAAGAGTTAACAGTGATTTTGGCATCTGAAGGTTACAAAACTTAATGGATGCCATCCTGAAAAATATTTCTACATGCACGTTTTCTTAAGAAACCACCACAATTATAGAACTGTTATGTTTCAGTATTAAAAAATTGGAAATGTGTGACATTCCAATGCTGCCTAAAGGGAATTATTTGATTTAGAAAAAGATGGTGGCACTCTTTTGTTCCTGTTAACGCTAAGGCCAATTGACAGAAAATCCCATTAACTTTGCCTAAATAAATTGATTTGAAGAGGAGTCATCTCACCAAAACTCCATAAGGAGTTTTTGTCTTCTCAAGGTCAAAAAGCTTGTGTTATGTTTTTATGAGAATTATGTCAACACTGGGATCACATTGTGAGTGCCCATCCATTAATAAAAGTAAAACCACCGACATTCATAGCAAATAAAATGGCCTATGATGGAAAATGATAGTTTTCCAGTCATGTTTTCTCCAGTGCGTTTCTGTGGGCATGTTTTGGTGGTAAGGTGTGGGCTAAAGGGTTGCAGTGAAAAAATGTCAAAGGTTATTGAAGTCAATGATTCACATTAGTCAAACTTATACTGCATTTATCATAACTGTTACACTAACAATTAAAAAAAAAAAACTTACAGAAGTCAACCTCTTGTTTACCTTTTTGAAATGGTTTTTGATTTAATTTCAGTCTCATCATCGCATCTAAATGTTATATTTTGGTTATTTTGTGTATTTTTTAAGGTTAGTGACGATGAAGATGACACACACCCTAATATTGATACGCCAAGTCTGTTTAGATGGCGGCACCAAGCCAGAGTGGAAAGAATGGAGGAAGCAAAGAAAGAAAGAGATGCTGTTGAAACAAAGCTTTCAGAGTGAGTGTTTTACCGTGTGATGTGTATTTACTTAGGATATGTGAGGAAATATTTTTAGTTTTGGATGATTTTTTCCAATTTGTTTTTTAAATGTAAACACAATCCTCACTTAATTAGTTATTAATTGTGCTGGTCACTTTGATCCAATATACCGAAAGTTCTTTGTCACAGAAAGGAAAACAAACCAAGAAACACAACATGTACCTAATTATTCACAGTGTAGGGTTAAATAGCTAGGCAGTTTTTATAAATTGAAACTTAAATGTATTTTTCATGTAAGAATGTGTCTGTGGATAACATAGTTTACTACATAACTCTTTAGAACAATTATAAACTGAATTTTGATATTAGTATCAATTAATTTGTTTATCTATTTTCCAATTAACCAGGCATAAAAAGAGGCTTGAACAGGCCAGAGAAAACCTGAAAGCTGCAGAAAAAGCAGAGGACAAAGGAAAAGAAGAGAAATTTCGTAGAGAATTGGAGCATTTGGAGAAAAAGGTTTGAATTAAACCAGTCCTGTTTTTAACAATTAAAAAAGGGAAAAAGAAAATGTCTCAGTCTGTACTTTTATATGGAAGCTCAACATGATAAATCCACCAGGGTTAATCATTCTGCAAGACCAGTTTGACATCACTTAACCCTTTAACTCCCAGATCAAATTTGTCTTTCTCCTTTTTGTCAACCATACAATTCTTATAATGTTAGGTCAGAGAATTTAGTATTGGATCAACTAACTATCCCCAAATTGACATTTTTCTTTATTCTCATCACTTATCTGGTTGATATTGTATTGATATTAAAAGGAGCAATTCTGTCTTGGTCACTCATGAGAGTTAAAGGATTAATACCAAGTTAAGAACATATTAATCAGTTTAAGCCTTTTTTGTCCATAGAACCCTGTTACATGGTTGTATTTGTATGTTTATATTTAGCTGAATTTTGAAAAATTATTTCTAGATGAAAGAACTTAAAAAGGAAGATGAAGAACTGACCAAGAAAGAAAAGGTGAGCCCTTGATCAACTGTTTTGTTTGTAGGCAGGTATTCATGAAGCTACAGTGAGTTAGGGTTAAGGATGTGTACCAGAGATGTTTGACAAAAAGGATAATGACAGTTTATGTGGAATCAGCCATGATATTTTATGCCCAGTCCACATTTGTGCCAACTCTCTTGGTTTACCCAGGATTCTCTTAAGAAACAGAATGAAATTCCATGGCAATCACAGTTTGCAAAACATTCTGCCTTCAAGTAACCAAGGTACGCGTAGCTTTTCAGACATGGGTTTAGGTTGGTGTCTCAAAAGTCTTGGGAATTTACCATTCATCACCCAGTCCCTAATTATTGCTCCCCAACCTCTAACTCCTAAGATCTGATTTTTTTAAATTCTCCATTCTGGCTGTCACATGTTTCCTTGTATTTGATCTTGGTGACAACTTCTCCCTGATAAATTTGGCAATAAGTATTCTCATAACCTGTTTTGCTGAAAAATGTTTGGAAATCATAGGGAGAAGTTACATGTTAATTAGTTCTGGGAGTAAAAGGGTTAAGATTGATTGTACACTTTAGGTATCAGTTACAAGTTCATCTGTATCAAGTTGTACCCTATTTAGTGGTCACTCTGTACTAAGCAGTCTGTATTGAAAGTCCCACAATTTGTTCCCCTTTTTACTCTATTTTTCTTTTCTACTAACCCTTTGACCTCCTGAGAGTGAATAGTGTCTAATTTCCCTCCCCACCCCCCCCCCCAAATCACACTTTAAAGTCACAAGATCAAAGAAAATGATCAGTAATCCAAGATGCTCTTCATTGTGAAACAAATTCTACCTGTCAGTACTTACATGTCGAATAGGGTTAAGCGGTCACCTGATTCATGGTCATCCTTTGCTGAGTCCTAACAGCCTGTTTGTATTGTCTCCCATCTGTATTGTACGATCACTTACTGTAGAGTAAAACCACTCATTCCCAAGTAAAACTAAGAATGATCTTTCAAGTAAATTTAATCCATGTTTATCTTCCAAAATCAATGTTAGTAGTATTAATTTTTTGAGGGAGGTGTTGTACATTAAGTGGTCAATTATAGCATTAAATGGTATTTCTTTCATATATTTTATAGTATCCCTCTTCTGTAGAACCTGTTTTAAGTGGTAACCCTGTCACTCCTAGTGGGTGCCCACTTGGTGTAGGTCTGAATTTATAATCAATATTGGATATTACTGTGCTTTCATGCACAAATCAATTATGTTGATTTGTTTTGCAGAAAGCTCCAAAGAATGTGGACACATTGAGTCAGGCTGGATTCACCAGAACAGTAAGTTGACATGAAGAAAAATTCATAAAACTGAGGACTCTGTGATTGTTAAATGCTTTCAACCAATTTATTCCAAGATATGGCAGTCTTAAGGGAATTAACTATCTATCTGTTGTTCTTGACCAAGATTATCAACGCTCCAAAGAAACAGGATGAAAATTTAACAGAAGAGGAAAAGTTAGACAGATCAGTAAGTGCAGTGTATATAACTAGTGGTCTGTGTCTGAACTGTTTTGGTTTTTACGCCCTTAACTTGCAACTTTTAATTTTTTTTTTGTTGTCATTCTTCTGATGTTCACTACATTTTTCAAAAATAACACTTTTAAAGACACTTGACTGGCTTGCTATTTTTATTGTCTGTGGAAAGTGTTGAAACTTAAGTCAACCACTTTTGGGCTCTTGGAAAACTACAATACAGTGTTTTTAAAAGCATTTACTTTGTCTTACTAGTTTTTAGGCCATATGTTTTTTTTTTGTTTAGAATTCAGTCATGTTTGCCATGTAAACTCACAGTACATGTAATTTTTAATTGAAAACTTTTCCAGCCTAACCCTTTTACTCCCAACATCTGATTGTTAATCCTCCTTCATGGCAGCTACAGATTTCCTTGTAAACTAATTACTAGTTCAATCAAGATTAAAACTTCTACCTGATAAGTTTGAATACTCTCATGACCTGTTTGCTGAATACAGTATCGATTTGATTGAGAGAAGTCACATGTTTGTCACTCCTGGGAGTTTAAAGGGTCAATATCATCTCTGTTGATGTGTTATCTTCATTTCCCTCACTATGTATGTATGAAAACCTCAAATAGCTTGGGAGAAATTAAAGCCAGTTGTAGCATGACGGGCAATGTTGTAAGAGATGATAAATTAATGAAATTAGGTAATAAACAACCAAGGCATCAGAAGTGACAATCATGATAGCAAAGGCCAACCTAAAGAGAAATCAGAGCAACACAAATTTGACATTTGACAATTCTTCTCCAGCCCAATGACTTATTGGAATAACTAAACTCATGGTACATCATAACACACACTTGAACTTATTTTCATGATTTTTTCTCCCTTTGTGTGATTTTTTAGCAAGCCTTTATGGATAAGTACAAGAAAGAAATAGAACATTTTGGAATGTTGCATGAATATCATGACAGTGAAGATTATCTTCAGAAAAATCCCCACCTGGCTTGTGAGGACACTGCCAACTACCTGGCTTTGTGGTGCATCAACTTGGAAGTTCAAGAGGTAATAATATCAGTGGTCTGTAAGAAGTGTGATTATTCAAATATTTGTTCAAGTAATGACATAATTACATTCTGGGTTGAGGCAGTGATCTGTATACATTCTTTGCCACTTACAATAAGGTTCTACAATTTTTTTGTCTGATATTTTGGTGACCTTGTATAGTGTACCATGTACATGAAATATTTCCATCTATCGAGAGGAGTATATACATGCCCTGTTGCTTCATGCCACAGAAACCATTGCTAAGCCTTGGCAGTAATTGGCCCTTCAAGAATCAACCTCCCCACGTACCCCATGTATTGTTAAAGACACCTGTACCTAGTGCCATAGTTTACAAGGAGGATTTACAGACTCCTGTATATCAGCCTGTCTTTTTGTTCATTAGAAACATGCCCTGATGGAGCGAGTTGCTCATCAGACCATCATTATGCAGTATATACTGGAGCTAGCTAAGTCATTAGATGCCAGTCCACCAGCCACTATTCGCAGCTTTTTCACTAAGTAAGTATTGAATTTGTTTATAGACAACTGTTGGACCCATACCCATGTGTGCAGTTTATTGATTAAAATCTCTCAAATTCTGAGTCGCCTGCACTTTCAGAGGAGATAAAGATAGAAAATTTAAAATCAAGGACTACCCTTTCACTCCTAGGATCTTATTTAAAATTTATTCTGACTGTCTTCCTTAATTTTTTTTCCACATTACTAACAGTAACATTTTTGTTCCCATTTATCTCAAAGGATGAAGAAAGCAAAAGTAGACTATAAAGAATACATGGACGCATTTGAGGATGAACTTAAATCATTCTTGCAAAGGGTAAAGGAAAGAGCTCAAGCCCGCATTGATAAGGCTATGAAGGAAGCTGAAGAGGTTAGGCTATGCAAACTATGGGCAGATTGTCTGTGCACACCTGTCTGATATTTTATTTGTATGGTAAAGATGTTTGTTACATGTAGTTGTCACTTAAGAAAAATATGTTTAATTTAGCTCATTTTCATTTATTTTTTTTTTCTAAAATTGCTCACAGATGTGCATCTGTTAGCAGTGTAAATGTTAAAAAAACAAGTTATTTTTAGTCTTAATAATACAGTGTAATTTGCATATTTAATTTTGCTTATATTATTACTTTGCATTTTTGTTTGCTAATAAACCAAATTCATTGAGAAAAAGAGGTTTAGCTATTAATAGTCTTGGATTTGCAAATTGTCACTGTACCTTCTTAGTGCAAAGAGTTTGGTTGTAGTTTACTTTGCAAAAGGGCAATGGCACATTAATGAACTGGCCAGACAGAATAAAACAGAATTTGAACAACACTTAGGTCATCATGTTAAGAGAGTTCCTGTTTTTATTTCAACCAGTTATGATTGTTCTTTTTAGGAGGAACGCCAACAGAGACTTGGTCCTGGAGGACTGGATCCGGTGGAAGTGTTTGATTCATTACCCCCAGTAAGTGTAGCCTTGAATTGTGTTATGCAGCATGTGCTGCTTTACATCACACAGTAGTTAGGGGTCTGATCATAAAGGTTCCTCTTTAGCCATTCTCCATTGCTACAGTTCTAATGTTTGATGTACTCAGGGACTGACCTACTGGCTGACTGACTTACAGACATGTTTGCTGACCAATTAATACAGACATGACTGATATATAACTGCCTGACTAACTGACAAAGACTTACTGACTACATAGCTGACTGACACAGACTGACTGTAAAATGACTAATCAACCTACTGACTAGCTGATTGACAGAGCCTCTGATTTACTGACAGGCTGACTGATTAACGAACCAATTTACTGAATGGGGATGCAAATGGACGCAGTACCTGATTGACAGACTGATTAAATTGGACATTAGCCAACTACACTGTAATTAACCAGCAAATGGCAGATCAACCAATCTTACTGCCCAAATACCTGTCTAATTGAAGTATATTTTTTTGCTTGTTTAAATGGAGAGAAACTGATTATACTTTGGGTTCCCTTGCTCACTAACAAAAGAATATTTGTGTCTGCTTCAGGAACTTCAGAAATGCTTTGAAGAAAAAGATATCCCCATGCTACAAGAAGTTCTCGGCAAAATGCCTGAAGAAGAAGCTAAGATGTACCTACGACAATGCATTGACTCTGGTTTGTGGATTCCAGATGCTAATAAAGCACAAGCTGAGGGACGAGAGGAGGCTGGTGTTACAGAGGAGTCAGAAGAAGATCAGTATGACAGTTTGTCAGAAGATAGTGACAAATAAATCCTCAGGGGGCATCTGTATGTAATGTGCTCTGTTTTTAGTGCTTTTATAGTTAATGTCCTGGCGTTTGAAGTTTAAAGAGAGAAAAAAATTTAAAAAAAGGGAAAAAAAATGTAACATTTGGTTGTCATAACTGTACCATATCCAATATGAGAAAAGCTAGGTCTAAAAACAACTGGTGTCCCAGAAAAATTTATTAAAGGACACTTGAGTCTCAGTTCATGTTGAATGAAAGAAAGGAGACCTGAGTGAAAACAGCCTTTGTGCCTATCATCTACTGCTTGGAAAGTAGAAAACTTGTACAACGTAAACAAACAGAAACTGTATCATGAGGCTGTCTTGTCTTTAGCTAACCGCAGAATTGGTGGCTAGATGATTCACCAATCACCAGATTGCAGCCACATTAATTTCAACAAACTGACATGTTATGGTTTTCCTAAAGCTTCTGGAAATCCTGTTAGAGTTCTGTTGAAAGACCAGGAAACCAGTTTGTGTATTCTTAAATGCCCCAGTGATAAATAAAGTTCTGATTGTGCACAGCTATTAAAAAATTGTGTATTTTGATTTAAACCCAAGGAGTTTTAGAGAAGCGGTAAGTGTCCAAACCATTGCCAAACACAGTTGGCTAAACTAACCGATCAATGATTTTTCCTGTAAGTAAATTGGAATTCACTGCAGCTAATTTTCTGCTGTCGTTATACTCCCTTCAGGTTCCATCCTGCCTTCGTCTGCGTGTTTTCTAGCCAGAGGGGATCGTGAACTCTATCGTCGACAACTCAATTCTAAAACAATCTCTCTCACCTCTCTTTCTGGTCTTCATCTAGAAACTCTGAGCTTTTAAGGAACATTTCAGGTGTTGTTTTATTACCCTGTGAGTCACTTATTCTTTAGAAGAACTCCCTTGACAACCATTTAGAGTGATGGAGGTCTCCTCTTTAATTATATATTATCATCACCATCATTACTACTATTAGCACTGGAAACCGCTGAAAAGGAAATGGTTTTCAGAAACTCATTTCCACATCCTAATAGTATCGCATACATTTGTATACTCTGAGAAATAAGCCTGTTTCAAGGGCGAAGAATTTATTGGTGCCTTGAAGGTTTAATCCACCCTGCCTCTACTCATTAAGTACTTTCCGTTCTCTGAGAGACTGGGGGCCATTCAACCTCGTTCTTGAGGTAATAGCGAAAGAGACCAAACTTTGAATAGGAGGCCACAATAAGGGCTTCGAGTCACAACTGTCGATGATTGCAGTTGTCGGTGAGGCGTAACATATGCAATGATATTACTGATAATCTGAACGAAACAGCACATGGCAGAAATGATAACGCAAAATGATAACGACTTTATTGCAATCAAATCTACATTCATTTTACACAATAAATTAATTCCTAAAGAAAATTACTGTGCATTATCCAAATTGTCTCTTCCAAGGCACTCTAGTAATTCATTTCTCATTTTCACTTCATAACGGCAAGGCAGCATGCGCTCTTACTGAGCTCCTTGTTACAACAATCATTTTCCAATCATCTACTGGTATTTATCCTTCAAATCACATTTTTGTATCGAATTCATACCACAAATTAAATTGATTTTCTCTCTCACTTTGATTGAGTTCAATTTCCCCCTATGGGTAAAATGGAAGTAAATTATTTGCTTCTGTAACAGATATTCAATGCAAACTAAATGAGAGTGTTTACTCAGTATAAAGTCAGGAATTTAAAATATCTTGAGGTTCTAGCCGTTTGGGAACACTGTTTACACTAATGTGGTTTAGAAATAATCATATCACAACGATTTCACGTATTAAGTCCTCTAACAGCCTTTTTTTAAAGGCAAAATGTCCGCCACCTGTTTCACAACATAGCGACCTAACGGAACCCAACCGGGAAACTGGGCGAACATTATCTACACAGGCCATTTCAGTCGCAACTCAACAAGCACTTACGTGAACGCAATGTGACAACAAAAAAGCAAAACATTTAACAAAACATATCCAAAGTCTTCTAGTATTTGTTTCTATCTCAGGATCTCGAAAAAAAGATATGGTGATGTTACGATACTATCAACAGCTTTATTCGTTCAATGCCAGACTGCTTCAAAGCCATTGTTTCTTCCTCTGAGGTTACATGAATGGCGGTTTTTTCCAAATCAACCTTGAACGGTACAAGTAACAATTGAAAGATGCCAATGTTTAAAAACAGGTTTTACACAGATTTAACATATTTGTGCCGTTAGGGAGGACTTCCTTGAACTTGCAAATAGTAAGTTTTTTTTTGACATAGTTAATTTCTTAAATCGGAAGTGACTCAAATTTGCTGCATTTCACATCGTAACAACTGGAGAGAGAACATCCCCAACAAGTCATCCGGGTAGATTTTTCCACCATAATCACACTGTTGTTATGAAACCTGTCAGAAGCAATAACAATGCGTTAAATAGTGTGCTCTATCAGTTCTCATTACAGATCCGCGCCCGTGGTTTAGTTGAACAGTGGTTTTCTATATTAGCGTAGGCGAAAAGCGAGGCTATCGGGTCGGGCTTCCCTGATGACCGAGTCCTAGAAGTAACCCTTCAAAGTCCCAACTTTTACGATCCACGGGCAAGGATGGCAAATAAAAATGACAGCACTGGGGCCGAGACTATCTGCCTTCTCTAATATAAAACACCAGTTGGTAAACAGTTTTTGCCCTTGAACAGAACTATGAAAAAGTACTTGCAATGTGCTCTCTGTTCAAACGTCTTATGAGTAGCATTATTTTTTTTAACATAAATAGTCCTTCGTTTAATGAATCACTAATCTTTAGTTAATGTCAAATTCTTTTACCGTACTTATTCATTTATTTGTTTATTTATCAAAGAATCGGTTTATAGTTTATAATTTTACTTGCTTCTTTAGTAGATTTATTCTAGTTTCCTTTTTAAGTTTTCTCAACATACTTAGTAATTAACTAGCTCTTCTTCATCTGTTGTTTACCTTTTTTTAAAGTATTCACTTAACATTCAAAATCCTAAAATTTTTGAGCACTTTTTACAAGCACATTTATGACTTATTTGCTCAAAGGTTTATTTCAGGTTACATTTGGAAAAAATCAAAAGAGTTTAGATTTTATTTTAAATTTATTTCACTTAACTGATTTTGGAAGACAATCGTCTTTTGTACAATGCTATCATCACAAGAACAAGCAAACACAAGTTACATATTAGTACATGTTAGCAAAACATATTAGTGATAAAATGGGTAGCTGTTCGATAGCCTGCAAGCAAGGTCACGTGTTTTGGCACCTTGACTTTGGTGGGGTTCTTAATGGTGGCACGGGAAAGGAGGGGGGGGGCTAAAGAGGCAGGACGGGCCGGCGAGGGGTATGGTGCCAAGGAGAACTTCCTCGCAGGCGAAGTGTCCATGTGACCCACTACATATGCTCTGTTATGAAACTGTGCTGTCATTAAATAGTCTGTTCTATACGTCTGAATTTTGCAAACCAAAAACCTTCTGCACATCGATCGGTTAGTGCAACCACCGAGTCAAATGCATATGGAGTTTTTGATTAGTTTTGTTATAAACTAGGTCCTACATGTTCACACTGCTTAAAAATAATAAATAAAATAAACTTTTGGATGGTTCGTTTAGACTGTGGAGTAAATAGTTTCGTATCGCAAATAGTTAAATCGAAGAGTACAGCACCAGAATCCGAGATAAAATGTCATTGTTCAAATGACCCAACTCGCATTGCATAAGAGTGTGACGCAGTTTCGGTATAATTTAATTAAAGATGAAAGAGAAATGTATTGCAGTCTTTCCAAGGATGGTTAACCTGTTCCAGGCGTCCAGTCAATAAGGGGGCCGACCTCTCTTCGGCTTTTCGCTCAGCCGCTACTTTCGCGTCATTGACTTAACGCTTCATGTTACTGACTGAACGCCTTCAACAGGTTAAAGGACGATACACATCGCGAGTGGTGGCAGCAAAGAGTAAAATATAGGGATCTCAGCCGATATAAGAACATTGACGCATGAAATAAGTCCGCGACGCCGTCTCAGTATTTGATAAAGATTAAAAAAAAGGGGTCTGCGGATGATCAAATAATACCTCAACATGATAGTGCATAGGTAAGGGGTCAATTGTATTACCACTAGGTAGACTAACCTTTCGCTTCAATCATGGCATCAAAAAGCCTGTCTTCTTCTTGCTCTCTGCGAGAGAAAGTTTAAATCAAAACACAGTCCTTCCAACCAAAAATGTCCAAGTTCGCTATAGGAAAATACAATCTTTTTCCGACCCCACCAGGAGGCGACGCGTTCAAAGTGGTCAAAGACATCACAGAACTACTGAAGGAAGTTGAAAACTACTATTTCAGAGACCAATAGTGGTGGAAAAGACCCCCCCCTCTCCACAGTCCAACAAACCTCTTTCTCTCCTCGTCCAACAGTTCCACTAATGCGTTCCTCTGCTCCACAATATCTACAAGCTGTTTGGTCTTCTTCTGTATGGATCTGTTGTCATCCTTTCTTGGATCTAAATAAATAAATACAAACATTTAATTTCAGCCATAATTCTTTTAAAAGGATACCAATCAGTGTAGCTTACCATCTTTCATGAGGAGTTCTCTAATCTCCTGCTCTAGTCTTCCTTGTTGGTCCTCAAGCTGAATGGAGTTTGCCCTGTAAATAAAACAGACAAAAATTGAGACTCTCTTGGATTCACGCTGCATTTATTATTATCTAACGAGGCCTGTTGCCTTTCTACGTTACAAATCCTACAAGGTTCGCGATTTTTTTTTTAACTCAATTGGGCAATTATTCATTTTTCCGGCATCTATTACCCGTCACTCCTAAATAACTTACGATCATAATTGATCGAAGCACACAGCAAAATACAGTGCAAACCGGGAAGAAAAAAGAAGTCTTGAATCCAGAAAAAAAGGATAGAATAAGACTACTTTGTGGGTGACACAGGCTCCAGGGAGCGTGCAACCGGCTATAACCAAGTACCTGTAGTTTTTCGTGCTTATTTGACGAAGGATCAGAAAGGCCGAAGAAAGGCTAACAGATTAGAGCGAAGTACATTTTAGAAACATATTAGAGCGGTTTGACGGCCCTTTATACTCACTGAATGACCAGTTCTGACTCATATCGAATCAGCGCGTTCTTTCTGTTCACTAGTTTGAACCACTGAAGCATCAGCTGCTGTTCCTCTGAACCAGAATCTGTTCAAAACATGAAAGGCGAGTCAAGATCTCAATGACGAAACCAAGATCAATAATCTACAAATTCAATGAAACGTTTGCCGCCAACGTTTTTCATTGTGAGACAAGCCGTCTCAGAATAATTCCAATGAATGATCTAAGATTTAAAATAGAGATTAATTAATATCGCAGTGAACTGCCTTGAACCAAATAATAACATCCGTAGATTAGCTACGAAAGTGGTTTCATAAGATTGTTATAAACGAAATCTTGGCTAAGCAACTTTCTTTCACTTGAATTGGTTCCCTCGTAGATGTTCTTTGGTCGCGGAGAGAGCGCCGCGAGACGAAACGAAAAACGGCCTCAAAGCGGAAAAGGATTTGGAGAGTCATGTAATCTATTTCCTTCCCGAGAAAATGGGAACTCTGTGTGACCAGACTACTCAAGTAATCAGTTAGCTTTAAGTTCCGCAGAGACTTCTCTGGGTAACCGTTTGAAACTCACTGTTTCCTTGTCTGAGCGTCTTCTCAACAACGACTCCTTCACGCTCTAAGTCGGCTTGTTTGACGGCCACTTCCTCCAGTTCTCGTTGTATTGACTGTGCCATGCGCAGTCGCTTCGATTCTCGCTGCTTCATCGCGCTACGAATCTTGGCTTGCTCTCGTCGCTTCACTTTATCATCCGGCATCTCGGTGTCACGTCTTCCCGGCTGGAATATGAACGAGCAGTTATAAACATTTAATTTTAAAAAAGTAGGTTTCACTAAATTTAAGCTACATACGCAAGCGATAGTGAAAACAATATTTCCTATAATACCAGGTAAATTGGAGTGGACACCCTAAAATCAAGAAGTACTGTGATTGAGATGAACCTAACAAAAGAATGTATATTGATAGTAGATACCTTACCTTGCCGAACCGCCGAGCATTTGTTCGTTGCAATTTGGGACTATCATCCAGCATTTCATCTCCACTCGATTCAGAGAACAATCCTGAATCGTCTTTTTTCAGATTCAGTGCTTCTTCTAAGAGTAAATAGAAGCAGATTTTGAAGAGTTAGAAGAGGGAAGAAAGAGCTGGATGGACAACAACGAGTCATAAATTGAAAAAAAGAAAAAGACTTGTCACACAACATGTTTTTTCGTCATCATTGCGGTTGCAAATAAGTAACCTGCATTCATTATTGCAGGCAAACTTCAGTACTCGAAGTTTAAATGATCTGCATCGCATCAGATCAAGATAGGTCAGCAATGTGGATGTTTGAACTGCTGCATGCGTACACAACTGTTTGCCACATACCTTTCTCAGGCGTACTAATACCATCGTGCAGATCAAGAACCACAAATCCCATATCTACTGAATCTTTCCCGATTTTCTCCTCTTTTTCTTCTCCAATTTCCTTTCTAACTTTACCCAACCGAAACCTTGGCTTTCCTGTCGGCTTGCGCTGAACAATCTTGGTGGTCTCCTTTGTAGAGTGAAAAGGTTCCTCTGAGGGAACTCTGGGTAACGAGCGCCGCTGAGCGCCAGGACTGGCTGTGGGCTCAAATTCTTCCTCTTTCCCAAACTTCTTCACAGCGTCGTTTTTGACTGGACTCGATTTCTTCCATTCCTCTCTTTCGGCCCATTTATCTTTCACTGTTGGAGGACGGAAGTCATTGGCGATCAAATTGGTTAATCTGGCCGTCCGTGCAGCCACAAGAGATCCTGCGGGAGGTTTTTTGTTCCCCGGTGATGTTGGTGAGGTTGGCGATCTGGGTGATGGAGTTGGCTCATTCTTGGTTGCTACTGAAACCGTCTTCGGGCCAGCCTTCGTTTGACCAGCAGCTTTCCTTTCAGAAGAAGGAATCGGGGTGTCATCATCCAGCGAAATGTCCACCATTTTAAGCTGCATCTTTTTCTGAGGGTTGCGTTCCGTTTCGTTGGCCGCTTGAACAATTCCTTCTAATGCCTCTTGAGTCTCTTTTTCATCTGGATTCAAAACCACTGATAATGGCGGATACATAGCCCGTCGAGACTTCGCCTTTCTCCTCTCTAGCGTTCCAAGCTTCTGAACCTTTCCCTCTGGAGCTTCTTGTCTTTTAGCCCAAGATTTGCCAGCAGCTGCTGTCTTTACAGCGTCAATGACGCTCTTTCGCTCTTCCTCTCGCTTTTTCTTTCTCTCCTCAACAGGCGCCTCCTCCATATCGATGTCCACGACAGTCATTCCCTTAGTGGCATCTATCAGCTCAACAGGCGTGGACGGTCGAAACTCAGCCTCCGCCTCAAACTTTCGAACTTCCTTCCTTGACGGGATCTTCAGTGGCTGGGTAACTCTTCGTCTACCGTCCCCTGTCTGGTCTAGCCCATCGTCAAACGAGTAGCCCTTGCCTTTTTCACGCACGGTAGCGTCGGATTTTCGTACAGAAGATATGCTTGACCGCCTCAGTGGGCGCGCCTCCAATCGTCGATACTTCCCAGAGGTGTAGGACCGATCTCTCTGACGATCTTCTTTCTCCTCGGTGACCGTTTCTTTCTCTTCGTGATAGCCGTTCATTTGAGCACCAGTCTCTCCTTTGGTTTTATAGCTGACAGGTTCTCCTGCATCAGGGTCGATTGTAAACTCGACATTCTTAAACAAAGTTTCCGGTGCAGCAGATTTAGATTTCAAAAGTTTCGGTTTGCCTTTAGTAGTAACTTCCTGTTCATCTGTAGACAAAATAGGAAAAAATAATTCCTAGTAATCGAGGAAAGAGACAAAAAGAGATAACATCTTTTGAAATACTAAAAATCACTACGAGAGGGGTCCTGCACACCAAAAAGAGGAAAAAAGGGAGCTTTCTTAAGAGAGTGAAAGTCGCAGTAGTAATGTGCTCGCCTCTCAACACCGTAACCCGCTTTCGATTCCCGAGCTTTGCCGCATTTGTGGGTCGTGTTCCGTCGTTGGTTCTCGTCCTTACCCCGAGGGTTTTCCCAGAGTTCTCCGGTTTTTCGTTTCTGCCCGCAAGCAAAAATTCGAAGCCTAATTTGACCTGGAAAACAGTCGACGAGGAACCACCCATGGAAGTGCCACTGCTAATGCTGAGCTGAGATTAAAATACAATAAACATTCTCTTCAGAACCAAGCCTACAGCTAAGGGAAGGACAGACGAGAGATAAGTGATTGAATACATACCAGCGGGTTCCTCCTGCATCTTGTACAACAATTGATCATAGTGCAGGTGACACAGGAAGTGTCCCTTGTCCTGGTCTGATGATGGGCTGATGTAAGAGTAAGTGCCCAGCCTGAGCGTGCAGCCGCATTCCTCGCACAAGAAACACTCGCGATGGAAGAAATGGCCCTCTGCAGACAATCTCTCCATCAGGTAAACACGACGATTGCAGAAGAAACAGTGTTCACTCGAGTCCCTCAGTGAAGGTACCTTGTTCTAAACAGGAAAAAAAATTGGATACAAAGATTGAACTTGGTTTACTTCAAACTCCTAGTACAGGAGTCCGATTTAAATTTCTTCGCAGGCAACCTTAAATTCTATTCAAAGCGTGAGGTTTGACAAGTATTTTAACCCTTTAATTCTGTAAATTACACTTAAACTAAACTGAACTATAAAAATTTTAGGCATATAAAACGCACTTGATTCGACTGAAAATACTTGTAATAGAATTGCACTAAAATTGCTCCACAGGCATAAAATCCTGGTCCACAGCAAATGAAGTATTTTGTATCAGCTATCGCTGATCAAACTAAGCACATTAACAGCTCATAAAAGGCGCACATCCATTTAATGAGACGAATATTTTTAGCGCCTACTTTTGTCTCGACGGGTAAATGCTTGTGTACTATTAATCTTTACTACCTCCACTGAAAACACACCTACACCTTGGCCACACTTGTACTGGCTCTACAGTTGCTTACCACTCCTTTGAGCAGAGAAGGCATGCCACCTCCATTAATTGCGCATTTCAAACAATTTGGAAAAAAATTAAACGAAGACACTTCGCGCATTCTCATTGGTCGAACGGTGTGTTTAGGTGAGAGCATTTAAACAGTTCTGACCTTTTGGGGTAATATATATCATAACAGCAATAGCCGAACCTTTTCGTCTTTGTATAGCCTCATCGAAATCAGAAGGGGAATGGAGAGGGGTCGCAGTCAAAGGTTTGAGGTTATTTAAAAAGAAGAAAAAAAACTCTATAGCTTTCATGTAATCCCCTTTAATAATAAAACAATCAGATCAGTACACACTGACCTTCTTTCCATCTGTGGGTCCAAACACTTGCGCAGCCAAAGCGCTGATTCTATTGCTCGTCTTACCAGTAGTGACTGCGGGGGCCTGAAGAGAGTCCTGTGGGGCGGAAGTGTCCATTGGGGTGGGAGCCTCATTCTCCTGTTGTCAAACGGAAATAAAAACATTAGTCTTTACGTATGTTTGATCCAGATAGAGGTTCTCCCAACTTCCCATGTACATCCATTCCCCTCGATAGACGCAAACTGCGCATGAACCAATTCATAAAAAACGTACAGTTTACTAGAACGAGCATCTGACTATATCCAAACATGCGTCAAAATCTAACGGTCTTAACCTTGGACGCTGCCTTTCTTCTCTTCGACACCGTATCAAATATTTCCTCGTTTCGCCTCTTCTCCTAAAAAAAAAAAAGGACATTTATAAACTGTTTTCTGAGTTCTATACAGACTGATGTGCGACCTTCAGAAGATTGTGAGTATACTTTTCCTAAGTGTACATATATGTCATTAGCGTGATTTGTAACTAAACATCATTAGGCGGATATTAGAATTAATAAACGCAATAGCAGATAGCAAGGTAACAGATCTGTCCATAACAGCGACGCATTACATACACAACACAACAACTACACTGAATTACAACGAGCTCTGGAGGACGTACGTACTAATATAGACATTATTAACAATGTATGAATATGTAGTTAACCTGTTTACTCCCAAAATCTGATCAGTAATTCCTTACACCACACAAATCTTACAAATTTCCTACGGAAAATTTTGTATTAAATCATCTAATAATCCCCTAATTAGTATTTACCTTTATTCTCCTCACTTGTCTGGTTGATATCATATCGATATTGTAAGGAAAAATTCTGTCTTGGTCACCCATTGGAGTTAAACGGTTAAAGTCTATCATTAGGCTAACTGGAGGCACTATGTGGGGAGTGTTTAACATGTGTGCCTATGCATGGATAGCAACATCAGTGTAATTGTACATTGCACGTATCAACAACTTGTTTATTTGCATGGATTGCAATGTCCCGAGCTAAAACCCAAATAAAACCTCCTTGTGAATTGGTAACACATCACTTCTACTGACCTTGTGGGTCCGACGAGACACTCGTGTTAACACAGACAGCTTGGACAGTGGAGACTTGGCTCTGAATTCCCACTGTTCAGTTGTCTTCTCGGCTGCAAAAAAATAACAACCCCACACTCACTTAACTGCCCAAGGTTGACCACAGTTTTATTAAGAAAGTGCTTCACACATCATACTATCTGGCGGGTTCATTTGATATTTTTCCATTCTCCACCATCCATTCTCTCTTAGGGTATCAGTAAGAGACATCAAAGATTTGGAAGCTACACGAGTCATTCTAGCATGCAGACTTTACCTCTGAAGAGCACGGATATTAAGAACAAATATTCTAGTAACTCTTTCCTTAGCTCCTATATGAATCAAGACTAAATATTACCTGAATTTAATATTCACATTTAGTAGTTTATGGTAGATGCAGCTTACCTGGAGTCTCATTTTTGAACACTTCATGGTACTGTGACACATAGCTGACTATCATCAGAGTGTCAGGAACTTCTTTCATGGCCATCTCACTGGCAGAAATCTGAGGGGGGATTCCTAGATGTTCCTCAGCAACATCAAATGCCTGAAAGAGGAAGAAATAATAGACCAAATGAATTTTTCATCTTCCAGAACAAGGCAACACAGTAGGAGACACATATTGTTCTTGACAAATTTTCTCACCAGCTGGGTGTTTTTCAAATGATCCTTAGGTGACAGGGAAGAGTAATCACTGCAATGAAACACATTCATAACACAATCATTATAATTTGCACATTGATCTTAAGAGCCTCACTACCAGCTAGGATGTCGTCTTCAAAGACCTACTGCAAAAGTACATAGAATGGTTCTCCAGGGAAGAGAAACAATTACAGCATGTATGATTATACTTCCCTGTGTGATTGACCACTTTCTCAAAAAGAAAAAAAAAGGAGATGTTAAGTAAAAACAAGAGCAACTTTATCACTCACTTTTTATTACCTCCAGTCAGTTTGGATGCATTTAATAAATTTGTATTTTCATGGGTATGCACTTTGAGTTTCCTATCGAACCTTAAGGTGGATACCTGCAGTAATTTTATACCTAGCAAATATGATTCCAGCAGTTTGGGTATAAACCAATGAAACTGGGTACAAATCAACTGACTTTAAGTATGTAAAAACTGAGTATGAAATGACCATAGATACAAAACAACTGGATGTTGTTGTTGCACAGAATGCAGTCAACATGCACTCTAACTAGTACATATGCTAAGGTTAGCATGTCTAAACACAATAGTCCATGAGTAATAGCCCTCCTACATAAGATCAGGTCTGTAGCGATGAATAATGGCACAGAAAGCAAGGCCATTTCTCCATGATGTTGACATGTCATTGATCTTCACATTCCTATACTTCTTGGTTTGCTCTTGACACCATCGGAGCAACATTCTTGCATTTACTGAAACAGGATGAAGAACGAACTGAAATTTATGGCAAAAATGTAAGTTTAATCCTATGCTACTGACAGTAATTCCATTTTCACATATTTTTGTGCTATTTGTTCACAGTCAAATATATTCAAATACCCTACTTTAACTAAGTAAATATCTTTTTTAAGCAAGTGGGGGCAAGTCATGTCAAACCATATCACTAAATACAACTAAAAATGGTCAGCCAGTAAAATTCCTGATATCACCGCAAGTCAGGTAGTTGCGTCTTTCCAGAAAGAAAAGAAAACCTGGAATACTGCAGTGGGTGGGCTCCTGGAACTGATACTGCTATTAAAGCATACCCTGTGCAACCTTCTGAAAAGCCCCAGTCCACTAGCTCATAAAAAAGAAGACTATGTCATCTCAGAATGAATTATGATTGATCTTGACTGTTTCTACGTCTCCTTAACTAAACATTGACATTAATATTTTTTATGACTGTCACTAAACCTTATCTTGGTACTCACGGGATGTAATCTTTAAAAAAACTATGTGGGAATTAATTGTTTGTTGCTTAAACAAGGTGTAACCTTTAGGAGCAAGTCATGTCTATAAACTGACATTCCATTATCTTTTCAGGGATTCTTAAAAGGGAATTGCAACAATTACTCCCATAATATTAATTCATAACCTTTCCCTCCAGAACCACCCTCCCAAGACTTTTCTCACCTCCTCCCTCAATAGCGCCGAGGTCTTTACTTGTGTCCATGGGTTCTGCTTCAGATCCATCCATCTGGTCAATTGGTCCTTTTTTGTTATCAAACAAATGTTTCACTCTGTTCTGTGAGACACATGACTTGTTCAAGTTTGGGTACCGAGTGGCTGGATTAATACTGTACTCCTCAAAATTCTTGGAGATGTTCTCTGGAGTTGTCTGAGCAAGAAGCCGGAATATACTGTCTCTTTCTGTGAGCAGGTCAATGGGTTCCCTTCCCAGTCCCCAACCTCTCATTGTCCAGGCAGCATCAAGACATCCCAAGAAACCTCTTGCACAACCTGAGCCAGTTGGCCAAAATGGCTGCAAACAGAGACATGACACAATTAATTAACCAGAAATTCATAATACCAATACCCAAACCTCATTTGCAACTTCTGGACTTCCAAAGTGTGAAAAATATTTTTAGCTTATGGAGAAAGAAACCAAAACACAACATAGGAATTTTAAAACCAACGTTAAACAAAACGTGAAAATTTTGACTATACTTCCAAATATCCTTGCTAGTCTATGAAATACTTGTTCAAACTTTATTTAAGCCAAAGGAGAAGCTGTATATCAGCAAAATTTGAAAGAAATGTTGGCAAAGTTTGAATAAAAATTAAGAAAAAATTGTAATCAGGCACAGGTCGAGGCTTCTGTGCCTTTTTTATTTTCTCCTTTTCACTCTATGCCCTTGATATGAATCCTTCCTGACCCACGCTTTTTCCCCCTGGATAAAGAGAAATTAGTTTGGGGCTAATATAGGATCATGTCATTTCAACCTACCTCTAATAAGCTGTCTCCAACAACTAATGCTAGAAGACGTTTTCCCCTCCTTTCATAAATCTTGGCAGCATGTTCAGAGTGGTACAAAGAAGTGAAATCAAACATTGCTACATCTTCCTTGAAGTAGTGATTCTTTGCAAAGTCTAGTTGAGGTAGCTGGTAGCTTGTGGAAAAGTTTGCAGCTTCTCTTGCATATGCCAGAAGCTTATCATGGTTCACGTTGCTTGTTTGAAGAAGATCATATGCATCTTGGAAATCCTGTGAATGAAGGTAAAGAATTATATTTCAAGTTCTTGCAGTAATTAAGTGTGTCACAAAGAAGATGTGTAGCTTCTTGAGTGCTCTCCAAACTCCCCAAGTGCTTCATATCTCAATGAATGCACGCTGACAAATGAACCAATTGTTTTATAGCATTTTCAACCTGATGGTTTACATGTTGTAAAAGGGTAAATATTTCCTCTGCTACGCTTCAGCGCATTGATAATTTTGTTTCAGGAAAACATTTCGCTAGGCTGTAAACAGCAGTTCTTCCTCATCAGCTGGCTCAAAACTTTCCACGTTTAGCTTAAATTGCCACCAAAGTCTTAACCAGTTTTTTAATAGTAAAATTCCAAAGTAAAAAAATTGCAGAGAAAATGTTTTTTCTTAAGGGATTTGTTTGCTGATGTCATGAGCGTGCACAATGGGAATATGAAGCATGCTCACACAATTGAATTTGATTAGACAAATTTACTAGCTATGTTATAAATTTACTTTAAATATTAAAGATCATGTTATATCCTGCGTTCACAAGACATTGCTGTCAACATTTTCTCAGAGAGATCATGTTTATAAAACATAGATTATACTTAGCAGCTTCAAACTAATTAGTTTAATTTATTCTATACAAAACATGTACACTATCAGAAAACTGCATCTTGATAAGCAGTTTGTCAATAAGGATTGGTCAGTTTCATTCCACTAGTAAATTTAGGCAATTCTATTCAGTTTTATACAGTTGTATTATTATATTGAATAAGTTATTTACAGGATGCTGATAGTTACCGATAAATTCTGGTGTAAAGTGAAGTGTATTCTAAGCAAGAAGACCAGCTTTGCGAGGTCATACAACAAAAACAGTCAGTACTATGGGCTAAACACTGAGTTGAGACCACAATTATTTACATAAGGTCTAACCCACACTATGGTTTTATGCTAGCAGTGCACCTCAGGTTTTCTTTTTAAGGGGCTTGATTTAATTAAATAAATGTCTTTCCATTGTTATCTTTTGGCCGCCCTTTATTGACACTGTTAACAAATTAAAATAATTGTTATAATGAAAGGTTGGATCAATATCAGTATCTGAGCAAATGCCCACCTACCCCTCCCCTAACCCAACAACAGTCTATTGATAACAAGTCAGGGTTAATGTTGGGTTAGGGGAGGGGTAGGTGGGAAGTTGCCCAGATACTAATATTGATCCGAAAGGTTCAGCTGTATTGAATTTAAACAGTGGCTAAACCTAGTTAAAATAATCAGACTGTTGTGTATGGTGTCATTTCATGTTCAAAATATGAATGAGATGTAAAGAAAACTCAACAGAGATTTATTTACCAACAATACATGTAACCAAAAAATCCCCTGGGACATGCGTTACATGAATACAAGACTGACAAGTTTGAGAGCAGAACTTCCTGTGTTATACACCACACAAACCATGATGCTTTGCAATAAGTTAGAGCTGATAATACACTATTTATTGTTTCCTGGTTCTTAGTGAACACCACAAACAAGTCATGAAGGGAAAGACAAAGGGTTGTGTTGGCTCAAGGATGCTCAATTGAGCAATTGAGGGGAGACAACTATTAAATGGCTAAACCTCTGAAAATACTCTTCTAAAGGTAACTTTATTTTTCTAAATTCTGATGCCTAGTCTAAACTCACCTTTTTGAGCACCCCTTTCTGAAGTAAACTGTTCTTCTTTGCACACATCACAAAGTAATGCGTCTCATCTTTGTAGTATACAATGTTCTCAAGGTCAATACCAGTGCTATCTTTCAAGTCTTGGAAAAACTGTTGATTGAAAATGAAAGCAACCCCACTTATCTCCTCCACTCTGGCCTCTTCCTTTGAATTTTTGTTCACAAAGTTCACAGTGATACCAATGGCCAGCTTGCCACGAAATTCCTTTCCTTTAAAACCTTTCAATGCAGCACGCCTGCCATCTGCAGCCACCACAATGTCAAAATCAAATTTATTGAGGTGATGAGAGGGTGAGTCAAAGTTTCCTCTCCAGCCATGAGCTGAAATTAAAAAACCCATATCAAGCATTATAGAGATGTAAATGACAAAATGATCTCCACAGACAGTTAGCATTAAGACAAAATAACTTTTCTCAATGTTTTAAATGTGTAAACCTAATAATTAGTAAATTCACACTACTTAGTTTGGCCAACAGGATCAACACTCTATAAAAACAATCAAGGAAGAGGGAGAGGGGTTCTTACTTGAGAAAAAAGTTTGATTTACAAACATGACAGAGGTCAAACACAATGGGAGCCACAAAGTCAAAAACAAGAAAAACAACTGTACAGTAAAAGGAGAGAAATATGAAAACAGACTTACCATCTGTTGGCTCCACTAGATTAAGGAATCCACATTTGGCATAAACTTGTACTCCAAACAAGAGAGACACCTTAAGCAGAATAACTTGAAGTCTACGAATACCTGAAATAAGGAGTTCCACTCATTGGCACATGATATTAAAATTACTTAATTATGTTGTTTAAACATGTCTCTGTATTCAGAGTATTTCAACCTGCTTAACAAGCACAGATAAGATCTTGTTTAGCCAGGAGATACTCAAAATGTTTCAATAGTGAACTTTGAGTAAATAATATGAATTTACTTCTCAAGTGGAGAGCACTTGATCGCTAACTAAAATGATTCAAAAGTATTGGCACTTTGCCTCCTGATAAAAGGAATGATGATAGACCAGTTATTTTCCCTCTTTAAATGATTCTTGCATTACTAAAATTTAACAATAAAGAGCTATCCTTATCCAAAAAAGGTTCTAAATTTGTTCAAAAAGCATGCTAAAAATAGATTTTTAATCTAAAAATCTGAATTCGACAAGAGGCATTATTATTCATCACTGCAGGAAAAGAGGCGTAGTTAATTTCAAATTGTTTAAATACCAGTGGGACAGAATTTTTGTTCCATGCACGGTTTTTAGGATCAGGCTAAGTCATCCTTAGCCAAATAACTGCATTTTGATGAGGAAGAACTGAAAGATATTCATTTCCTCGTTCCTATTTTTGTGCGCTGAATGGTTTGTTGCAACTCTTACACCGATTCGCAAAAAGCCACCTGCAGTCTCTAATTTGTGAAATTAATTCTGACAATTCACAAACGGATAATTCATCGTGAACCTTCCTATAACGGTCACTTGAGAGATACTCACAAAACAGAAGGAAATACAGAGCTATTTCCTAAAGAATTTATTTTGAGACGGAACGGCGCTCTACAAGGTTAATTGCCGCGCTTTGGGTTAATTAGAAGAAAAAAATAATTCAGCGTCGTGTTGTCTTCAAAGGAAAATATGTTTAAGAGTGAAAAACAACTGTGTTTAAGGTTTGAATCCTTTATGATCACTAATGGTTATTGTAGAAGTCATATTTTGTTTCACTACAGAGAATATACATCTCAACTCTTGTCATGACACACTGAGGAGAACAGGAGAAGTTATGTAATGCGATGCATGATAGAAATCACACGAATTATGACTTAAATTGAGCATTAAAACCAAATAGCGATCATTGCCGGATAGTTAAGAGTCAGTTTGGTTAGATTCGATCGATTTTTTCGGCAATAATTGCTGAACTGTTTTGTATAATATACTGAAACGATCCATAATTTCTCACGCAAAAATGTACTCTGATATTTGGTAAGTACGTCTAAGATTCCGGAAGTAACAAATATTCAAGGGAATAAGGAAAACTACTTACTTATGTGATCGATGGCTCCAGCACAGAACTGTCCGAAAAATTTCTTAGCTCCTAAATTTTTCAAGTCCACAATTAAGAATGGCCACAGATGAAGGACATTGTTGCGAGAAAAACGATCTCGTTTTTCGATGACAACGACGTAAGCACCGAGCAAAGCGGCTTCAATTGCCGATCTCAATCCACATGGCCCTGCACCGATGATGAGCACTTTATTTTTGACACACGGCTTGTTTCTGTAGTCCTTGTGTTCCGCTCGTTTGTCTAGTTTCGTCCATAGAGACTTGCACTTCCAAGAAGTTAATTTGGACTTGAGGGAAGCATATAGCGTCTTGTGATTTCGGGGGTTCACGTCGACGCTTTGACAAAGTTTTCGGAAAACGTCTAGCGTCTCCTGGAGATCGGTAGTTTGAAGAAAGGCATCGAATAGTTCACCCGGCGTCAGAGTGCAGATCTCTTCTTTGAAATGACCATCTTCTTTATCCATAGCGCATCAAATACTTGACTCTCGTGAGCTCGGAGGAGTGGTTCGCTCAATAGCTGATACTTGTCAATGCTCCAAATAACTCGAATTATTCACCTTTTTACCTTTTGAGCGATAGTTTCGACGGGAGCCTTTCCAAGTAAGTTTCTAACTTGAATCATTTCTTCTTAGTTTTAAGCCAAAGATACAAAATTCAAGCGAAACATGAGCATAATTTCCATGTCAAACAAGACGTTTATGTAATAAACAAAATTTTAAAGGTAGGGAAGTTTGTCAGCGGTGTCCTCCCAAGAGACTTCCTACTCTATTTACATTGTACTTCTTTGCTCTCTCTCTTTTGTACTTCAAAAACCGGAAGTCACGGGCTTGTCACATCAGAATTATTTGGCAATGAGGCAATGAAGTGACTTGAATTCGTCATTTGCTTATATAATTCCTAAGGTTAAGGGTTAATCCCTTATTTGAAGAAGAAAACTATAAATCAAATGCTGTTAAGTGAAAACTATTTCATCTCTCTGTTAGCCTCGACCTTTTAAAATCACTCAAGCTTGTGATCATCACATCGAAATCAGCATCCACGACGTACATCATTTCCGGTAGCATGTGAATAACCTAACCATTTTGAAACTACTGATGTAGTTTTCGTGCAATAATCTTTTTTCGTTGGGAAAAAAAGGTAGCTGACGGTGAGAACCGTCAAAATTTCAGTTTCGCGAGGATGGCATCCTCTTTGAGAAAGCCTCAATATGTTTTTTTTTTTCTTGTTAAGATACTTTCCAATACATATCAAGCTATGATGTTAATTAAAAAGTATCGTTTCGTTAAATATCTTCTGGGCCAGCAAAAAAATTAAACGAAAATATTTTCATTTACCTTGACCTCTTTTGCGGCATGCTTCAGCGAAAGGGCTGCAACAACAGGTCTCGTGATTTAAAGGACAAGAATATCCTTTTCAACTGACCGAGGTGCTTACGTGGCTATGTCCTCAGGGCCTTGGGGCAGTTGATTGTTCCTGAGTCTTAAAATGTTGTTGTGAAGAGTACAAATTTGAGGAGAGGTTTTATTCAGTGTTGAACTACCCCCATTAATATTACACAAGCACAAAGAATAGATTTAGTGAATACTTCGGGTCGATAAATCCTAGGTTCTAGCGCTTCAAGTCTTTTTGCTAATTTTATAACTTCGCAATTTCGTTTACAGGAATGAAGAACGTGAAATAATTCAGCAACTGAGGAACCGCACGTAACTGTTCTCTGATGATTTCTGAGGTCACTGAACATGCCTTTCACTGCAAAAAAAAAATAAATAAAAAAATGACGGTGCTCAGTTGTGTATGAGGCCGGAGAAACGCATTACCTATGCGAGTTACTTAAATTTACGCCGGTAAAACCTCAAAGTCTACTTTTATGACGAAAACCATCTGTATATTCTAGGTAATAAATTATTTACAAAACGATTTCTAGGTTCATCTTCCACCCTCTTTCCGTTTTTTTTCTCTTTCTTTTCATTTCAGACATTATAATATTCATTTCTTCTCCTGCTTTGAGAGTGGAACAAGGCCTTTTATCAGTGGTAGTCTTTTGAAACTGAAATATCTTGAGTCCTATATATATGGCAGTTTGAAGTTGCAGTTAGAAGTGCATAAGTTGAACGCAACCTTGATCAAAAAATTATTCAATTTTCTTATCATCTAATTACATCACGGGGTGGAACTGAAAAAGAAAAAAGTGACCAATTAATTTCAACTGTTTAAAGACTTTCATCATTCAAGATCAAAAATGATCATACCTGCTCGTGACAGAATCCTACCCAGCATGATGAAATAAAGCTTGATAAATAGAGTTATGGTTGATTTTAATTTTATAGCAATTGCACGTGTTTAGGTCGTGTCGGTTCTTAATATCCATCTGGTTTCATGCGGGGGATTTTTAATTTCGGTGAACTTATCCGGAAGATTCAGTTTTACAAGGCTGCTGGAGTTGACATAAGTTTTAGACACCTTGTATAGATTTTTCAGGTCTTTCTTCAATAGCAAAGTAAAAATGACTGTTGTACCTTGTTACAAAAATTGATGAAACACCTGAATAGTAACATTTTGCTTCAAGCAAAGTGTTACTTTAATGAGTCCTCATGGAAACAAAGATTTCTGTGCCTGATTTGCAAAGTTTGCAAATCAGCCATAGAAATCTTTGTTTCCATGAGGACTCATTATCACTGACAAGTTTTTTTTTTTTACATCAATCTAAATCTCTGTGAACCCACAGTTATCCACTTTCAACCACTTGCGCACAGCTGTCTGCAAATTTGTTTTGCAACTGAACAAATTGCTTCTTTCAACAGCACTCGATCGATTTAAACACCGAAGATAATTAGTTATTTTGATTCTTTACATTTCGCGTAATGAGCTAAGACAGGGTCTTCCTTGCAGGAAAGCAGAGAGAGATACACATTACGAGTTGCGGTCAAACTGAATCACCCCAACACCAACAAAAGTTCCTCCTATAAATTCAATCAGGGTTCAACTGCTGTTTCGTTTGAGGAAAGCCGAAGTATGGCAGCCATTTTAAGGTCGATCTTTGGATTCCCCCTGTGTTGCTTTCCTTGTTTAGGGAAAGCGAAGAAGAATCCAGTGTCACAAGCCAGTGCAGGAATCGGAGATTTGTGTGGTTCATCTGGAGCAGAGGAGAAATGTCCCCTTTTCAAAATTTTTGATGGATCTTCCTCAAGGTTAGTTTATATTTACCAAAACGATCATGCCAATCATCTCCATCTAAAAAAAGGATTTCATTAATCAAGAGCCTTGTATTTCTTCTTTTTTATAAAGATTTGAGACTTCAATTCGCGACAATGGTATATTCTTTGGCCAGTTTTGATCTCTATTGACTTATCTGTAAGCATGGAAAAATATTCCTGTTCATTGTTGTCTAACGTACAACAAGCTTTAACGTTACAGCAGCCTTTTTGGTCCCCTCTTCTATTGTGGCGCTTTCTACACGCTTTAGTAGAATTCTCCCAAATCCTATGGATCGTATTTTCGGTCACTTAAATGGAGCTTCCCTGAAAAAACCAAAGATGTTCTCCTTGACTTATTTGAACGCGAAAATCACTTCTCAATGATTTGAAGCCACCATTGCAATTTCAGAAAAAAAGAGTAATTTATTTTCTAAAATAAGCGGGTAAAGGAATTAATTCTCAATTAATTTATATATCAGCCATCGGTGATTTCCTTTATACAAATTCATCGGTTTAACGCTAAAAGATAATAATGTTATTCATTAAATTTTAAATACCACACAGTCGACGTAAGAATTTGTAACGATAAGGGGAGCACGTACAACCGACGGTGCGTTTTCAACACTTATTTCCCTCCTCAACCAAATAAAAAAGAAATACCAACAACTTCGCCATACCACCCTGTCCATGTCGTAACCAGAAAGTTACCATCTGTTCAGGAAGAAACTGCATGAATGAATAATATGCTTTTTATCTCTTTACATAGCGCAAGTGGTCAGCGGAAAACGCCAACTGGAAAGAAGAAGACGTCCATTCGGGATGTTTGAGAGGTATTCAAACCAATTGACTCTCAAAGAGTCTTCTTCCTTTTGATTGCGTGTGGAGAGGGGGAGGGTGGGGAGACATCAACTGTAGATAGTTAGGGCGCATGAAGTTACCTCTTTGTCCAGGGTTTTGTCATTTGCCCAGCGGTTTGTCTGTCGTTAGAAAGTTAGCAATTTTTTTCAAATTTGTCGTTGCAATTCGTGCTCATCGCCTGCCCTTCAGCCATACTTGTTTTTTGGACGGTTAGATATTTCTCGGGTGTTTAGCTACCGTCTCAAACAGTTATTTTATTTCCAGTAAGCAAGCCCCTTCAAAACCTTCTATGCCAGCACTGGGGCACGAAAGGTGTTCTTTCTTTTCTTTTCAACGAAATTTCAGTGTGACTGACGCTTTTGTCTTTCTTTTGCAGGCGATCGTGGCTCAAATTACCTCTATTTGTCATTGTTGTCCGACCACGTAGGTCAATGCTTCGACGTTATCCAAATAAATCTAGTACGCTACTGTAACATTTATAAATTGGATAGTTAATAGAAAAAAATAGTAAAATAGAGCTCTTGTAACGTTAAACATGTCAATAACAAGGAGTTCCATTGTCAACAATGAGTACATCGTTAATATAGACCCGTAAACATATAACAATAGGAAGACTTAATTCGACCTTAAATCCGACACATATTAACTGCACAACATGGGTTTAAAACTCTGTGATCTGCGGGTAGACTTTTGCAAATGTGTAGACATTGCAAACAAGACAATAAAAAAGGGGCCATATCAGTTCATAGTGAATATTTTATTTGATATGCATTGAATTCATTACAATGACAAAAAAGGGCTCGAGCCATTAAAGCCATTTCACCGCTCCTCAGTCTCTCCGCATTTCTCCTGAGGATATTTTCTATATTTCTCCTGATAAGAACTCTTTGCAAAGCATCGAGCAGCAATCAGGTCACATTTGCACAACAGGCTGCGACATTTGCCAGACATCATATATGACGAAGGGCGGTCTGCAACATTAGATTTGAAAAGGAGTAAAATTAGTGAGTATTAGTTTATACTAAAACAAACGATAGCATTGAAGGCACGCTCTGATTGGCTACTCAAACTCCGAAAATCCTTTTCTATTTACCTCCTGCAGCTGATAATACTTGTGAGAAAAAATTCGGACTCCCGCCTTTGCGGTCGTTTGATTTGGTTAACACTCGTACAATTACAGATTGAACTGGACTCCACACGGTTTTGATACCATTACCTCGGTATCAAAAAAAGGGGAAAAAAAAAAAAGCGCAGTTTTACATTTGATTGGTCGAGAGCGTGGTGCGATTTCACTTGACCAATCACAAAACGTAAAGACGCCAAAGCCATGAAAATCCGAAGAATTTGAAACACCGAATTGAAAGTTGCTCTTCAAGGTTTGATCAAGAGTATGTCAATCCTTAACGTTCTTTTCATTTGCTTAAGATTATTTTCTCCAATTTTTTCCTATGAAAAATGTTCTAATATGAATAAAGGGGATAAGTTTCTAAAGAAACTGTGGTGATGCGTCGGTGGGAGAGTAAAACAAGGTATTATCAACCGAGGTGATAACGTTATTTGGCCACCATGAGGAGTTTTAAAAGCAGACGTTTCGAGCATTAAATCTTCAACTTACTGCATTTCGTTTTTTCACCATCTCCGGTTACTGAATACGACATAAGGTACACTGCCTTCTCGAATGGGCAATCCTCTGATTGCATAATTTCATCGTAGCATTTATCATGGGCCTTACAACACCTGCGAATTAATGAATGGATTGACCGTAGGCCAACCATCCTGATCAGTTGAGCTATCTTTGTTGATTGATCAATATACGCCGTATGAAGATGAATCAATCAGCCATCATCAGTAAAGAAAGCACTGAATGAAACATATGCGTACGCATCACAGCCTGTCTGTATGTTTCGATAGGAAAGTGATCATATTTATCGCCCGTGGAGGGAAGGGGGGGGTGGAGGTGAGAAATTTGTGGGGGATCACGCTTTTTTTCAGGGGGAACGGAGGGTGATCAGCTGTCGCCAACAAAGTTTAAAGTGGGTGGGTGGGGGGGTGGGGGTGGGACAATAACCGGGGACAACAACCAGTCCCTTGGGTCATGTGTTTTATCTCTCCTTGTAGTGATCTAATGATCAATCATTCAAACACCCTTTGACTCTTGATTCAAGTTTAGCAACGTGAGTGGTAGACGGTTCTTGCAGTAGCTTCGAACTTAGATCCTCTGTAAGTGAAATTTTATTCGAGTCACATGAAGTAATTTATATCCTAAAGACTACCATCTAATATCTTACCCATCGATAATACAGCCGAATCCTCGATGTGCTATGAAATTCTCAATCTTAGCTTGTTATAGCTACAACTAGCAGAATAAAGGAAAGATACTCGCCCGTCCAAATCATCCACGGGTTTGCCTTCCCCACCAATTCCACACCAGCAGCCATAACCAATGAAATCTTTAGGATTTCTTTCAGTGAACTTATAAACCAACATGCCAAAATTGATGACGTTTCTTTTGGTGATGTTGTCATTACCGCCTTTGATTACGTAGAAGAAAACAAACAAAACAGAAAAAAGCGAAAACAAGAGAAATTACTGACAAACAAAATTAAAACTAAAAAATGAAATAGAGTTATAATGAAGAAATACTCTTTTTATAAGAACTGACCCGAAAGCTCTGTGCACGACTTGCACTTGGCTATTATTTTATTTATTCGTTTCGGCTTGAGAAACATTTCCCTCGTCACCGTTTTTGAAGACCTTTTTCTGGGCGTTACGAAGAAAACAAAACCGTTTTCCTTAATTACCTATATTGTATGAACGGATGGAATAACATCTTCAGTTTAAAGTTACTTTTACTGTGAAGACTGGCATTTGATTGGTGGAAAGCAGATCGATAGACAAACTCAGAACGAAATTGAATGTTCTGTTCGAAAGTTGCACAACACGGATACAGTAAATATCGTACTTCGAATCCTGTTAGTTTGAAGACCGTTATCTTAATTATAGATCTTAAGCATCTTATGAAAAGAAAGTCAGTTTTACTTATAAGATCATGGTTCAGATATAATTAATTTTTTTACCTCCTCTTGATGGGTCGGATTCCACCCGCGCGATGAATCCCAAGAGTATTGGCCACAGAAAAATTAAGTTGGATCCCATGGCTAAACTGTAGTTCTTGAGGTGATTTTAAGAAGAAGTTTCAGTTTAAAACCAAAGAAGCCGTAACCTCTTATAAGTGATTTGTTGAACAGTTCTAGCTTCGCTTATATATATATCAAATACCACGTCTCGTTCTCTGCTTAAAGTGGCTTAAGGTAAATTGATTTTCCGAGCCTTTATCAAAATGACGCTGTCAAAGACTTTTCTTTAACACATATAACGTTGCATGTTGTATATATACTAAACTTAAAAAGTAAAGATTCACCTCCGTTTATTTTGAATTCAAAAATGTTAATTCAATTCACTCTATCGGAAATCACAAACAAACAAGCGAAAAACAATCAGATGAAAAAATGGCAAGGATTGAAAAAAAAACGGCGCGGTATTATTTCGATCCTTACTCCGTCGACTTTTCAGAAAGGAAGAAAACCTTTGGGGTGTAGAAATAAGCCGAGATTTCAATGAATACTGTTCAAAAAAGCTCTGTTAATTGGCATTTGAGTCCACTAACCTCTGTGTGTTGCTTCCTCTGCTCTGATTTAACTAAAAAAAATCTTAGCGTTTGACTATTATATATTCCCTAATTTCGTAATCCTTTTGTTTTTTCAAGAGGTGGGGTTTTCAAGTGACTTAATACCATTGAATGGATTACCCGAGCAATAGAGTTACCTGCAGTGAACAGTAGCATTTGGATTTTGTCACTATCCTGATGGCAGGTAAGTCTGGGTAGACCTTAAGTTAATATTCATAAACTTAGAGCTAAGCAATTCCTTGCTAATACCAAACCGTTCAATGGTGCTCTTTGCATACTCTCAGTGACACGCTGGCATCGTGATGCATAGCAGGACCAACAATCCAGCTGGTCAGAAGTAATAAGGACTCTTAAAAAAGTTCCAGTCAAAAGAAGAAGGGTTGAATGGTTGAAGAACTGTCTATCAAAAAGAACGCACTACAAATGCTAGATTTGATAGATCCGTTGCGGATACGTGATCACCAAAACAAATTCGTAGATTTACGAATCTGGCTAGAGGAGATATCAGGGAACAAATCAATTCCAGTACTGTATGATCATGATTCAAATGTAGAGACGAAAAACAGAAGGCTATGGAGCAGTCTCTCTGTTCTGTTTTTAAAACAGAACACAATCTTTGAAACGTGTTGCTACAGTCAAGCACAGTACGGATACCTCATCTACACCCAATAAAAAGATCTAAGTCAGAGACGCATGCCTCGAATTCACTCACTTCCCATCTGCAATATTTTGGAAAGATAATTTGGTACATTTTAGGTTTGAAACATTACCCATGATCAGTAAATATCATGTAAGACTGAAACAAACTCTGAAGAAGGATATCGTCTCGGCGTTTATTTTTATTAGAACCAGCTCTAGAAGAGCAACGATGAAGTGTTAAAGCTCTTTCTGTCAATCATAGAACAATGAAATGTTTTTCTTCCAACTGTACACAACTTGTGTCTTTCTAGCATTTCTTCTGCGGGTAGTTTTTATACTTCCGATTATAACGACTCTTTGCAAAGCATCTGACCGCCACGGCATCACATCTGCACAACAAATAACGACACTTGCCCCAGTACCAATACGAGGAAGGCCGTTCTGTGGAAAAATAATTATTTATATTATTTGTAATCAAGCAAAGGAAACGAACAAATTTTTCTTTCGAAGAGACTTAAGATAAAAAAAAGGTAGATGCTTAATTTGGTTGCCATCAAATTGCTGTTTCTCTAATTCTCCACAATAGCAAAAGGCCCAGTTTGCTTGGTCCACCCTGGCGCAAGTTATCTAGCTCGCCTACGGGTCGATTCTCCCGCAAAAGACTTCGCCCACTGGTCGGTTTCACCGACAAGTCGTCTCGCCTACCGGTCGCTTCGCCCACAAGCTATTTTGCTTACAGGTCCGTTTCGCCTTCAAGTCATCTCGCCTGCGAGTCGGTTTGACCACAAGTCATTTCGCCCACAGGTTCGTTTCGCCCTCAAGTCATGTTCCCCAGACATTGCTCTTGAGCCGGCGAAGCATTTGGTGATTTACACCGATCGCCATGATTGACGCATGAAATGGCTAAGTGTGTCACCGGCTCAAAATATGAAAGGAGTGAAAAGAAGCTAATTCACCGTCAATGATACTGCTGGTTATCGCGCAGTCTCCAGAACCTAGCACTCATGTTTAAACCTTAATATTATGTCTATAATAATATGAAACACATGAGATAAATCCATTAGATAAAGTTTAATGGAAAAAATAAAAACACTAGGAATTGTCCAATGCATCAAGATTGCAACGTACTACAATCCAAAGGTCTCCCTCTCCTAGTTGAATATGACAGAGTATACACGGCTGCCTTAAATGGACACACGTCGGACTGGAGTTTGTTATAACACATGTCATGGACGTAGCAACACCTGAGGACAAACAGCCAAGGCTTAGTCATTCAAAAGGCGGATAGTGTTATCTAACGTATAAATCATTATACTGCGGATTTGTTTTGACAAAACATACTGCACTATCCACCGAATAGGGAATTATCCCATGGATCGTGATATCCATCCTTCAAACAACCGGGGCCAGGAGTACAATGTCCTAAATGCTCGGTAGAAACGTTGAACATGAAAAGTAAGAACACGAAGAACTGAGATGAATTGGCATGGCTCACAGTTGTTTCCAGGTTTTACCGCGCAGATACGCCTAGGTATCAGGTTCTCAAACCTCATAAAAACTTCGCTGGTAATCTGTAACGAAGTAGTTATACAATGTTGAACTTCTTACGTGGAGGTGCCGGGTTCAGAGGGTTCCAATGGGGTTCGCGGAGAACCATCAAACGGCGTAACATTTAAGCTTTTAATCGTCAAAAACGATAAATTTTTAACGTCTAACCTTCAAAAAGCAGCTTCACATTAACCGTTAAACGGGTTCAAAGTCTTCTTGATCTCACTACTTGAGCCGCTCGTCACAAACATTCCCAAGGGTTAAATTTAGCGTCACGAATTCGAAGATGGTAAACGAAATATTATTTGTGTAAGTGGTTACATACTCACCTGTCCAAAACATCCACTGGGTCTCCCTTCCCGCCATACCCACACCAGCAACCATAACCATTGAAATCCAAGGGATTTCTTCTAGTAACTTTATATATCATCCAACCAAAATTTAACACACTTCTCTTGGTCGCATTGTTAGTTCCGCCTGTTATCAAAATATAACACTTCATCCTTATACTTAATGCGAACATTTGTTAGATAATTAGTAATGAGATCATGTATGATGATGTAGTGATGAATTGATTTCGGGAACCCTTTGTGAATATCTGAATTCTTTAATCCGTCATGTGTAAAACATTCCATTAACCCTTTAACCCCTTAGAGTGATTAGTAACTATTTTCTCCTTTCAGTATCACCCCTAAAACAAATATTGAGGTCATGAGAATAAAAGAAATGACCACTAACTAAAGAGGCTCTTGATTGTTAAACAAATTCTCTTTGTCGGTACCATAGGAAATGAATACAGAACAGTATGGAGAAATTGTATACCGATGTTAGGGTGTAAAGGGTTAAAAAGAATCCCATGTTCAGTTTCTCGTACTAACCCCACGTTATATCCTTACAGAAAGCAACAATCGGTGATAGGGATATGCTATCAAATAACTAAACGTCAGTTCTATAGATGTGACATTTAGTTGTCTCCTAGCGCAGTCCTGAATACGAAATCCATTTTGGCGGTAATTTTTTCATGTTTTTCCTAAAGACACCTTCGAATGGAGCATCAACAGCGTTTTGAGTATTAATCGAAGTTAAAACTTACAAATGTATTGTATATGTAGCTGTACACATCTGATAGCTTCCCTTGGCGCTGGGGCTAAGGTCTTAAAATGATAACATTTCAGTCAACAGGTACTTATCAATTTATCACATTTATTTTATTTTATTTTACCTCTGTCATTTAATAGACTTTGCAGACGACCAGGTTCTTCAAGGGCAGTCCTGACAACAATGGCACCACTGACAACTGACATCAGCAAAATCAATTTGATTCCCATAGTGTGCTGTAATCCAAGAACCTTAACAAAAAATTGTTTACTTCTAATCCACAATCCTAGAAACTGTGAAATCCTTTTAGGTTCTCGCCTTTCGATAAATGAGAATCTCGAACACTTACTGTGTTGTTCAAGAACACTTTCGAAGGCCGGGGTTCGACCCTAAATCTTCCCTTTCGGATATCAGCGCACAAATAAATAGGCCACCGCGTCAATCACTTTCTCGGTTACTAATTAATTTTAAATTTTAAATGTTCATACCAATTCTACAGCATAGTGGCTTTTATTTTATAACGACAATGATCATTTCTGGTTAACGACCATAGCAAGAAAACCATGAACAACTGTGTGATTCTGTAATGGTGAACAGTTCTTATTTTGATGAGAATAAGGTTTCGAACCTGATTATCAAATTAATTAATTATTTTCATCTTTCGATGACTCAGGAAAGCTGATCCGCACCCTCGAATTCAATTCATTACAAAGTAAATTGACCTTTCCCGAAACCTTTCGAAACCGCTCTATCCATATAGGTAATTTAGTTTTCCTTAAGGTGACTCTGCATCATGGAAAATAAACCATGAATGTTTTTTTTCTTCCCTAGAAGCTGATTACGAAAAAGAGTTTTAAAAAAGCAAGATCTTTGCCTTCACAAATTGTTCTTTTGTTGGCCGATAATCTAACTTATATATATGGAAACAACACCAGAACAACCAACAGCTTTCGAGGAGAGAAGAAAATCGAGAATCATGCAATAAACATTGAATTCTAGACGATCACACTGACCTTAAAGCAAATGTGGAAATTTCCCACGCAAATTTCTCTTGGCTGTGATTCAGTAGCAAAAAGAGCATACGATAAGCCTCCTCTTCGAACTGTTCGTTAAATTAAATGAAGGCCATGACATTTTATAGCCGGTTAATGGAATTACCTAACCAACTAATGGGCAAGCCAAAAATCCATTAACGAGTAAGGTTTTACAGGTAAGTATTTATTTCATTGTGGGGTGAAATTTCATTTTTTCGTGTCGAGTAACCTGCTTTATACGAATCCGGATGATGAAAGTGCAATTTCGTCGCCTTATAATTCCCAATTAAATGGCGCTCACTTGTAAAATCATAAATTAACTTCAGTGTCAATCAATTAATTTGGCACTTCTGGGCTAATTGTAGCATGTAAACGTAAACATGTGCAAACGAATAGAGTTTTTCAAACAGAATATGACCATAAATTATTAAAAATTCAAATCGGCGTGAGTGTAGCGCGGAGGGTGGGATGGCTGGGAGCAAAACAACGGACTATCTATTGAAAGCAACGAATACTGAGTTCTAATGTAGCGTTCTACACAATTCAATTATGTTCATGGGTTCAAACCCGCACAAGCCTGAATTTTTTTTTCAGGCATTATTTTCATAACTGCTCAAGTAGTGTTCCGTTACTGCGAAGATCGCTTTCATATTCACGTCTTTATGTGCAGTTCAAATATACGACTTTCATATATTCACGGTTGGATAAAATTTTCATAGAAAAAAATTAATAATGGACGAAATAAATTTATCTTTTTACTTTATTGTACTACTCGGCCGATTTTACCTTAAAGAGAGAAAGAGCTCACAGACAGAAAGAAGTCTATGGATGCTCAGTTGATAGAGTCAGCAATCATGTAGGCGCAAAGCAATACTAAGCTGCCAGGTTGATCAAACGTTTATGCCGATGCTATTCCTAATAAATAACGTGCAAGCGTCGTAACTACCAAAGTAGGATTGTTTATTAGCATTCGGTTTTTAATTGACACGTTATCACGATTGTAAGATAAGCAGAAATCAAGTAATCCTCACCCCTTTCTTGCGTATTTGAAATTTTGCCTTGTTAGTTTTAGTCCCGTTCTACTTTCTTTTATGTCCATGCTTTACTTATAGCGCAACTAACAACCTTAAAGAAATGCGATGGCGTTATACAGATGTAATCCCACAAATAACCATTTGGCTTTTACACATATTTGTTTAATTGACATAAAATTTTTCGACCACGAGACAGAGCATGTTTTGAAAGTTATGCATTATTTACACTTTTATCGATAAAATAGAAACCCGTTTGAACAAAATAAGACCTCCTTCCCCTTCACTAGATCCACGTTGAACGCAAATTAACATGCTTTTGAAAGTAAGGCTCTTCTGAAATAAGAGACTTAAGTCAAGGAATCGAAAAATCTTGTAACATCAGAAATAAAAATAAAAGAAAAATGACCATTTTTCATGATAAATCATGTGACATTAACGACGAACATTGGTTCTATTTTGCAATACTGGAATTTACTTGTTTTCCTACCTTATTTTTTTTTCTTTTTCGTTATTTCGAGTCTTTGTTTGAAACAAAATTCTAAGGCTTGGCTTCAATAAACTTACGATTACCTCTACAATAACTGAGACATTTGATTACAAAATGCGTTTGAATCCCAATTGGATTTTTGTTAGAGTTCATGGAAACGCTTGGGCACAGTTTCTGAGTTGTAGTAATGCTATGCAAACAAGTTCCCAAACGGGATCAAGTTGTTCTTTCCCAGGTACATCTGTGAAATTGACTTCTTCAGTGTTGATACAACTCTCACTTCTGATGTATTCTGTCACATTCAAGTGAATTATCCTCGATAGGCATTCATGTTCCTCCAGTTTCCATACGATGTTCTGTACGCCTGATAAGGGTTCGGGTATTGAGACCTCGCTCGGGCGTATTGCTTGTACTGTGCGTAGTAATCATTTGACCGAGACGCAGGGTAATAATTTCGATAACCGTAGGTGGCAGGTGTCATACGTGTTTGCGAGTAGGAGAGTGGCCTTATGCTATTCAATGCGGCGTTCCGGCCGATACAACACTTGACTGAACACACTGGAGCGCATGTACTCGGGCACGATCCAGGGCAGGTGGGGGCAGGGGGAGGTGCTGGAGCAGGCATGGGATAGTATATTGGAGATGGGGCTGGGGCAGGAGGTGGACTGCAACAAGTCTGAGAACATGCAGGGAAGCACTTAGCTGGGCATACTCCGGGACATGTTGGAGGCAGCTGGGGAGGGGGAGGCGGAGGAGGAGGAGGGGGCGGTGGAGGAGTGCAGCAGTTGATGTCACATCTGGGAAAGCACTTGTATGGTTTGTGGCATGGTAGAGAACATACCTGGTCATGAAGAAGAATGCAGTGTAAGAGAATTCAATTGATGCCATAAACGGATGGAATCGCATGTAGTAGTGTTTAGTTTCTAGGTTGTGTGAGGCTCGGGAGCAAACGTTCTGTAGATAATGATTACCATATATTATATTATATTACCATATAACCAATTAAACGAGCAAAGAATTTTCCAGCTAGCTGTGGCGGTTGCACCTAGATCACAACCATTGGGAGACAAGAGAAATCACAACGGCATGACAGCAACACAGCATGACAGTCTCCATTGACAATGCCAATGCCAATCTGATTCTCACAGTTGTAGTAAATTGAACACGAAACTAAGTGAATGGGATATATCTAATTGGAACTAGCAGAACTTGAAGGATGAATGACTCATCAACTTACCGGCACAATCTTCGGATGCTGTATACATCGGTAGACAACTCTGGCATACTTATAAACCTCAGGGCACATGATAGAATTTTTCTTTCCCAGAAAAGCACTAGTGGCTGCCACGGAACATTTGCTTTCTCCTTGACACAAATCAAATAACTTCTCATTGATTCTATGTTCGTCCTTCACACAGTGTCCCTTAGAAGGGAGTACTTTGTGTTGACATGTGTTGTTATCATCTCTGCCGTAAAATGTACTGTATAGGGCGATGCGATCATACCTAGAGAACACGAGCAAGGGGTTAATTGCAAGATTTAATTCTCACACCAATGACTTTGAAAAAGTAATTTTACCAAAGCTGTATCTCACCACAAGTTTTAGCTTCTCTGCGAAGCTCTTTTTACAAACTGTCATGAAAATGTGTATGGCACAGCTTTATTGGAAAGCTTAGAAAATTGACCGAAAAAAACACAAATTATCATGCTTGAAATTTCATGTATTTCCCAAGGAACACTATCGGAAGTGTCACGTAACAAATGTTTTTTTTTCTTTGGCTTGTTTGTATGTTTGTCTGCAAGGAGCAAGAGAAACATGAAATCGCTGCGCCTTGATAAAGCATAGATATAACAATACATAACCAGTAGTTATATACAAGAAGAAAACAAGTAAAGGTATCGATGAATAAGGAAGGGAAGGATTAGAATTTGCTGACCCTAGGGTTGTGATAATTACTGATCTTAATTCATTCGTTGCACAATGATATCACATACTTGTTTGGGCATTTGATCTTCAGTTTATGTCCCTCGCAAGCTACCGCTACCTTCTGTTTCCTCTTCATGTACAAAGGCATCGGAGGAGGCTTGGGTTGGCAACATGATGAGGAACACTGGGGGTAGCACTCCTTTGGGCAGTCCGATGGACAGGGAGGTGAAGGAGGAGGTGGGGGAGGCTGAGGAGGTGGAGAGGGGGTTGGAGAGGGTTCGGGAACAGCTGTAGGAGAGGGGGAGGCAGCCGGCGCAAATGCTGCTGGAGAAGGAGGAGCAGCGGGATATTGAAAATATGCGGCAGGTGAGGGCGCCGACTGTGCAGGCTGTTGGTAGTAATACCGCAGCTGTTGCTGCCGCTGTTGTTGCTGCTGTTGTAGCAGCCGCTCCTGTTGATATATGGACGATCGTTGAGCTGTGTAGCAACACATCGCGTTACACCCAGGGTAACACCGAGGAGAGCAATTTCCCGGACAGCTTCCTAAGAAGAAGAAATATATTATGTATCAGTGATAAAAGAAATTCTAGTAATTGTTTTGAATACTTGTTTTAAATAGCGGGGCAATTGACGGTGTAACTTCTTCGGACCAGAGACATCAGCTCAAAAATCAACACTAACGCTATTCTATTGATTACCACCTGGAAGCCTGCAGGATAAAAACAATTATCTAAATTTCGTCAATCAAATTTTTAATTATTTTAAATGGTCATTAAGTCAGTCAGTCAGTCAGTCAAACAGTCAGTCAATCAGTCAGTCAATCAGTCAGTCCCTCAGTCAGTCCGTCCGTCCGTCAGTCAATCAGTTTATTAGTCAATCAGGCAGTCGGTCTCTCTGTCTGTCTGTCAATCAGTCAGTCAGCCAATCACTCAGTCAGTCAGTCAATCAGTCAATTAGTCAGTCATTCAATCGGTTAGTCAGTCAGTCAGTTAATCAGTCAGTCAATCAGTCAGTCAGTCAGTCAGTCAGTCCGTCAATCAGTCTGTCCGTCAGTCAGTCGGTCAGTCAGTCAATCAATCAGTCAATCAGTCAGTTCGTCATTCAATCAGTCAGTCAGTCAGTCGGTTGGTCAATCAGTCCGTCAGTCGTTCGTTCAGACAGTCGCTTAGTTAATAATTCTGTCAGTTACTTTGTCAGTTAGTGCGTCACTCACTCACTCACTCACTCACTCATACACTCACTCGATCCATTTGTTTTTTTACTGACTTCTTAATATGAACTTACCAAAGAAAGATCCTTGCGCCGTAGAAATGAATGAAACAACCGCTATGAAACTTGCCAGCCACATGTTGATTTACAACCGCAACTTTCTGGAAAAATCATAGCAACATTAAGATATATCCATAAGATATAACCGTAATAAAACCAGTTAAGATGATTTTAAACAAGAAAACTCCCAACAAATTTGAACATTTTCTCCTCCCCAGGTTTCGCCCGCTTTTTCCCAGTATTCACCTGTCGTAAACTGGCTCTGTGTCTTTTGTTAATTTCAATGGTCTCGAAAATGTTAAGAGATGAATAAGCGTGTATAGCGCATTAATGCGAAGAGCCACATAAAATATCGAAAATAAATTTTGTGGCAAAGCTTAGCAAACAATTGGCCCATAAATCTTTCAAATGGTAGAGTATTTACTGATCATTAAAAGTACCGTTCCACACTGGACCACAGTCTGCGATTCTGATAAGCTGAAATTAATAAATTTAATCGGATTTAGCAGAGTTTTTCGCAATGTTTTTCACCTCATCCCCTGATTTCGGGACGAACAGCGATTTAGGGTTTTGGTACGGGAGCTCACGGCAAACCTGGTCCGCATATGACACCAGGTTTGGAAATCGAACTCGATCCACAACGTTGACTTGGAGAGGCTAATGATCTCACCTCTGCGGATCTGTGCCGTATCTTAAGCCCAAGTAAAAAGGCACTCTTACGAAAAGACTATAATCTGGTACAGAATATTGCAGTCTCAAGGGGAAAAGTGTCCACGATTTTCTCTCTGTTTGTAGAAACTGCAAAACCTTGAAAGAAAGTCAGTTGTTTACATTTTAAGTGTCGTGAAAAGGTAGCCGCCAATGACCCATTTTGTACTTCAATAAGAATTTATTTGTTGTGGTTTCACTCGTGAACCTTCAAGACTCAAACTTTCTTTTGCAGTTTGAGTCTTGAAACAATAGGATACCTTTTCCCACTAATCGCTTGAATTATCAGCCTTTTGAAGCGATGTTTAGGTTTAATTGCCGTAATGTTGTTCGCCTTAAAAGATCACCTGGTACCTGTTTAAATTTCGCACCGTAACGTTTGGAAAAGGCTTCTAAACAGTCCAAAAGATCTCTTTGTAATCAACCCAAAGATACAACGACATTTCTTAATTAATTAATTTTTCAGTTGAGATTATATCTTCAATTTCTTTTCCTTTTGCGTCGGTGTATGCCACCTTTCGAATTAGTTTGACAATGGTCAGTGATCTAATAAAGTAGCAAAATGAATCATGTCGTGATTTACACAAACAATTTACGGATTAAGACGTTAAAATAAACCAAACATGAAAATTGGATCCCTTTCAAGACGATTTTCCTACAAAATACACTCTAAAACTCTGCAAGCAAAACTACAGGATATCACTCACCACTATATTATTTCGCTTCCGGACTTTTCAGGTGCAGGAATGGGTCTAAAGTAGAACGAGAAGGACAAAACTCACTGAACGCCAAGAATGACAAAATATGTAGTTACCAAATTTATACTTAGATGATTTTCCTGTCAAAACGATTTGCAAGAAGAAATATCTCGGGTTTATTTGAAAACCCGGTACTTCAGATAAAGTATATTCAAATACTTTTGTAAATTACCATTCATTAGCCTTGTCCTCCATTTTTTTGACCGACATGGTGGCGGGGTCGACAAGTTCGTAATGGTAGTGGAATTCCGAAAATAGTATTATGATGTCATTGTACTACCCGTCGCTATGACAATATCGTGCTGGTTAGTTGTATAAGGAGAATAAGCTCAATGATTTTTCAACAGGGCCAATTATAAGGTCGTAGATTCCCTTTTTAAGCTGACTTGACAAAAAAATTAAGTCAGACCTGAGTACATTTTTACATTTCGCCTGAAGATCTTTCGAGCATTAGTTCTGTTCTTGTTGCATCAGTTAGAGCTCAAATGGAGGCAACGAAAATTTCTGATCTGGATATGGAGATTTTTATTTGCCCAGTTTTTGCGGGTTGTGCACTTCCTGAATTTGAATCGAAATTCAAATTAGAATGACGGGGAATAGAAAGAAACAGTAATGATTAATATAAATCAAATAAAATATGTGTTCTTTTCCTATGGGACCCCTCTAAGCGTAGCAAAACGAACCTTTATAGATTTCCTATCACTGGAAATCTTGTCTTTAGGTGCACGCCCCCTACCTTGAAAAGACAGAAGAGGGAACGTTGCCAAAAAAATAAGAAAAATTGTCACTAGACAATTTCCCCTTACATTTCTCATTGTGCGAATTCAAAGAATCAAGTGCTCATGTCATTTTGTAAAAGGGTTGATCTATCAGCTGCCAAGCAACTGAACCTGCGGGCAGCCGCGTACAGATGCATTAACAATGTAGACTTATTGTTGATATTTTAGTGTTAGTCTGTCAATTGTAAATATAAATAGAATTGGTAGAAGCTGGTATGAGACTTGCTAACTTTGCCAAAACTGCGAGCATATAAGCCACTAACTCAGACTTCAGTTGGGTATCGTCGTTCTATTTTGGCAACCGAAACATCCACATCTGATTAAAAAGTGGTTCATTTGATTAGAGTAAGAGGGCACCCCATTTGAATTACCGTTTAACTATTAGTCTTAGGTTTAGGAAGAACAGACAAAACATGGAGGACATATAGGTTTGGCCAACATTTGGTTATTCTAGTTGTGTGTAAGAGTCCTAAGCACTCGGCATCGAATGGCGCAGAACTCCTCAAAATGACCAAGGCCATCACCAGCTTTGAACTAAAAATCCCCCTAGAACTTACCCAGGTCTGCGAAGGATTCTCTGCATCTTAAACTACCTTCAGTACAGGAGAATTAAAGTTTCGTGTAGATCGAAGGGATTTTTTTACACACTGACTGACAACCCTACAATGATACTCGGTGGACCCCAGATAACTACCAAAATCGATACGTATAATTAAAAAAACGACCAAAAGAAACATGGAAGACAAGAGTAGAGATGGGAGGTGAACCAAAAGCATATTGCTGTTGCATGACGCGGGAGCATGGGGATGAGAGGTCAACCAACGAACTGGGCGTGGCAGCGGAAGTTGGAGAAGCAAAAGTGATTTTTGGAACAAATTTTGAATTAGTCTGCAGAAGTTAAAATAAATTAGACTTTCAAGGAGGCGTATTAAGGACAGCCAATATACCAAGGAACAACAAATAAAGATAAATGGAAATCTGAAAATGCCAAAGGTAAAGCCGATTAAAATTTGCTCTTATTGTGGACATAAAAGAAAAACAACAGCATCCCTAGAGTGATATCACAAGTATAATAATAATACACAAAAATTTATTTATGCATGGAAATTGTGTGACTACCAGTTACATCTCATCTTGGACAGTATTTTTCTATTTTAAGTGCGGGCCGTGAAGTGATCAAACAGTGCTAGCTATCGAAGGGAGTGAATGAATTCGAACTATTGGCGAATAATTAACTGACAGTATAAGCTAGCAACAATTGGCTGTGGAAAGCTGTTTGTTTCCTTTTCAATTCCTAAACGTGATCGTTGATCCATAGCACATATGTTTGAACGTAAACAGTGGCAAAGAACATAGCAAGAATATTGTCCTCGAAGATATTTAGTCTCTTTGCAAAGTGATTTTTCACCAGCCCCAGCTACGCCAACAGTCTTACGTATTAGTAGCAACCAGTTTGGAGGGAGGCTCCCTTTCATCTTATCTCAGCATCATAAATAACATCGCGTTGTTCTTCAAGCTCATTCCATTCTCCTGAAGCACTTTGCTCATCACTGGGCCCTTCTCCAGATTCCTCTGGTCGCATAGGAGTCTCTGATTTTTTGTACGTCTCATTGACTTCCGCTGTTTGTGACGACGCGGTGTTGGCCGGGAACGTCTCAGTGATGACGTCAGTTGTGGCCTGGGGTTGAGTAAATTCTTCAGTGATGTCACTTCCGACTTCTGGGGTATTATGTGTATCAATTGGAGTAACCGACGCTTGTGACGTGGCAGTAGTGACTGGTTGACTGTCTTCGTGCTCTTGAACAGTAATTTCTGGTACTGAAGATGAAGAAGACGACGACGACGACGAAGAAGAAGACGTTACCGTGGAAACAGAGGTAGACGAAGTTACGCCTCCCATACCACCACTTATCACCTCGTTGACTGATTGGCTGTTTTCTGAGGCGCTGTCTACATTTGGATAATATGTTCGTGGTGTGCACCTATAAAAGAAAACATTTTACATTTGTCATGATATGGTACGCTGTAGGCCTCCGTGTATCCATTATTTGGTTGGCGAGATTATTCCAAAACCTTCCGCTAGAAGTGTGCGCCACATTTCTATTCTTTCAGACGAATCACGAAGAATCTATTTTAAGTCTATAGACACCCTCCTTCCATGAAAAAGCTGAAGATCTCACTTCTAACCATAATTCTTTGAAGACACATAACTGTTTTAGATTTCTTAATATAGATGTCAGAAGAAAAAGTACAGCTAAACTTAAAAACTGTAGGATCAGATCCTACTGTGCATTTAGGAAAAAAGAAAACAGGCAGGAAAAAAAAGATCACCTGTATTTTATTTCCAAGTATTTGTACACATCAGGGCAGATTGTAGTTCCAGCCTTAGCCAGGAAATCGTTATTAGCTGCCACTTCACAAGCATGTTCCCCTTCGCAGAGACCGACAATCTGAGCCTTAACCTGCGTTTCTTGTTCCTGGCATGGCACACTGGAAGGGATACTTGGATGCACACAGATTTTTGAGTTCTTGCGACCGTACATTGTCCCCACAATTGCTAATTCATCGAAAGGGCTTGGGCATTGAACGTATGCTTTTTGTCCTTCGCATACAATTGTGTTTTCCTGTATAGGAAGAGAGATGAAATTACCGTAAACGAACCCTTTACACCCTAAGATAAGCATCTAAATTCTCCTTGCTGTATCATCCCTGAATCGCACATTAAGGTCACGAGAATAATGAAAACGATACAAACTAAGGACGTTCTTGATCGTTAAACAAATTCTCCTTGTCAGTGCCTTAGGAAATGCATAGAGAACATCATGGAGAATATGCATACTGATGTTAGGATGTAAAGGGTTAAAATGTCAAAGTTATCAAAAATACTGGGATCAATATCAGCCCACTTGCCCACCTACCCCTCCCTTAACTCAACAAGAGTCAATTGATAACAAGTAAGGGTTAATGTTGGGTTCGGGGAGGGGTAGGTGGGCAGTTGCTCAGATACTGATATTGATCCAAATACTGTATGTGCAAGCGATCTTTGAGGTGTTTAGTTTGCCTTTCTTACACGTTACACCACGTCAACATTTAATTAAACACTTGTGTAAGCTTCGCAGCAATGCGCCTATCCTTCGTTAACGGTCGGTTGAAAACCTTGGGGTAAAAAGAAACTCATGCTGGAGGAAGTTGCACCAAATGATTCTTTAGTGTTGCAAGGCCTCTTTTAAAAACAACGAATACATGTAGTCTGGAAGAAATCATGGATGGCGAGTCTGGAAGAATTCATCGAAAAGCAATGCAAAAATGATCTCTCTGGAAATTAGTGAAAAATTGTTACCTAAAATTTCTTTTTTGCAAACGGAAGACTTTTTAGAGAAGATTAAACATCTCCTTACCACTTTCATAGCGCTTGGTGGCTCTGCGGTCTTCAGCGAGTCAGGATTTGGAGCTCCATGGACAACTGGGAGAGGATCAAAAAAACAACAATAACATTAACCATGAAAAGTTGTATTCGAGACCACCTAAAGATGTAGCAAGAGACTGAAGTTCCCCTTGCCCTTCCTATAGGATAATAAATGAAGTCTTTTTGATAAAAGCTTTCAGCGGCCCTTTCACTCCCTCAAGTGACCAAGACAGAATTTCTCCTTACAATATCCATACAATATCAAGCAGGTAGGTGATGAGAATGGAGAAGAATATCAATTATGGGATCATTGGTTGATCCACTACCAAATTCTCTAAACTAACATCATAAGAATTGTATGGCAGATAATAAGGAGAATTACTAATTAGATCTTGCGAGTGAAAGGGTTAAGAGGGCATCCCTGTTTCTGCAGAGTTTAAACAGACCGTAGATATGTCAACCCCATCACACCCCACAGCCCATTACATAGGATGCTAGCCTTTCGCGGCCAAGTTCATACTGAGCATTTCGCTAGGTTTTTTCACAAAATTTTTGATTCAATCGGGCGATTTAAGTTTTAACCGGAAGTTCACCGAGTATGACTTCTCCTCATTCAGATCATTCGATCCAATCCAGAATCAAGATAGAAAACCTTTAAGCCAGCGAATCTCCCATATTAAATTAATTTCTATAGGTGATTCAGTGTCACTGACTTATTATCCGGTATACTTGTTTGCCTTTTCAAGCTCGACGGGACCATTCCTGTTGCCCACCTGCAGTTGACAACTCTTTCAACCAAGTAGAAGTTTGTCAACCGTAAAGAGACAAGACGATATTCAAACATAGATTAACGAATTACCAAAAAGGATCAAAAAATGTTTATCGCTCGGTAATAAATATTTGTTTGCAACTCTTTCGAAAATAGGGGGCTATTAAATCGCTTTGTTTACAGAGTGGTAATGTTACTTGCCAACAATATTTACGGTTACTCATTTCCTACCATGCAAACAGCAAATCCACACTGTTAACCACCAACTGCTTTTCATGGGGCTCATTAATGACGGTTTTTTCCAGCAAAAAAACAGCCGCATGCAGCTCTCACAAGAGGCAGCAATTTTTCTTCTGTTATTTAGTTCGGACAGCACAACTTGCGACACAGATTACATCAGTTAACTCGCAAATTGAGGAAACGAGTCCACAACTGGTATTATACATTATTAAACGCCACCAATATAAGAGTAGTTCTCGGACAGTGTTAAAGGCGGAACCGCGTGTTTAGAACATATTGTCTTACGAGCACTGGCAAACACCAAGAAAATCATTTTGAAATTCTCTCATGCCAACAGTAGATTCATAAAAATATACGAGACCCGCCCCAGAAGCCAATTAAATTCATATCGTTATGGCTATTAAGTAATAAGACAGGTTTAATTCAGGCCAAATCTAATTCTTTCTCTATCCCCTAAAAACAGTGAACGCTTCGCAGGTTGTAAAATATTGTATTAGTGGATAATCAGCTTAAGATGGTCGAAATTAACATATTTTGAAACGTGCTTCAATTCCAGATTAAAATTACAATTTAGACCTTAGACCTTTTGTTTTCAAATGAAAGAAGTCGACCGGACATTTCTACCGTGGGTCTTTTACGGAATTCATAAGTCATAGCTACCGCAGGCTTTTGCTGCTTATCATTTGTCTCCTTTTGTGCTCGTTTCTGTTATTCAGTGAGGCATTTGCTTCTTCTCAAGTGAGACATTTGCTTCTTTTCAAGTGTCCACCGACTATGGCCAATTATCAGCCACAATTGTCGGCTAATAATTCTAGTAACTAGATTTAAGTGCACCAAATTGAGTTTCAAGTCATTTTTTTAAATATTTTAACGAGACGTTAATAAAGTTTATTTTCATTATTACTATCATTATTATTATTATTATAATTATTACCATCCATTCACACAAAAAAAACCCCGGCGAGGTAACTTACCTGAAAATCGTGATCTCTTTTCTGCGAATTGGTATAGGTTTTGAGGAACCTTATTTAACATTTTTAAAGAACTCTCCCCAATGTTTTGATTATATTGCAATTAATGTATTCTTCAATTGAAGCAGTATTGCTCTCTTAGTTAACTGGACCTATAAATATGGGACACATGTTAAGCACGAAATAGACGGCTTTGTGTTGCATGGACGCTGCGAAATATGAACCTAATGCGCAGCACGTTGACTCGTGGTGGTTTAGTGGCTGACGCACTGGATTCTAGGTCGAAAGGTGTTTACACCCTAACATCAGCATATTTATTCCCTATACTGTTCTTTATAAATTTCTTTCGCACTGACAAGGAGAATTTAGTTAAAATTAAACGCTTTTCAAGTTTACGATCATTTCACACTAAATTCTCTTAAGCCTAATGTTTGATTGAGTTCACGTTAATGAGAAGTTATAGATGCTAGTCACCCTCAGGGTTTGAAGCGTTAAACTAAGGTCACTATGTTATGTTTTTGAGAACAGAACTTTTTTTATACCGTTCAGTCCACCCAGGAGTGTAAATACGTTCAGTGAGCTGTCAAAGAAAGCTTTAAAATGCTAAGGGTGGGTACTTGTAATTAGCTATAGCCTCCCATCTAGAATAGTCACTCTTAGTACGGTGACTTCATACTTCAGTTGAAACTTTTATAAGCTGCAATAGTTATATCAGTTGGTCTTGTATGTATCTTTTACCAGTGCAGTACTGGAGATGCCAAGTCGTTTGTGACCTACTTTTAAGGTCAATATACTTTAAGTATTAGTATAACATGCTTCGATTGTCTGACCTTTCCGCCAGTGTTCAACGAGATCTTTAATTACCGTTAGTCATTTTACAATAGACTACCCGGGGTGGCAATCAAATCTGGCAGGTGCTGTCACGGAGGTTGTGTTGAAGTCGTCAATTTTTAATTCTGTCGTTTCTTCCTTCTTTTACCAATGGGGTGTTTTCACTTAGATCAAAAATGAAGATACTATTTTCTGTGAGTGTTTTATTGTGCGCAGCAGCGAAAGGTAAGTTTTAAAAAAGTGAGTCTATCTTTGAATAAGGGCTCATTTTGGTGAGTTTTGTATGAGACCATAAATATTGTGGTGTAAAATATCTTGTGACCTGTTCGTCAATGTACTAAAACAAACCTTGTTTGTGTGTTCATTCATAACAATAATACATGTATTTAGAAACGTTAAAGGTTGCATGAAGAGACAAGTAAACCTACACCTCGTCCGTCTTTTCGCCACGAAAAGATACAAATTAAGGGAGAATCTGTTTCTGACGAACGTTATCGACTTTCTTCCTTAACATTTTTGCAAATAATCCCAATTGAACAGGGAAACGTCAGTGGATATGCCGGCGTTTGAAAAGAAAAAAAAAACAGGGAAAACAATGTACTAAACTAAGTTACGTTTTACGAAGTATCATTACTCAGCTATCCTGTTCATTATTGTGGTACGACGACACGATTGGCGGAGAGTAAAGCTTACTTTTTCATTCATATCCATCCCAGAATAAAACAGGTTAGGGCCAACTTTTTATACACCTCAGTTGGGATTGCTTCTATGATGTAAAGGTAGACATTTAGCAGGAATAACGACAGGCAACAGCAGTAATAAGTGACTGTCGACTCTGACCCTTACCAGTCCGAAATAACGCACACCCATGTGGAAATTTGCACCAGCAAAGCAGGAAACTTCATCGTGTTTCCATTACTTCGTTTCAGTCCTTTCTTTTCAGAGTTCCTATATACGGGACTGTCTGGATGCCCACAACGCAGTTCGGGCTCGGCACGGAGTGCCAGCCCTAAATTGGTCAGTAGATATCGCGGTTAGTGCACAAAAATGGGCCAATCATCTTGCAGCAATAGATCAACTTCAGCACGACTCCTCAACACCCTTTGGGGAGAACCTGTTTTACATGTACGGAGGTGATCCAGAGCAAGCTTGCGGTCGTGCAGTGAATAACTGGTACCAAGAGGGTAAAAATTATGACTTCAGGTCTCCACATCTGGATGAGAGCACCAGTAAGTGACTGAAGACTAAACAAGTCTATTTTCTTATAAGATAAATGTCATTCAATACAAAAGATAAAACGCATAAACCAGGTCATACACTGACCTTCCGGAGCATAGAAAAGTACTTGTCCTCAAAAAGCCATAGCTGTCGCACTATGAAATGTTTCAATTTTTTTCTTCATAATTTGAAATGCCCAAAACGGTTTTCTGAAAACTTGGCAGGACTTCACGTCTGCTCCATTAGGCTCGACAATTTATGTGCTTTGGGTTTTCTCAAATCAGACAACTTACCATTAGTCAGAACTCGAAAGAAGTTGCTCTGATCGAACCAGTCATTCAGGATTTGACCTGTGGTATACCCACTCACAGGGCTATATAGACTAGGGTTTTCACTTCCCCTTGGTGCAGACATGCATATTGCTTAGTGAGCCCAATGCCATTCAGCTTTATGATCCTTTTCAGGTCACTTCAGCCAATTAGTTTGGCGGGGATCTAAAGATGTTGGAATAGGCACGGCACAGAGTAAATCCGGGAACTTCTTTCTGGTGGCTCGTTACAGTCCCCGCGGAAATGTAGACGGTAAGTTTGACGACAACGTTCTGGATGTAATGGGACAGCCTCCAACCGAAAGTAGTCAGGAGACGAAAGATGATAAAGCGTCTGACAACATTCCAGGTAAGAAAATCACCATTAAAATAAATAAAGGGGGTAAGTTACTTAAGAAACCGTGGTGCTGTGTCATCAACTGAGTTCGAAACGTCAGCTTTGAAACTCTTTATGGTGACAAATTTACATCATCAACTCAGTTGATAATACCAAATTACCTTAAAATTGGCCTATCTCATCAAAATGAATAAAATGAGCAACATACCGTTATGTTTTGATTTGATCACCATAGACGAAAATATAATAGTGGGCAATGAGTTTGTTAGACGTTTCAGCCAGAGTCTTGCTTTTTGTCCTTATAAAAAACGAATCAGTGAGGAAAAGACGCTGAAAATTACGTTTCTCCCTGATCATGGTTGGTGCATGTCACTCCGATTGTCACGGGCCTTCAGGCATAATATACGGCCATCGCTACTAAAGTTGCAATACCATATGCACCCGGTTGAGACTTTTGTACCATTTACATACTGTAATAAAATATCTGTTGTCTTCACCGGTATTAAGAAAATTTTAACCTGTAGTTAGAATGAAATATCACATTTAATTAAGTGGTATTTGAATGATATAATACCAGTTGTCAGAGCCTTAAAGAGCCATATTCTCATTGTTGCTTGAACAAGTCGCGCTAGAAGGGATTTTTTTATTTCTCTTCAGCTCAAGGTGAATCTTCAAATCTTCAATCCAGGAAGGACCAAAACCTAGTTTATTTTAAAGAGATAAACCTTAATCCAAGTCTGGCAGATCTGGATAACACGACTGCACCGAATCCCACTCCATTGCAACAGACTGGTGTAGAATCAGGAACAAACGAGGGACCATCTTTGGAAGGCAGTCGAGGACCTGAGGAGAATCCACCCAATTCTACACCGGAGAATAACAATTCAGTCAGAATACACTCCTTTAATGTTGCTAATTCTGGAACGAATGAAGCACCAGGTGTCTCGCAACAGGCTTTAAACGAGCCAGAGACCATACCAAATAACGCAGAGGCCGGTTTGACAGGCCCAAATGAAGAGTCAAGTCATAAAGAAGACAGCGATTTAAACAGAAAGCTGAGCTCTTCTGAACCATACAGCATGAACAATGAAGCTTTGCCTCTATATGAGGGGTCTGACATCAGTGCCATGAACTCGGGAGCCCGTCATTCGGGATCCGAGATAAAAGACACGAAAGCGAGACCTACTAATGCCGCTTTAAATCCAACAGAAATGGTAACTAAACTAGGAATCGAGGAGAATAGCAAGGCTGAAGAGACTTCAAACTATGAACGGCAGGAAGAAAAAGATGCGAGAGTAGAGAACTTTGCTAATTTACCTATGAACGACGAGCAGCTGCCAAAGAGTGACAAACCACCTGGCCTCTCATATGTAGCTCCGCTGGCTGCTAAAATACCCAAGAAGCCCGCAGAGAAAGTAATCAAGTTGCCCCCCGCCATATCTCTAATCACGCCAAAGAGAGGTATGACATTATCGCAATGAAAGTATTTGGTTGTGAGATGAAAGGTTTACCAATTTATCACTAAGGATTAACCTTAGAAAATAAAATTACACCGCATTCCATTCACAGAGAATGACAAAAACATCGTCGCTTTGTTTGACATAATTCATAGGTAAAGATTTCCGAGTGGAAATTCGCTTCCCTAAGATGGTTTATACTGATGAGATGCGGGTGCCGGGCAGTAAGGACTTCGAAGAAGCAAAAAGAAACATAACTAGTGCCGTAAGCATTTAAATTAATTTGTTGCTTTTGTATTTGACTAAATGTCATCGGGTTCCCGACTCTAAGATAATCCATTTGTGTTTAGTTCCCAGTATTGTCAAGGTCTATGGTCTCGTAAGCTAAATATTTAAAATTTTGATCGTAAAACGATCTGATGTTTGTACCTATAGATGAACAGTTTTGTTTCAAGCCATTAAGGTTAAAAAAAAGAATGGTATGGATTATTTCCCTCTTATTTTGGAGAGTTATATTGGGCTTTTCGGGTTTTTGAATTCGTTTTATGAAGCAAAAAGCAGAGAAAGGTAGTGCGGGAAGGAAATACACCCTGGGAGGAGTGGCATACACCTTGAGTTAAATCCACTCCATTTACATTATTCTGATAACTTCTTTTTAGATTATTAATCTATTCGACGATGATGACGGATTCCAAGAAGTGCAGCTGATATCGATACGGTGCGACAAACGATGTGCTTCCTGAAAATAATATATAGATCATCTTGCAAGCTAAAACTATGCACTCTTTCAGACGGTATTCATTTTTCATGTTAAGGTCATTTTTCACAGGATGCCTTCAAGTTATATCCTTCCACGTAAACGGCAAAGTTTACTACCGGTTCCAAACGTTTGCGGAATAATCTTTTCGGGAGAAAATGTTGGAAACACAAGAGAACAATTTTTTGACTTCTTCAATGACTGAGGCCTATAGGGTTTTTTCTTTGACTGGTTTCCAATGCAGTTAATTCATTGTTTCTTTGCACGAAGCAAAAGTATCTTTTAAAAATGAACATCACTTTAAGAGTAACATTCTAATTAAAGTCATGATGCTGAATGAGTTGTCTTCACCGTAAAATAAACTAAAACTACTTTTTCATTGTAGGAATGGCAGTGTGATAGCTACACTTGGGCTCCTTTTTAAGAAGGACAAACCAGGAAATCTTAATCGTCTCTCCCTAGCGCTGATTTCCGGGAAGATCGGAAGCTATTCCGTGGCAAACAAATATGAGTCAGCAGGTAAGGGAAAAAGGACCTGTTCCTTGCTTTACTGAAAATAAAATTTGGCTCTCTATCATCCAAGGTAATGGAAATTATCTCTAGGTAAATTCAATAGCTTCTCCAGCGAAACTCATGAATTTTTTCCTGATTTCGCTTTGGCACAAGTAATAGATGAGTTGAATTGGTTTCTATGCAAGCTTAAATGCTTGCCTATCTCAGTTTTACTTTGCTGGCTCCATTTACTTAACTTAGTGGTCACTACAAAACTGTTGGCTAAAAACAACTCCACGATATATAATGACTTTATAAGCAGTTTCTGGAGTTGAGTTTGAAAATATGCCTTTGCTTGTTTGTTTGTTTGTTTGTTTTTTCAGTCGCTCTACCAGCAGGATATCTAAGACCTAAAAGACCAATACAGAAACAAAGTGTAGGAGTATGCGCACAACCATGCTCCAAACCAAACATCTGCTACTCCACAGGTTGCGGTGTAGCCTGCTGCGCCTTTCACCCCCACGAACACAAGTATCACCCCCCTGCACGCCTCGCGCCGCAAGAGCTCCCATCGTGCCCTGGTACATGCGACGACAGCTGTTTCCCAGATTGTGATGATGACTGTTGCACTGACATGATGCAGGATGTTGCTCCGGCGCCCGCTACAATGACTGGTGCTGCTCCTAGCATGACATGTCCAGGATCTTGTCATTTCTCGTGTTATCCTCAATGCAGCCCACAGTGCTGTGCTACACAATACGTGCCAAACCCATGCCACCCCTCTTGCCCGGGCTACTGCGCGCCAAGTTGTGATAACGCCTGTTGTGCGGCTAGGAAATCCATTGTTAATAAGTAAGCTTCTTGTTGTGTCAGATGCGAAAGCATTATACATTGTTAATTGGTACCACAAAAGATGCAAGGAAGAACTTTTATCATTTACCAACAATTTGTCAAACTAATGCCGGCTAAACTGATAAACAGACATGCTCTCCCTTACGCCTGGAACAAAGAGATGCAAGAAGAGACGCCTCGCCCATTCGCACTGAGGGTCAAGGATTCTGTATTGAATTGTTCATAACTATGTATCAATCATATATTCTTTAAGCTAAGCCTTTATTTTCCCTTTTCTTACCCAGATATTGTAATGATATCGTGGGACAAAATTTTAGTTACTCACGTCTGAGCAAATATTCCACGGGGCTCTTTCAGGACTCTACATCTGCACACCACTTTAACTAGAGCCTCATTCTTGCGGCTAAACTCACTATTAAATACTGTTAGTCTCTCCAAACAGTACAGCCGGTACAGGAGTGCCCAGCGAGCTATAGCACGTCAGATGTACCTAAGAAAACATCTCAAACTACCATTCAGACGTCCAAAACCAGTCAGACTGGCTCGACCAGTGCGGCCGAGACAGAGGTCTTACTACATGAGACGAGTTCGACCAGAGAGCTTAGGACTTGAAGAATATGACCGAAGTATCATTCATACTGCGCAGGCAGAAACATCTCCCAAACATGGCGCTCAGTTTCTAAGTGTTTAATATGAGACTATGAAATGCGGTTGTTTCGCTCACGAGTCGTTTCGTCAACGACCAGTTCATTAATGTCTTTGGTCATTTCACTGTCTCAAGTCAGTTCGCTAGCGTCCTATAGGTCGTTTCGCTGATGTACCTTGGTTTATTGGACCGTAGACGGATGAAAACTTCCAAATTTATCCTTTTCTTTGTACCAAATCGACTTTCTGCGTGTATCGAATGGACTTAGTCGACGCATGAAGTCGACTTTAGTTTGCCTTGAATCTACTTGTATCGAATGGACTTTCAGTTCATAAGGAAACGACTTAACTCCCCCTAAAACATTTCAGTCAATTAGAGGTCGATCTAATACGTTTGCGAAACAGCCTATGAGATGTTAGCGTTGGCAAAACGACCTATGACATTGGCGAACTGGTCGTTAGCAAAACGAATCCTAGGCGAAACCAAACGACCGGTTACCGAAATTGCAAATGAACACTGAAAAGAAAAAAAGAAAAACAAACAAACAAACAAATCAGCAAATACAGAGTCTGGTATTAAGTTTACTTTCTTAATTAGGGACGATTTCCGCAGAATGCATCACACGAAAAGTATTCTCTATTTACAGAACTTCGAGAGGTTTGGAACAGACCAAGACAAATTTATTTTGAAAAGAAATCAGAATGAAACTTCAATACTAAATACATAAATTCCGAATATTTAGGAGGATGATATTGTCACGAGAAAATCAAGATGTTACATTGTAATAATAAAATTCACATTTAGCTACAGGTAAACTAAGTTCTTTCCAATGTTTCAATAAATGCGACTGTACTATTTTCAATATTCTTTTCAGTACCTTAGCGTTCATTATGATATCAAAACAACACTTGTCTCGGGAGTTCACAGTTCACTCAGAACTGACAACTTTTAACCATTCAACTCCCACTAAATAATTTGTAATTCTCCCTTCAACTCATGTACATTTTCAAACAACGAGTTATGAGAAGTTACATGTGAAACACTTCTGGAGAATGAAGGTGTACCATGGTGCACAGGCAAAGATGGGAAACGGACGGAATAAACAGCAAGTGTATGGACCGGCGCTTGGACGAAAAAGACTACACAGAAAATACAGACGGAAAGTTTATTTTTTATATCTTTTTGGACGACTCTTTACGGTTAAAATGTTTCATTCCCCTTCGTCACCGTCAACATCATCATCACTCTCCTCCTCTGCCTCTTGTAACCACGTGATAAAGCGAGAAATCTGCGAGAAACAGAACATAAGCATACCACCACTGGAGATTTCTTCGCTATCCTTTGGTTTGTATTATTATGATTCAGTGAAAACGTCATTATAGACAGCAAACCTTGCTGAGGTAGTTTCTCAAGAGTAGTGTAGTGTTTGGTACAGAATTTGGAATAAAATTAATGAACACAAAGCGGAGGAGAGATACAAAGGCAAAGTTAGGGACATATCACCGCGGAAAAGGCAAAATAAATAAACAGTTACACGCATCAAGTAACAAAATTAACTTACTTGTTGCCGCAATAGTTTCCGCTGCGGTTCAAAGCTTCCGTCCTCTCCACCCGTTGGTTTGCGAGAATACCACTGAAGAATCAAGGCTTCCTCCAGGATTTCTTTGTCGTAGAGAAGGTGAAGAAACGTCTGACACAGTGGAGACGCCCACATGGCTTGCACAAAAAATTCCTGGCCACAAAGATATAAAAACTTCTCTTATTTTACTCTGTGAATACTCGTTTTATAGAAAAACGAAATTATATCGTTACTTCATGTAACTAAAAAACATTACAGCTACATTGCAAGTCTGCGTCTGATTCACTTTGTTTTCCTTTTCGATCGAGAGCACCTCGAGGGTGATATAATTACAACACTGCTGTCACCAAGAAGAGCTGCAGACGGGTATATTAGCAAACAATTCACATTTCGTATGGAGCGCTTTATAAAAACCAAAACCGAAGTAATCACAATGGCCAATCAGAAGAAAGCAAAATATCTTTGAGAGCCAATGAGAACTCAAAGTAAAAACAGCCAAACTACCTAAAGCGCGGGAAAACGCGAACGACCAAGTCAGAGTTGGTTTTAGTTTTGCATCTGATTGGTTGAGGGAGTAGCACGAGTTTTTTGAACCAATCGCAAAGCGAGGTAAAGCAAAACCAATGCAATATCGCTCTTTCGCTCTGACGAAGGACAAGCACTCAAAACGTCAGCTTTAGAAACTCTCTATGGGGGCAATTTACATTCTCAACTCAGTTGATAAAATCAAATTAGAACGAAATATCGAATCACTTTCGACACAACTGAATTTTTTTCTAAACGAAAGTAAGACAAAACCAACCTCTGTTGCGTACAATACGTCTCTTTGCCCATCAGAATTCTTTATGTAGTTCAAAATCATCGGTAACAGATGATCTACAGCCTGAGAAAAAAAAGGATTTCGCCAACTGAAAACGACTTCTTTCACACGATGATAATGGAGATGAGAAGCGGAAGAGGTCGTTTCGTAGTCAGCTTACCTTTTTAAGATTTTTAGACATTTCTTGCCTCTGCATTGAAGAATCGTGAAGTGAAGATTCAAGCAAAGATTTCACCACAGCTTGGTTTAGTTCGTGGAAGGTCACGTTGTATGCAAACCTGCAGTAAGATAAAGTTATTGTCCCATGAATATCCGTTATGCAAATAAAGAAAATAACAAAAAGTAATGAAGGGAAAAGGAGAGGGGGAGGGCAGGGCAGGGCGTGCTAAAAGCACGAAGTGTATATTTATATAGTAACGATTATACTGCACAGGAACGAGATTCAGTGTCGGTTTCATCTGAAAGTCTGCTCATGTCTACACAGTCAACTTACTTTGAAGCATTTATCTCCAATATAAGGTTCTCTGGATCCACTTGATCTTCAACACCATGTCGTATGGACTCTAGGACTTCATTGTAAAACACTAAAACATAAAACGTAGAAGTGAAAGTAAAGCACAAGAGAGTCTTAACCGCAGGACTCGCTAAGCTGGAGGTGTACGCATTTTAACTTTTCTTGGTGAGTATTCGATTCAAAGAGGAGCGAGAGGCAACAGAGAGAGAAACAAGATACTATTTCCTCGTTTAGTTGTAAATAATTCTGAGGAGACAATAGTCCCACGCACGGAATCAGTAAGCAGGAGACAGCATTACGAGTTTAAATCTTCTCTTACCACTTTTACCCCTCAACCTGAGGTCCTACTACACAGTCCTCCCACCCCACCCTCTTCCCATATCAGACAAATCATTGCAGGGTACCCAGTCATTACAGCTCTATCGAGTCTTGTAAGAATTACTTACATCTGCTGTCCTCCTCAGGTAGTGGGCTGCCAGGGGGGGTTCCTTCTTGGCTGGAAATTGAGCTCACTTCATCCTCACTTGAACTGACTCTATCAAGCCCTAATCGATACCAAATAGTGTACTTTCAGTTGCATTGAATATCACATGAAGTATGCCAATGACAATTGGGTGCCAGAAAAAAACAATACAATGTACGTTGTCACACCAACTTACAGGAAAAAAAACCTAAAATTTAGTTTGATTATACCACAAGCTCGTGTAAGGACACTGCACTTAATTCATTGGCAGCCAAGCTGCAGACAAATATCATCAGTCCCTTGATAATTTTCATAGTAACCCTAGTGTCCTGAGTTGACAAAAGTAAATTGAGGACTTGAGGAAGTATCTGTATGTGTCACATAAATATTTTCTCTCACCCCACACATCTTGTACTTGCTCCATTTCATCATCAGATTCTACATCAGGTCTCCACACATGTCCTTGTCCTTCACTGCCAACCTCCTCTGGATTAAACTCTATAAAAAGGATCATCTTTACATCTTTACATACACCAAGTATCTGTGCTCAATAACTGTACATACATGTATATAGTACTAATTATTTCTATGTTTTTGCTGTATTTTCTTATGACCTTGTTACATGGTTATTAGCAGATGACTTCAAACAATGGCTAACAATCTTTTGGACATTTCAGTTTGTGCTTTAGATGTAATTCTCATTCTAATAATGATCTAATAATCAAAGTTTTATTTAGCTGCAAACTAACTTCAGGCCTTTGAGAAAGATTCAGCTCACTTTTAAGAGTTAATAATTGCTAAATGCAGAATGTAACATCCTTTACACAAGAACACAAGTTAGAACACAGTTACAGAAAATAACAAACCAACAGACCATCATTTTGTTCAGCAACTGGTTTTTCATCAAGGGATAGGTCATCCATTCCAAATTCTTTTTCATCCTCAGTCTTTCTCTTCAGTGTTATTTTCACTCCTGGAGAGAGAACTAAGTCGGGCCCAACCACTACCTAAATATCAATAATAAAATTTTTTGGTTTGTTTGTACATGTACAACACAAACAAGGGCATGGCTAGGGAGGGTCCTGGGGTGCCTGTGGGTCCCCCCACCTCCTTTGTAAGCCTTTTTTGGGTAAACAACCTATAATATTCAGGTGGCAAAAACTGGTGAGTACCCTCTGTTTGACATAGTGTGACCTTCCTGCTTTGAAAAATCCTGGCTATGCCCCTGACAAACTTTTAATTTTTACTGGACAATAAAGAGATTGTCTTACAATGTACACAGTCAAGGGGATAAACTTATTTACTAGAATACTTCAATTAGGAATAGTTACCAAGTAATTTTGTACATTGTGAGCCAAAAAGGCACATGAACTAAGAACATGTACTTCAAATAACTTTTGAGAAAAAAGTGACCAAACTAGGATAAAGAGAACTTGGCATATCACTTACATTAAATGAAATAATTGATCCCCCAGTAATTGTTACATTCCTATGCACAGGGCAGAAAGAAAGTGAACAAAAATTAAGATAACTGCAGATTGTAAAATCATTTGTGTACATGGTACAAATGCAATTAAATTCATGTGAGATACAAAAATAACATCAACATATTTCATCACTCTTTTTTTCTTAAACAAGAAACTAAATATTTCATCAACGTCAAATTGTTCAGCTATTGTGTACCTTTTGATATGCACATTTTTGCACAGAATTGATTTTGAAATATTACATCCATCATCTACTTTCACATTATCCCAGAGATGAACACCATCTAGTTTAACATTATCACCTGAAAATCATTCAATCGCTCAATCAGTCAGTTGAAGTTAAAGTACAGTGCAGTGTGGACAATTAGTTAATAAGGAAAGAAAGTGAAACAATGTCATAATCCTAACAAAAAACATTCAAGACAAAAATTACACACTAAACTGCTGACAGTAGGAAGTAATTGGTGAATTTAAAGTTTTTTTTTTAACAATGTAAGCAATTTTTTTATATGATATATCACATATGCAAAATGTCCATGGGAAAAGCTAAATGCTTTACAAGGAACAGCCACAAACAAATGTAATAAGATTTTGTCCTCACCTATAATGCAGTTTCTACCTATAACAGAATTTGTGATCACTGTTCCAACACCTACTGAGGTTCCCTTACTAATTAAAAGATTTTCCTCTAATACACAATTCCTGTAAGATGGAAAAAATGTAAACTTAAGCTTGCTGAAATTTCATATAGTTTATTAGAAGGCAGAGTGTAATGAGAATGAATGGGGCAAATAATTAAATACATGTAAGATAAGTACAAGTTTATAACCTACCTGGCAAGTGAGAGCTCACTGTCAAGGTAAACATTGTGTCTTCTGAATGAGTAGGAGTAGTCCATGAAAAATGTACTATTGTCAGGTACTATTGGATAGGCCCATCTACTAAGAATGTCTTTGCTATTGGACAAAAATTAAAAACAGTAAAATTACAATATAAACATTTTGCACTGTGTGTAATTTTGTTGAGTTTGTTGATGAATTCGTGAACAATACTCTTACAGACACTACTGTTTCCTGAGAGAACCTCGGAATAGTATTTACAATATTCACCCTTGGATTTGATTCAAATTTACTTTAAATTGCCTCAAAAATATATCCAACATTCCAACTGCAGTATATCTTTAATACACTTAAGTATCTCATTGGAGTTTTACAAAAAAGTATGCTGGTCACTAGGTCAAAGTGGAGATCAAATTCTTGAAGAAAACATTGTTATTTAACAAATCAAACAAACTGTCAATAAACACGGTGATGGACACTTTTCTTACCAACCTGACTGTGTCATACATGTAAGGGTTGGACACTCTAGCAGCATACTTGTCACTGATTATGTATGAATGAATTTGGTTACCCATGATCTAAAAGGAAAAAAAAAAAGAAATTACTTAAAATGACTTAGAAGACTGTAGTTCTTAAGATCAATTTTTCAGATTTGAATCAAGACTACATCTGCTCACTAACCCTTCCACTCCCAAGCTCTTACCTAGTAATTCTGCTTACTGTCTGCCATATAATTCTTATCATTTTACCTTGGAGAGTTTGTTATTGGATCGACTAATCACCCCTGATTGATATTTTCTACATTCTCATCACTTATCTGCTTCATACTGTATTCTATTTTAAGGAGAAATTATATCTTGGTTACTCATGGGAGTTACAGGGTTAACTTAACTTACACTTTCAAGTTCCATAAAAATGCACTTTTATTTTATCGTGCTTACCTCCTCATTTACAAGAATTCCTCTAACAAAATCATCTCTGGTTTGATAATCAAAATTGTCAGTAAATAACTGTGGAACCTGATAAACAGAAAATTATGAATACAAAGAAACAAATTGAAATTTTTATGGGAGCTGTTCAATTCATAGAGAAAAAACAAAAACAACAACAAAAACAACAACAACAACTACCACAGAATAGACATCAACTCACTGTAGTTGAACATATGCAAATGTTACAGTCCAGGAGATCATATCTGATCTGGGTATTGTTGTTACCTGAAAATAAACTCTGAAAGAGAAGCAAAGACAGAGAAATTGTGATAAATTAAAGAACTGATACACAACAATAAACAATAAGACCACTTGATATTTACAGTTATTGTTTTTTTGGATATTTGCAATACCAAAATTAAAGGAAAAGATATAGAGTTTATCCACACTTACCAACGGAAATGAAAATCTCTTTTTGTTTGCTGTTTTTTCACACAGAAGAATTCTACCTGTTGTTGAATCTAAAGCAACTATGAAGTCCTCCTCTTGGCATCTGAAGCAAGTGTAAAATTTAATTTAGAAGCAATTTTATGACTAAATCACTGCCAAAATGTTGCTTGAAACTGGACCATACACATCCCACCTTTGAAGCTAATTAAGACATAACTTAGCACAATATAATTAAGCCACTGGAAGCACTCACTCCTGTATCAACCCTTTACCCCCTAACATCAGTATCCATGTTCTCCATACTACTCATTATACATTTCCTGAGGTGCTGACAAAGAGAATTTGTTTAATAATCAAGAGCTACTTTAGTTGGTGATCATTTCCTCTATTCTCATGACCTTAATGTTTGATTCAAGGGTGATATTGTAAGGAGAAATTAGATGCTAGTTACTCCTAAGGGTTAAAGAGTTAAGAGTGGCTAAAGTTAGAAGGTAGGAAACCAGAGTTAATAATCCTGGTTTGCATAGCATGACGGGACTTGGAGTATTACTATTACACAGGCTTCCCTGACAATTCCCTGATACCCACTCATACTCCTAGGTGGAAAGAGGCACTGAGAAAGTAAGCGCTTTATGTAAGATCACAAAGAAGTGACTCAGCCAGGTCTGGAACCTGGACCTCTCAAAAAAGGAATCTAATACACTAACCATTACACCACTAACTTTATCACTTGGTTGAAGTCAAGGAAACATAAAATGGTAATAAGAAATCCAGATGGATACTTACCTTGTTCTATGTCCTGGATTAGCAACTTTGAATACCATTGTCATCAGTGAAGCTTTGTCCTTTTTTCTTCTTTCTCTAGAATTGATACAAAATTCATGTACCTCATTTCTAAATATACATGAAGATGTATGAAACTACTGACAGTACTGATACTACAGCATGGACTGAAGTTGACTTACTTGTGTTCTTGTAAGACTTGCTCCAATTTCATGTTTGATACCACATCACCACTCACCAACACAAAATCGTTTTTAAGAAGAGACTTTTAAAACAAACAAAAAAAAAATTTGAATCAACAGTTCAAGTTAACTGTATTTTTATCAGCTCTTAAAGTAAATAAAAGTAGAACACCTACTGCCAGGAAAAATTTTCTGTTGCTAAAGCCCACAGGACACACTTGGCATTATTTTATATGCCAATTGCTAGATCAGCAAAATTTGCCAAGAGTGCCTGGTGCAGAAATGATAACTTCTCCTGATCACAGTGATCAAAATATAAAATCACTAATATCTGGTATATCAGACTGGTATATCAGCCATTTTCCCTGGAGATTAAATTTAAAGCACTTGGCAAATACATATGCATCAGTGAACTTTGAATAGTATATTTAAAAAACCCTTGGAACATGTCTGCTTCAAATTTTGACCAAACTGGATTTTTTCATATACAGCTGGATGGAAGTAAAAATTATAAAGGAAAACATATCTCAAGCTGAAAATCTGAACCCATCAACTACTTCTAACTCATCTTGCTTCAGGTATATTAAAGATAAGTAGATTAAATTAAAGATAAAGATAAATCATCAGAATTTGTTTTTGCCATCAAACCTGTCTGTCAATTTCTCGAAGAACATCACCCAATGACAAGCAGTCTTCTGCAACAATTGTTTTCACTTCACAGGGTGACCTTGAACTGGTCCATTTCGACTGGCTAGAACATAGACAATATATATTACAGTGACAGTTTGTACAAGAGAATCAACAAAAGGCTACCAGTTTTTTAGTACACCAGCCCGCTAAAAAGACAAGCAGTGGCTACAATCATCAAACTACAAGCACATGATTTTTTTCAATGAAGTATAGCTATTGGAAGCATGTCATAACTCTACAGACCTTAAATGTTTCTTGATCTGGTCAGCATGTGCACAGCAGAAAACAAAGATTTCCTGTACTCCTGCCTCCACAAGGAATTCAATGGTGTAATCCAGAAGAGGGACATTGACCAATGGTAACAAGGCCTATGGTGATCATCAAGACATAACCAGCATTAAACCCTTACATAAACAGAAGTGATTAACATGTAACTTCTTCATTTAATATCCATTCATCATTCATTACCCAGCAAACAGGTCACAAGAATACTCAGACTTATTATGCAAAAGTTGTTGTCTTGATCTAAAGCGAATTTTGTAACTAATTTACAAGGCAATGTGTAACAGCGAGAGGGGAGAATTAACAATCAGATCATGGGGGTTAAAGGGCAAAAAAGAAAAAGTCTACCACCTATTCCAAACCTATTCCTCATGATCTCTAATCCCTTCAAATGTGATCTCTTCCCTTCAAATGTGCTTTGAGTGTTATTCTCTCCATACATCATAATTTCTTCTTGTCAAACTCAAATCAGGAAACTCGACTTATTACATTAAACGTCTGTTATGGCTTAAACAGCTTTTTAAAAGCTATTACTGACCGCCTTCATAATTATTCCAAGTTAACACCTAATTCCCTCTCTATTAAGGCAGGTATCCTTAATATTTCAGTCATGAAAGGTAAAAGAAAGCTAGAAGAATCATGAATGAAACCCCCCATAGGTGATTCGAAGTGATTTCCGTATAACCCCATACTACTCTAAATCAAAGCACCCGTCCGAAAGGTAAACTTATGTTTCCGCCAATGTTTTCTTTGTAATATATATGTATGCATAATAAAATATGAGCCATTACGGAAACCTCACCGCAAGATGGGAGGCCGCAGCCCTCCCAGCTTCTTCTTAATCGATTTCCAACAAATTGAATTTATGACCAGATCAAAATAAATCGAAAGTCACAACACACGTGACATGTACATTCAATGACTTCACTTACCCTGGGTGTTTCAAGAGTTACTGGTAAGAATCTGAAGTTGAAACTATCCGTGAGAATAACGCCTTGAAAGATCTCCTCTCCTTTTTCCCATGACTCCCCCGATTTTCCCTCTCCTTTTTTCTTTTTCGAAGTCATGACTTGGTTGAAGTGAACATGGCGTCCATTGATTCAGACCTCCCTTATTATTAGAAACGGAAATTACCGACCTTTTTCCGATCTTAGACCGATCTTATTCGTAATTTCTCGATTACAACCCGAAAGCATAGAATGAGCCGCAAACAAAGCAGCGGTTTTACCCAATTCTTTCTCTCCACGTCTCTTCTTTTCACCTCTTTGTTGATCTTTGTGTAGTTCCAAAATGGTGGGTATACGTCTTGCAGAATCTCTTGAGAATCTTAGCCATCTTTGCATTGTTAGAGCAGGAAATAATATAGATAGAAACTTTATTTATAGGAATTCACCATTGATTTATTTGATGTTTGATTCTCAACCACAATTCTTATATTTCAGGAGGGATTATCGGTTGACCAGATGAACCGATATGCCAGTCCAATCAATCCTGCGGTCTTTCCCCATCTGACTGTTGTTCTGCTTTCTATTGGAATATTCTTTATGGCCTGGTTCTTTGTGTATCCTTTTAAATGTAGTCTTCATAAATTTGCCTACGTAATGTAACTGCTATGGTCAGTAGATCGTACTAAATACCATGTACTGTACTCTAGAAATTTAGAACAGTGCTTCCATCCACAGTAGCGTAGAAAAGATGACAAGGATTCATATTGTAAACTCATCGAGATATTCTCCGGTAATCAATTTATCAATTTAACAGTTGTAGAATTCAAAACATAAATCTTTCGAACTTTGTTGGATAGGATCAATACTTTTGTTATTATTATGATATGAACTTGTTTCAAAGGTACACGTATATGTAGAATTGATTTTCGAACTGATGTGGTTCGAGTCACCAAATAACTGTGCCAGGTCCTTTCCGTTTTTTTACTTTTACTGACAGTTCAGTCGATTCTTTTTTGTCGGATCCATGTAACATTTAAGACATGTGCAAAAGTATAATTTTTGAAGGTATTTCTTTAACGATTACTGCAGCTATGAAGTCACTTCCACCAAGTACAGTAGAGATATCTACAAGGAACTGCTGGTCTCATTAGTGGCATCTCTATTTATGGGATTTGGAGTGCTTTTCTTGTTACTCTGGGTTGGAATTTATGTATGACAAGAAGTACATGACCAGAGAAACCATCTACAAAAACAACAGCCACACTTTAACAACTTTCAAGAAAGAAAAGTCTTGCTGAGCATGGCACCTCTCATTGTGGACACTTGTATTTTACTAAAACAGAATTTCCTAAACGATTGTAATGATAATAAAGAAGTTTAGTTGTATTTGCTAATTTTGAATGAAGTCAAGTTTTATTTGTGTGCTCCAAATGTGGCAGTGCTTTAGTGTGTGGTATTTAGAGGCAGTAAGCTTGTCAGATCAATCTTGGTCCCACACAAAACATGAGGTTAAGAGAAAGAGATATTAAGTCATGCTCTATGGAAGTATTAGAAAGCTGAATCTCATAACCAGGCAGGATCAGTACTTCATCAGTGCAGCATTTCTCATTCCCAGTTTCCCTCCCCCCTCCCTTTATTTCCTTAATTACATCATGGCCTCTGTTATTTATCTATGGCTTTATAGAAATATTAGATGTGGGCAGGGAGGGTGATTTTCCAGCAAGGGAAATATCATCTTGATGTTCAAAGCAAGGCAGGACCGATATTGTGCAAGTAGAAGCTCCTTCTGGTGAGGCTTCTTCACTTTTTATACTATTTTTGTTTTTCTGTAATTTTTCTTTCCGTAAAAGGTAGGTAGAGTCTTATACTTGAGCTAAGTGGCCCAACTGATCAAAGACTCATCTTGGTTTCCTGAGCATGAAGTGGCTAGAGCTATCAGTACTCCCCCTGGATAGGATGCTGGTCTATCATGAGGTTACCCTCTAGCATTTCATCAGGCTTCCCTAGCAATTTGCTGGTACCCATTTATGCTCCTGGGTGGAGATAGGCGCTGTGAGAGTAGAGTGTTTCATCTGGCCAGGTCTCTAACCCTAACACTCGACCCTGAGTCCAGTACACTAATCATAAGGCTACCTCATCTCTCAGTTGTTCTTTATGTAGAGAAGTTGTAACATTGATAACCTAACAATCTTCGTTTGTGTGGAGGGCTTTCGGTCTTACAATTTGCTTCATTGGAATGATGGTTAAGTAAGTAACTTTTGTAGGTCTGCAGTAATTTTGCAGCATATCAAAATATTTTATTCCAATTTTTAGATATATGTATACATGCATAATTTTCTAAAAAGTTAAAACTTCTCTATTTGAGCAGCTTCTGTGAAACCTCGAGGTCTCATTCTTCATTGATAAATCATTTTATATACATGCTAACAGTTTTATATCCATCTTTCAGTGGCTAGAATGATATGTAATTAACACCCAAGTGGCATTCATTTTTTGATGGCCTTAGCTGGGGCCAGTTTATCATTAATTTCTGTGGTGCCATCAAATCCCTAAGAGGGTTTGCTATGTGTGTACAATGAAGGCAAACAACCAGTGGTTCAATGGCTATTTCCTGTGGCTTCAAAGAGGTTATGGCTTTTATAGCCTGCGTGTAAATGCTTCCTACACTTATGAAGCAACAGCAATACAAGACTTGTACACGGAGGCTTATTCAAAGGAATAAGACATACATAAAGCTGTTGTTGTTAGAAATTGGACGGGAACAGACGTCTTACAGCTTTGACTCCTGTCGAGTGCTTTTGTCACAGGTTTTCGGCTACAATGGTGACTGGTAAATTTGGAAACAGAAGACTATAACATTATCAAAGATGAAGGGATTAGATTTCGCTATTTATTGCCAATAATTGGCAACCGACAGGATTTCAACCTGATATGTGTCCTCGCTGCTAACGGGTTTGCTAATTCATCGTGGTCTTCCTTGAAGTCTGTTAAATGCATTGAATTCGGACCCGAATTTTCTCTTAATTCGCCGAACGATGTGAATAAAGGAACTGTGGCTGATCTTTTGAATGTTTCATGCGGACTCGTTGTTAAAGTATGAGACCGACGCATACGGTGTCCTGTGTAACTACACCTGCAATCTGGACTGGGGAATGGCGTGACGGCACTACACTGCCTAGCAAGGGACGGTGAATGGCTTCTTACCGAAGGTGGCTGGGCGGAATTAGCCCGTTCATGGACTAATTTAGTCGAGTTTCCGCTTCGCTGTGCTAAATTGGGATACACGGGACTGACCTGTTGTAACCTCCGCCTTTCTAGTCCTATTTGCGGTGTTTCCCGCACTGTTTGAATACCATTCAATTGCTTTACCAGTGTTTGCTGTTCTTTGAAGATGTTGCGATTTCTTATCACGTGTTCTAAGTGTATCGATCGAAGTTGGTCCTGCAGTCGTCTGTCTTCCAAGCTATTACAACGGCGAACTCTTGCCACACGATTAGAGAAGCACGAGGGAGGGTCTCTATTAAAGATGGACAGGTCCCCTTTACGCGTGATCGTCCGGTTTGACATTCTTCACTGTCCGAGTTCTCCGAGCGGAAGTTCTTCGGTTCTAATCGTTAAAATCGATTCCAAATAATTCTTACCAAAGCCCTACTTACTTTCCATATCAGTTCAATCGAAGTCCTTTCATCGATCGCAAATCATCATGAAAAAAACAAGCTGATGCCTCTTTGAACTAAGCTGAAAACGAGGCCTTTCGAATCTTTTCCGTTGTCTTCAGGGAAGAAGGCAAGTTTGAACGTTTTGCCGAACTGAAATAAAATCCAACAGGAAACGTCGCTGTTTAGTGGACTCTTTAAATTTCTCAAACGGTTCCACAGATGACACACAGTTTCCCTTGGACCGTTTCTAAAGTCTTGTTATAACGCTGTTCCTTGTCTTGGCAACGTCCTCGAATAGATTAGTCGATAAATACCACGCGAATTCTTGCTATCTCATTTCATACAAGTCCGGCTTAGTGGTTCGATTCATCAATCATTCAGCTTGTTTGTAACCATGGTCTCTTAAAAGAAATGGTTCGTGGGATAGCGCAAAAGCAAAAATGAACGTATTTGGTAATCTGTTTAGATCTTGGCGTGCGAAAGTGGTGCCAAATTTACTGATAATTATCTTGGTAGCCTAAGCGACTAGATATTGTTGTTAAAAAGCAATCAAGAGAAACCTTAGATGACCACAAGTAACTGAGACTAGATATATCATCACAGGTATAGAATATCATTGAGATATCAACAAGCTTTGATCTCTATGGTTTCTTATTAAAATTCTTTAGATTCCCTCCAAAGGTCTTGGCAAAGGAGGCATATCAGTTCCGTCTATCATCAGGCAGTCGTTATGAAACGTAAAGCAGACAGATTTAAGCAAACCAAACAGTTGCAGCAAAGTCATGATTCTTAACTTACCCACCAAAACTGGACCGAAGGAGGGTATCTGGTTAAAAAGAATAAATACCGTCAGCTAGATTAGAAGCCGGGCTTGTGCCTGGCAATCACGAGTAAGTAAAGAAATGGCATGCACGTGATCGCGCTATCGAATTTGCCCTATTGCGGGTCAGTCACCGGTTTCAGTCTAAGAGAGTCCAGTACCTCAGGGAGTTTCTTAGCATCATTTAGTGTTACTCAGTACCATTCCAGTGCATGATTCATGATGAGATTGCGTAATATATACAGTATTTTGTTACTTGTCAACCAACAGTTCATGTACTGACTGTATGATAGTGTTGCAGATAGGGAAACCGGGGAGTCTCTAGCGACCTGAAACCCTAAGTTTGAAGGAAGGTGTCGATGTCTAAAGGCCTTCGAAAATCTAAAATTTCCTGCAAGTCTTTTCCTTTGATTTGTAATCCGCATACCGAGGAGTTTTGTCCGCGATTGAATGTTTGGCGGTTTCGTTGCAGAATGTGTGGCCAGCCCTTTTGCTTTTTAAGAGAGAGGGTGGTTCATGGGCGAAGAAAGGTAGGGGCCTTACCCAACAAGCCCCTTCCAGCCTTCGGCCGAAATCGAACTTAGGCTCCTCGACACAGGCGCTCACGCTGCTTTGTTGTTAGAGATTTGAAACATGTCCCAGAGAAGATTCATTCACCCATGACTTGAAATAAACTGAGTAAACAACTGTCTTTCCTGATCATCAGCAAAATCTTAAGATTGACTGATATAAACTAGTGATCAGCATTATGATGAACATTAAATAAAAACTAATGTGAAAGTTAATTAAAATAGGGCATTTAATCAGTATTCTGAAAATGGTGTTAGTTGGGGATTAAGCCTAAGCTGACTGCATTTAATAAAAAGTCCCAGATGGTAGGGAAACGCTATAGGTGCGTGACATTTTCATGTAAAGCTCTGTCACGCAACCTTAAGCCCGCCATAGTAAGTCATAAATTCCGGTTTAACAATGACGTCAATCACAGTGTAGCTGATTTATTTTTTTTAAGGGGGAAGTGAGATGCCGTCCTGATTTTTCGAAGAAACCTGACTATCATGCGTCGAAATGTTTTCACTGCAGCTCGTGCCATGAAAATCACCATCGTTCACGATATTTTCGTTCATAACAATGTTCTCTTCTCTCTCGCAGCTCGAGTTATTTGCTTGTTCATCTTCACAGACGGGTACACAGTTGACTGTCAAACGTCTTTGCCTCCGGAAAGTGGTAACCTGGTGATAGCTGTTTACACCCTTGCTTTTATTTTCGCCGGAGATTTCGACCACTTGTCCATTAATTACTGTGGGTCTGCAATTTGTAGTGTGGCGCCTCTTTCCTGACTTTGCAGCCCTGGTAGAGCACAAATCTTGAGCATTAAGTTTGTTTTGTTCCGGCCCTTGACGCACGTCGAACGCACTTCCTTCCGAAATATTCGGTGCGCAGTTGGTGCTATAACTGCGCTGTCTTCGTTCTCTCGTACCTGATATCTGGCTGCTCCTCATCTCTTCACCACTCTTTTGCCAGCTGTTATCTCTAAATTCTGACCTTGGCATTGTCCAGCCATCTTTATTCAAAACGTGTCTCCTTCCTCTCCAAGCCCAGCCTGGGCTTTGTGAGAATTCGCGGTTCAACTTCACTGATCTACATCGATGATCTAGCCCTGATCCCTCGTGTTCAGTTCCGTCTGAGCCCAAAAGGTCACCTTTTTCGATGCTAAGTAGTCCGTCACTTCTCCTATTTCCTTCCCATGCAGATATCTGTGGATAAACACTAGTGCTGAGGCTTCTCTGGCCTGACTTCATATTTCGATTGACAGAGGCGAGATTTTTGGGCCAGAATTCCGAAGGCATTGTACAGATATTGCTGTTGAGACCCCATGGCTTTTTCTGAACGTTTTTTGAAAGTTCTTCCTCTCCTGAGCTTAAAGACGCAATGTTACTTTGGCTCTTGGATCTAAAACACACCTGCGGAAGCTTGGAAGAGGAGCTCTTCCTGTCACTGTCACCAGTAGATAATGAACGAAATCTTTCCGCTTTATGCCCAGTTAAACCGTATTGGCGAGTTTCTTTACAGGAGATCTGTTGGAGTAGCTTCCTCCTTTCGATACCAATGACTGGATTTTCTTTTACCTGTCGTATTTCACTGAGTTCTTTTCTCAGCATCTTTTTTTCGTGTGATATACGTGATTTGAAGTGCTCCTCCTCTGCTTTGAGAATATTGAGCTGTGTACCAAGGCGCTGGGATTCCATTCTGTTCAGACGGCGAATCGTGAAAACTCTGTTTGAAATAACTGAAGGGCTGTCCTCTTTCGGGGGAACCCAACCGTACGACATCCTTATGTTCTCGAAAATGAGTCAGATTTATTTTGAGTCAATATGTTTATGATCGCTTATTTCTCGAGAACCCCTTTTCACTAACCCAGCGTCGGTTTGTTTGAGCCAATCAGGCTTTGCGCTATACTATTTAGTTTCGCGTGCCGTCATTTCAATGTTTTCAGCATAGGTTATGTGGTTAATTAAAGGCGCAGATTAAATCCTAGCAGTAAACAGCTCGATATTTAGGGGCCTAATTCACTCGGTCCTAGTAAAAAAAGTTTACCCACAAATTAGGGCAAAACTACTCAAAAAGGGACATCAAACGAGTTTTCACTTTGCGGAGTTTCAAGGTTGTAAAGGATTTTTATCAAAGTAATATATCGGATCTCTAATTCTTGTCATTTCATTTGTCTCTCGTCCAGTAATCTTGAGTGCAGATCCTTCAACTCAAGTGGCAAATCCGTATACAAACTAAATAAAATAGTTTCGCTGTAGAAACTAATTAGTCTTCAAAATTGATACTTGACACCGAGGTGCTAAGTGTGATCAAGAGTAACCATGATATGATCCTCTGCAAGTTCCTTTTTTAAAATTGGTAACTTTGGTTTCTCGGTTTTCATACTCTTCTTTCAGTAAAGCGGCGTTCATTGCGACAGGCTGCAATGAAATCGTTGTGTAAATCTACTTTGTATGTGGGACTGTGTAAAGTTTAAAAAAAAATGATCAGATTTTCTGAATGCAAAAGCGCTTATTTAGTTAAGTTCACTTATCAGCAGTGTCAACTTGTCAGAATTCCTGTGTAGTCACATATGATCAGCTTTTAGACTATCTCGGTCTCTCGTACGACAGTTGAAAGATCAAGGCTTCACCATGTGTTGGCAGAGAAAAGACTGGGCAGAATAAATTTTCGCACTTGACATGCGTGTTGCAAATGCGTTCAACATGTCAACATGGCGGACCCACTGTTCGGTTTCAGTTCTGAGATTCCGGTACACTTTTAATTGTCATTTTTTTTTTACCGTAAAATTTTGTTGCCTATAATAGAGGAGTACGTAGTAATTTGAAGTCAGTATTGTACTTTACTAGGAATATATTTTCATTTTAAAGGCGTTTGAAGACGAAGCATTGTCTGAATTGGACCCATCGCTGACGAATCTCGCAGAAGGAGATGAATATGATCAACTAAACGACGACACATTTGGTGACGGAGCATTGGGTAAATTCTCTTGTTAAGCGTTTTAGTGTTAATTTTAAATGGAACTATTTAAAAAGTGACTTGAAAAGTGATTTCCAGATAGAACCACGTGGTAAATTAAATCCACTCAAAAGTGCAGTGCGTACGTGGAATTGAACAAAATTGTTTGTACTATACGCTGTAATGAAATGAACTCCTGTTCTGATCAAGAGACAGTTTTACGCTGTCTTTTTCCTTTTAAGTTTTCTTGCATCATAGAAGAAACATTTAGTGATATTTTTAGCTTATGTTGTTTTCGTTTGGGTTTTTAAAGGAGGTTCGTTTCAGGAAGCTCTCAGCATGGGCCTCCTGGCCATCGGAAACTTGCGTGCACAACTATCCTACGATTTAAGTCTGTCTTTTAGTTAAATTCTGAAAGGAGATTCAATTTACTTTTGAGTGAACGCTAGAGAAGGCAGTGAGACGCAACGAAGAGGCAACCATAATTGAATATTATCAACTGTCGTGGTTTGCATGGTTTTCAAGTCAGTTCATGATAAAATTGTACGAATCAAAATCTCACTTGGTAAAGATGCTACCTCACATTAAACCTAAATTTTAAATAACTCCTTGGATAATTTTACATCCTTTTTAGTGTTTTTAAAAAGCTAAAATTACTGTTACATGTAGCTATGTTGCCTGTTTTGCAGAAGATGATTGGGAATTTGGTCACAGAAAACTAGCAGGTTTGCCAGTAGAAGATGAAGCTTCAGAAAGAGCCCAATTTGATGAGTGGCTTAAGAAAAAGGGGCTTGGATCAACAGGTGATGGTTCTGAGGCAAAGTTTGTAGGAAGAAACATAGAGGAAGATTTTGAGGATGAGCTGGATCGAGAGGAGGTAAGCTTGCATTTCTGGTTGAGGGTGGTAATACAGCTAGATGTTTGTATACACATGACCAACTTGCTTTTTGTTTTGCATATTTTCCTAGTTACATGTAAGAACTTTTCAAGCCCGTCTGGTTTTTACTTTCCTTTTCTTGGATAGATTATATTTTGTATATTTTGAGTACGTTTTTTGTTATATTACCGTTTGTTTTATTAATTTTTTTTATAATTTTTTATGCAGCAGATTGCATTTTCTTGCAGAGCACATTTTTCTTTGAGCTAGCTTATTCTTCTTTGTTCAAGATCACAAAATGACAAAAAAAAATTAACCTGGTTTGGTTTTTTTAACCAAGCAACAATCAGGAATTCAGCACATTTATGAGTATACAATATGCAATTCTCTTTCTACTACTACATCTAGCAACCACTAGCACAACAAGTGTTTGTTGACAAGTCAATTTTGTGCGTGCTAAGACAAAACATATTTTTGAAGTCAACCAAAGATTTGCAAAACTTCACTGATAAGTAGCCAATCCTTATCAGGCAATTATTTGTTGAATTTGACAAATCATTTTTCCTTATTGCAACCTTTCAAATGCATGTACAATAATTACAAAATACAAGAGTGGTTGATGTGATAATGTGCCAGTATGGTAGTGGCATAGCAGGTAATTTAGTGTCAACAACTAGTGGCATAGTCTTCCAAGGTTTTTAAAGGCTAATATTAAATATAAACAAGCCCTCTGAGCCAAGCTGGCCAGATAAGCAATTTCCTGTGATTTTGTTACAATGATGTGCTGATAAGGAATACGTTTTGAAACATCGGTAAACAGGAAATTCTTGAGCAGAACTTGACAAAACTGGTAGATGATGATGATGGTGACTCTATCCCTGTACCTAAAACTTCCTCCAAGTATAAGGTAACTTGTATCTATTACTTTTAAACCACCTCTTGTTAATTTAATTTACATGATTCCTGACTCTATAGGCATATGGTACAGCTCAGAGGTACATGGCCCAGAATGTGCGTGAAAAGCGTGCTTAAAGTGTGCACACACATGCAACTTTTTAAAACACACTCAAAAAATGCATGCACATTACACTGTAGCCAACTTCAGTGTAATATCCAATAGTGCTCATTGCTCTGCTTACATCATTGTTGTATTCACTTAAATTGATGCTGCTACTTTTATTAGATTTTTAGTCTCTAGCATCAATAATGCAGCATTCACTCTCAGGCAGGGTTTGTTTCAATATCATATTTCTCCAATTGCAGACAACAATTACAATAAATCATTTTTAGATATTACATGTGTGTAAAACAGAAAATTGTTTCAAGTTGTATTGTCCCCCTGAGATACAATGGTAATTTATTAGTGTGTGTGTGTGGTAAGAAGGATGTGGCAGGTTACTAAGCTGTATGGTAACCATACTTACAATATTTTCTTATTATCATCCTGGAATGCAAACCATGCTCTTGTAATTTGATTAAGTGTCTTTTCAATTGTAGCTTTTATGGTAATTTTACTCCTTTCTGTGGCAGTTAGAGGAGAGTAGTGTTAAAGTGATTAAATTCAATACTTAAACAAAATAGCCTTAAGATTGTTTTCTTTTTGTACAGGACATCAAGTACCCATCAGGCATGAATCCAGCTTGGGATGGCACATCACCTCTCTCAAGTCCAACTTCAACTACTTCCTTACATGATCTGGTAAACGTTTAAGTCCTGAGCAGTTGTTTGTGAGCATTGAAGATATTATAATTACAAAGTCTCATTCATAGTGAAAACATAATTTATGGATTCCATTACCAAATACTTACAAGTATCTTTCAACTAAATTAAACCCATTTTTATTCTGAATGGTGTCCAATGTGTCGACATTTGAATCTTTAATTTGTTGGTTCTATTTTTTTTTAAGATCTCTCCATCTTCAAATATTTGGGGATCACCTAAACTTGACAAGGAAAACACCAACAAAGGACCAGCTAATACTCAGTCACCATTGACAGAGCTGCTTAAGGCAGAGGGCGAAAAGAAACATGTGCAGAGAAGGCCTTTTTCACCAGCCTTTGAGGTATGTGCAAAGCCTGTAGAAAACATGAATTTTTTTAAAAATCAATAATCCTTTCTTGTAGCATGAAAAGTTTGGCATTAATGTCAATAGTCCCCATTTTATAACAAGGTTCCACAAGTATTTACTTCCAAGTTTTACAAGTAGTAACCATTTCATGGCCTACATGTAAAGTGGCCAAATAATGATTGTGAAAAAACATTTGCATAGTAATGTTGTAAGTAGAAGTGTTAATTAGTTTGTAGATTTCACTTGTAACATGTTAAACCAAGGATCCATAATAGTTTTTTCAGAGACACATGATTTGTTATATGAACATGTACATGTGCTACTTAGTATTGTGCTGATCCTCAGCTTTCATTGCCTTTATAGGACGACTCAATTGTCCAGGCTGTGCCTCGCCAAACTCTTGTACCACCAAGTCGTTTCACAACAAAGCCTCATCCAGTTAATGCTATCAAATTAGAAGATCTGGAAAAGGAACTCACAACAGGTCGTGAAGGTGCCCCTCAGCAAGTTCCAGACATAGTTCGGCAAACACCTCATAATTCCATGATAGGACGACCACCTCCTGGCATTCCTAGGCCAATGATGACACCCCCAGGTTTCTCTTCTCCAGCACCAAGGATGGTTAGTTTATAATACTTTTTCGAATTTCTACCTGAACAAAATATATAGCCTTTTGCAGTTAATGATTCTGTACTTAAAAATTTAAAAAAAATTTCTTGAGGGAGAAGATGCCCTTTGGACATCCAAAACAAAGCAACTTCACTTGAATGAACATTTAGGTGCCACAGCACAATTTACTTTCCTGCTAGGTAGTTTTTTTGTATCATGTGACTGCCTTCTGCTGTTGGTCTATCACACTAACATAGTGGCTACTACTGCAAAAGGACACTTTTGGGGGCTAGAACGATCTGTCTTCCAAAGTACAATTTATACCCAGTTACCATCTCGCCTGAAAATTTCAAGATAATGTGGAACCATGAATTATACATTGTAGTTCAGAGAAAGCATGGTATTGCACTTTTCTAAACATATATTGAGGGAGAAAAATGTGTGTGGGTTTCTAGATAATCTCCTCAGGTTCCTTACTGTAGCACTAAGGCTAGTCTGTTATTCTTGCTTAGGATGATGTCAGGTGTCCATGTGGCACATGGCATTTAGTAGAACTCAGACTGGTGATCTTAGAATTTTCAGGCTACTACAGAGAATTTTGTGGCTCCTAAACAGATTTCTCAGTTCAGACCTCAACACATAATTATGAGGCCATTAAAGAGAATACTTTCAGGTTACTGCACAAAATTCTGAGGCTTCTATACAGTTACACTTTTAAGCTAGTCCACAGGATTCTTTGGCCACTGCATTCCCAAGCTACATGTGCTATTCACAATTTGCTGGCTACTAAGCTTAATTCTCATGCTACTGCACAGAATTTTCACATTACCACATAAAATTATTAGGCTTTTAGGAAGAATTTTGTGACTACAACTGTACTTCACCAAATTTTTTGGCTACTACACAAAGTTCTCTGGCTATAACTTGCACTTTTCAGGCTTTGTAGTACTATGCAGAATTCTCAGGGTTGAACACAGAATTCTTGGGTTACTACTCTGAATTCACTTGCCATATTTCAATTGTGTTCACGAGCTGTTATTTTGTGCAGCCTTACATAGTAAATTTTCCCCCATTACTTTTCATTATTTTCTTGCTACCTTATTTCTTAGCAAAAACTACAGTAGTGTTACTTAGCACTCCTATGGGTACACTATTCTGAGGCTATTAATACTGCTGTGCAGTAGATTAACGCATTGGAAAAACTTGAGAATAATGCATCTTATCACGTTTACAGAGTACCCCACGGATGCCTCCCCAGATGTTCCAACAAAGACCTAGTCCATCAAAGCATCCAATGCCAAGTATGTCTGGAATGACTGGAATGCCTAGAATGCCTGGCATGCCCAGTATGCCTGGTATGCCAGGCACCAGCCCTCACTTGATGAGGACACCAAGAACACCACATTATCCAAGACATCCATTTCCCATGGTCCACTCAGATCCTGGTAAGTTCTATTACTGTAAGCTACAGTAAATGAGCCACATGGATTAAATACCTTAGCACTTTTTGTGAACTTTTGTGAGTACAAGATGTACATGTACCATATGCAGGATCCTTAGAGTTTGTTTTGTCCTCAGCCCAAACTGTATGTGCTACCTGGTATAGACAGTCAAAAAGGTACAGCTCATGCTAAAACTCGGTGGCATTTTGCATTTAAGGTCACCTAATGATGAGGGGAGGTATGATGAATTTCCCAATGAGTCCACATCACCAAAGGTTCAGTAGCCCTCAGTTTCCAAACAGAAGATTTCAGGACCCAAGACAGAGCTATCAAAGGCACCAGTATGATGGCAGAATGTCAAATGATAATCGCTCACCCAGACAGCAGGACAGAGGTGAACACCATCACCAGTTTACTGATTTAGAGAAGAAAATTCACAGTATTTTGACAGCAGCTGAAAGTGGCCCAAACCGATTTGATCCCTACGCTGGTCTTATGACAAGACGAGAGAAAGAGTGGTTGATCAAGATTCAGCTTCTTCAGCTCACTAGCAATGAACCAGAACTAGATGATTACTATTTTCAGGTTAGATATGCATCATGATTGAGTTAAACCTTTTTACTTCAGTGTAAACCAAATGACTATAGGTTCAGTGCATCAGTCGCCTTGAATTATCAAGCAATTAGGGTTCGGCACGTGTTTTTTGTTATGCTGGAATCAATGAACAATGGGGTCACTGAGGTACCTTTGTAGGAATAGAAGGTTTTTCGTAGAGGCTGAGGGGTGACAGCCTTGAATGTCTTCAGTTGGTCCCAACTTTATGAGAAATATTTGGGAATTTAAAATTTTCAAAGAAACAAATCTAAAAGTACGGTGGTAGCAATATATTTTTAAAACAATTTTTAACCACCTTTAAGTGAAGAGAACCTGTTACTTGAACAAGCCCCTCTGAAGAGGTGCTTGACAATTACGTGTCCCAATTCAACATTTATATACATTAGTTATAATTGGTCACAGACGTGTACATGTATGAAGTTGTACAATCCAACTGTGGCAGGTGAAAAATGTTTTGTTTTGCTGTTTCTGCTGGATCATCTCTAGACATACACCAGACGGAAGGCTGCAAAGGAACGAGCAAAGCAAAGTGAGGGTGTACAGCATGATGTTGAAGATAACAGGGCAAGTGGAGCGCCAAGAAATATGGCCTTACCTCAGTTTGAACGAGAGAAAAAGAGCTACACCCCATGTAAGTACTTTTTTTTCCCTAAAGCTACGGGGATAAGGCAGAATAACTTAATTTTATCATACAGATACTCCACTTGCATATTGAGAAAATGGAGTCAAGGCTAAGTGGTGAAGTCGTTGGGCCCAAGATGCAAATAAACTTTCCGTTCGTGTTTTGTTTGTTTGTTTTTTTTCGGTCTAGATCTTTTGCGATCGGCGTTCAGAAAAGCAACCGCTACAACAGATAAGTTAGTCGTTTTACAATATTTCTCCCGGGAAGTTTACCTGTAAGTCTCTGCTGTTTTTGCTCAGGCCAGTTTATCGGGCTCGTACCCAACAAATCGAACGTGGCGCATTCATGAAGTGGGTAGTTAGATTTCTGCCTTTTTTATTTATCTTTTTTCCATTTTTGTAGTTGACTTTCAAGGTACTTTAGGGAAGGTTTCTTCATCATCTGTGCAGCATCCAAGACAAATGGTGGATCTAATGCACCTCAATAAGGCATCTGAACAGGTTAGGACCATACCCTTCCAACTGAGGAAGGTTCCCAGAATGAATAGAAAAACTAGTGTGTTTTGAAATTATTCCACTATTGTCGGATTTACTCGTTGTTTTGGGAAAAGTTAGCCTCGTACCCTCATGCCCTCATGCCTTCGTGCATTCAATAATTAACTGAGACCAAAGAGAAGCATTTTGCCTTGAAACTTTTAAATTGCATTTATTAGCAACTCAACTCGTTACTTGAGTTAGGAGTGTGATGTGTGTCGTCGTGTGTATCAGTTTTCCTCTCACAAAGTATGATTTTCCTCTGGATTTTTGGATTTCTTTTCATCTGCTCACCTTGATGAATTTTTACTTGATGATGATGAAGTTTCATGCGCTTTTGCCTATGGTCGACACTTAACGCTTGTAAATGCTCTTGTTGACGACATTCACGTGTTAAATGCGCTTTTGCCCACCGTCGACACTCAAGGCTAGTAGATGCCCTTGTTGACGACATTCACTTGTCGCTGTTCCCGAAGGCTTTCGTTTCAACCACTTAATACTGTAATTGGAGCGTTTTCATAATGCCTACCGTTGGAAATCTATTTCAAAAGTCTCCGTTTGCTCAGCATTTTCAGCGTTTTAATGAATGTGATCAGCGAAAACGCGTCAAGAAGTATGCAGTTTCGAACGAAGTAGCACTGGTGAGGACAAAGCTCAAGACTGTCAAAAACTTTTTTCGAGAGATTTTTGAGCTTTCTCTAATCGGGTTCCTATGAACAATGCTTAGTATTGATACATGTAACTTATGCACCAAAGATTAATGGAACCAAAAAAATTTCATTCAACCAGGAAAAGCAAGGAAGTTCAGCTCCTTTGAAGGACACGAAGCGACGCAGCCAGCTCTTACTTAATATTGAAAAGGTTTTTATTTTGTCTTATTTTCCACTTTCGAAGTACACGTTTTATCTACACTTTGTCTCATTCAGTTATCTTTGTAGCCCATGTTACTCCTGTGAGTGATTTTTTCCTTCTCTGTTTTTAGAGTTATGATTACCTTTTGAACATTGAAAGCTTAGAAAAAAGGTTAATTCATGTGGAAGAAAAAGAAAGGTAATAGAATTTTAGGTGTTCTGTTCAGTTTTAAGTAATAATGTGGTGTACAAAATGGTGAATTAGCATCCTGCAGGATTCCAAACTTAAATTTTTTTTCAAATCGCCATTCAGCGACCTAAACTCGTGAATTGGTTTCCGTTAATGAATTTAAACGCGCGCCTCTTCCCCACACCCAAAAAAAAAAAAAAAAAAAAAAAGAAAAAAGAAAAATATACAATCAAACAAACTAACAACAAAAAAAGTAACAAAACGAAAACAATAACAAAAAAAAAAGTGAAGAGAAAAGAAAAGAAAACCAAAGTGCTCTGTGAGCAAACTCGTGAATTGACACATGACTGTGTGTTTTAAACATGTATCATTTTTGTCTTTGGTTCAAAAGAAAAGGTTGGAAGTAAATGTGGTTGAAAAGTGAAATTTACTGTGTATCATTGTAAATATTGGAAAATTAAGGCAATGAAAATATTAATGATTCCCTCTTTATCAAATGAGACAAACGGGAACGAGTTTTGAGTGATATAACTGAGCCCAGACTGCCACCGTCATTTTGGATTTCCGCCTGGGTAGATTTTGGTCACGTGCTAGGCAACGTATAATCAAGAGCAAGATTGAATTTCATTTCAGGCCTATTTATCAATTTTGTGGTGTATGACTTTCGCATTTTAGTACGTAATATTTATTTTGAATCTTCAAATTGTCTTGAAACTTAAAATAAAATTGTTCTTTAAAATTCACTGAAACTGAAACTGTCAAAGCTTGGAGCGCATTGTACTTTTTATTTTTTGACGTTGTTTGGCTCCTTACTGTGTTGAAATGCTGTCACATTTTTTCTGATGTTGTTCTATCCTTTTTTTCAGGAATGAACTCTGTGAAGCCAGGCAAAGCAATGTGAAGAAGCTGTTTGATCTCTTAAACCTTTCTACGGAAGGTTCCTCAAAGTATGTTGCGATATGTAGTCTATGCACCTGTTAGCTATTCTCAAAAATACATGTACAGCCTTTGTCCTGAATTTTTCCCTCTCCTTGCTTATAAAGTGTTGCAGCATTTGCATGTGGCTGAAATACCATTAAGATTCATGAACACAAGCAAGTAAAAAGTTAATCTTTGCCACATAGTTTTGATGTTAAACTTTTAAGAAACATAATGCTTACGTTATTTTGCCTCCACTACTTAATTTGGCACACAAAGTGATGATATCTGGGTGCGAAGGCTAGCCAATTAATGACCTCAAATTACAAACTACAGTCCCAGAACGTTCCTCGCGCCTCGCACCCATCTCCAGCCCTCCGATACGTGACGGCGAAATAGCAATTTATGCTAATTAGAAGTAACACAAATTACATTTTACAATATGTGGATCTAATTATGAATTGAGTTAATTGATTTTGCTTTCCATGTTTCCCTCAGGGGTGATGACGAACTCTTTGTGCAGTTCATATCAGTCCATAAAGGAAAACGTCTTCTTAGTAGAGCTCTACCCTTATTTAGCACGGTAAGGCGTGAGGTCGCGGTTTTTGGCCCACTGTAGCTCTGTTCTCTGTTAATTCTTTTGATAATCTTTGCCCAAACTCCTTGTGTGGTTTTCATGACAGGTTCAAATGGAAGCTGTGTTGATGGCAATTGCTAGGAATATTTTGGCACTAATAAAAAGAGACAACACTGAACCGGTGAGTAAAGAATTAGCTAATCAACTATTATAAAATGTCAACTTCAAAAGATGAAATTAAGTCAGTGGTCTTAAGGAGATTTGAGATTGGCGGCTGCTTTGGTACCGAATCTATCCCTAGAAACACCGTCATTCTCTTGCAAAGAGGAAGAATTGAATTCTTCAATTGAATAATTGGCAGTTCGGAATGGAACACCCGCTCGAGCTTTGGTGGAGGGTGGTTGTTAGTGAAAGCAGCGCATATCATCTCCTTTCCCTGAAATTATATTAATGGTTAGGAACTTTGAGTATGATCACTTTCACATTTTCTCGTTTTAATACCTGCAGAGCTTGCAACATTTAATGGTTCCTCTTAATCGAGCTTCTGAACTGGCATCTCCTACAGTGGTAATTCAGTGTCTTAAGGACATAGTGTCTACACCTGGTATCTCCGTCTCACAAGGGTCATCACTTAGTGCAGTTCTTCTCAATCAGGTCAGTGTGAAAGTGACATACAGTGTATCATCGTAATAATTTATTTTGTATCGCTGCCTGGTTTGGTCAGTTGGTAGAGCATCGGATTGGGGTTCGTTCCTTCGACCTTAACAATACTTAGGTCTTAAAAAAACGTAGTAGAATGTGTTGCCTTGGCAATTTACTTGCAAATTGTTAGACTTTGTTGTGTTGTCGTATATTGATAATAAATCGTTGCCCCGTAGCCAGCATCTTCACTGCTATGGTTGGTTGTAGATATTAAAGAACCTTGACACCTCCACAATGTATAGTTGGACACAGCACTGTTGGTGTTGTGGTCTGGTCTTTGTTCGTGTCCAATAAGGTTCTTAAATAAATACTTGTAACGATCTAGTAAGCAAACTAACAAAGGTACATGTAAGTGAACAGCTCGGGCAGCGTCAACGTTTGGGGGTCAGGCTCAAGAGCAAGTTGCCGTAAACTTGTTTGTTATAAGGGCCCGAACTTTATTGATGTAGAAACTTCACCCATGTTACTATGTGCTTCTTTCTGCGGAATGTATCACTTGAAACCAGGAACTATTGCATGATAATTGTCATTATAAAAGTGATATGCAACCAATCTTCGAACAAACGATTTTATTTGTGGCGATAATTTCGGTGAAGAGGATATCAAGCTGGCGTCATCTGTTTGTTTTCAGTTTGGCGTAGGACTTCTGAGCATACTGCTAGGGAGAGCAATTGTGATTTCGAACAGTCTCACTGAATCAGATGATGAGATGCGGAAATCTTGGTACAGTACAATATTTTCTCTTTTATTCATTCAACTTGCTCTTAGAGATACTAAGAGACATGTCCAGACAAAGCATTGTATCTTTGTAAAATTTAATTTCTCCGAAACCGATTTATTAATTATGGTAAAATATGAAGTGTAGGGAAACTCACATAATCTGAAGCTCTGTGAAGTGTGCACCAGTGATACTTGCTTTATGAGTGGACACTAAATTAACTTGCTGAGTTTTCCAATTCTCAAATACACGAAGCTTACTTACTTTAATTTTTGTTTGGAAGGTATTCATCAAACTTAGGTTTCCTCTGCATCTAGGAAAAACACCAAGGCTTCGCTTTATCATGGCATAGCAAGAGATAAACAGTCGGTTTTGGAAAAGCAAGAAATATTTTATCGTTATTTCAAACAAATTCACTTTTAATGTGTTGTTCCTTGATTTTTTGGTAAGGTTGAACATTGTTTCTCAAGTTTCAAGCAAGTTTCAGGACATACCAGTAAAACAGCTGGGAAGAAACCTTGAAGCCGCCGACAGATTAGTCGCGCTATTGTCAACCTGTACTGATGTACAGACTAAAGCTTTATTACAGGAACACTTAAGGTCTGGTACAAAACATTAATTCAATTTTTTGAGTGAATTTTTGGTACATGTATTCCATGTGGTGTAGTTTTTCACAAGGCTGTGCTTCAGCATTACGGTGCCATAGGCAACTAGCTTAAGGCACTCGGCAGTTCTTTTTAAGGCTCAGCCTTGTTTTAGAAAAAACCAGGAAAGATTTATTACTCGACGTTTCGGGGTCATCGTGACTCCATTATCAAGAGACTAGTTTAAAAACATGCAAATAAGGAAAGGTACAAGAATAGCATAAATTAGAATGAACGGCTTAAACAAACACCTTGGCGCGGATGGAATCCGTTTGCACGTTCAGTGTTGGCTTACGCATGCGAATATACAACATTTCATTAACAAGGCAATCAAATTTGCCGTTACATTTCGCGATGACGTTGAATTGCTCGATCAAGCGTTCAGGCATTTCACTATTGTGCTGGAGGTGGTAGTGTTTGTAGATAGAAGATGATTTCCTTGTGTGCCCTTCTACGCGCTCGTGTAAGTGACCACGAGTATAGCCCACATACCCTGCATCACACAGGTTACATTTAAATTCATAAACGATACATTGTTGGTTAACAATAGGGGGCTTAATTTCGTGTTGCTTAAGCTGTTGATCGAGCTTAGGGCTAACGAACACTGGTTGGACAGTCACGCTTAACTTCGAGCTTAGACTGTTCAGTTGTTGTTTAACATGATTAGCTGACGACTGGTCCTTGAAGGGTAACACTAATCTCACAATCTCCGATGGTACGTCTGGTGATGGACAGGGATCTGCAGATGAAATCCTTCTCTCAACGAACCGCTTAATTGTAGTTTCAACCAGTGGCTTTGGGTATTTCAAGTTATGAAAAAACCCTCTAAGGCGGTCACATTCCTCGGAGAAGAAAGACCAGTTAGAAGATAATCGATAAGCGCGATCCACCATGGTGTTAACTAGGCTGCGCTTGTACTTAATGTCAACATGACTCTGGAAATGCAGAAGGAGACCCGTGTTGGTTCTTTTGATGTAGACCTTGCTCTCAATCTTTGGTGCACGGTTAAGCAGTTCAGTTCCTAGAAAGGGAAGGGATCCTTCCCGTTCGACTTCCATGGTAAACTGGAGGGAGGGATGGGTAGAGTTAAGGGTGTCTAGAAACTGGCCAGCGGTCACCCTATCAGGCATTACGGTCAGGGTGTCATCGACGTACCTCCGGTAATAGCGCGGAAGTTGACCGTGTTGTTCGAGGTTTTCCTCAATCGAGCACATGAAGACGTTAGCCAGCAACGGTCCAAGGGGAGAACCCATAGCGACTCCATCTGTCTGCTCATATAAAGCACCGTCAAACTGGAAAAGCTGGTTTTCGTAGCTGCTCGGAGGAGGTCGATTAGGTCCGTTTTAGAGATGTTCAAGCTGTGCGTCTCGTTGAACCAATCCTGGGCAAAGGCTTTTTCAGCTAAGATCTGTATTGTTTCCTCCAATGGTACATTTGTAAACAATGAGGTGACGTCATAGGAAACTAAAATTTCGCCGTTCTTGATCTCGAAGCCTCGTACTTCATCAGCAAAGCGGAATGTGTCTGTCACTGTATATTGGTTGCACGACAGGGGTTTCAATTTGTCGTCAAGCCATTTCGCTAGCGAGTAATTGTAGGTGTTAGTAGCAGAGAGTATTGGCCGCACGGCCAACTGTTCTTTATGTGTCTTCGGCAAGCCATACAAGTGTGCGAGTCTGGACCCTTTCGGGCGGAGAGCGTCAGCAATGGATTTCGGTAGAATCTTTCGAACGAGAGTTTCGAACGAGAGTTTCCAACTCCCTTTCTTTCTGAAGGAGAGGGTGGTAATACTTAGGAGGTCGTCCTCTGGTTCTCGGTCTCTCCGAGTCGACGAATCGGAATTTGCTGGTATCGTTTACTGACGCTTCGGATAGTAGGCGAAGATATTCTGATTTATCCATAACAACAACACCAGACCCTTTATCCGGTTTTGTGACAACGATGTCATCGCGTTTTTTCAGATCTTCAATAGCTTGCAAGAGGGCTTTAGGAGGTTTTGGGCTACTCTTATTAATATACTCTAGCGCAACAGATCGTAAGGTTGCGGCTGCTAGTTCGCGTGAATTCTCGTTTGGTAGATGCCGTTCAAGGTTCCAGTATGCTTTCTCGAAGCTTGCCTTGATCTCAACTGGGGACACTCTTTGTGGGATCGCAAATTTCAGGCCACGACAGAGAACCAATTTTTGGAAGAACGATAGTTCATAAGAGGAAATATTCAGGATGTGTTCGTCGACGTCAGTTTCTCTGTAGAGAAGCCTTGAGATCTTTCGAGTGTGAGTGTTCGTAACTTCAAGTTGGAGTTTATTCCGAAGCATAGTGATGGTTCGTAAGATGCACATATAGCGGAATAGTGAACAGGTCTGACGGATTTCATCATAGATGCCATTGATTTCCTCTCGAAGTACCATACTCTCCTGTATTCTTACTCTGAGCTCCTCCGCGATCACGTTCTTTGTAAAGGAAGCAGATGATTTCTTCCACTTAGCACGCCTATCTTTGTCGATCTTGGCAAAAGTAGGTGTGAGTTCGAAGCTCTGGCATAGTCGTAGAAAGTTGATTGATCCCTCGCAGTTGATTTGCTTTTTGCTACAGCGTTCGAGTTTCCAAAACAGATGTAAATGTGATGCAGGGTATGTGGGCTATACTCGTGGTCACTTACACGAGCGCGTAGAAGGGCACACAAGGAAATCATCTTCTATCTACAAACACTACCACCTCCAGCACAATAGTGAAATGCCTGAACGCTTGATCGAGCAATTCAACGTCATCGCGAAATGTAACGGCAAATTTGATTGCCTTGTTAATGAAATGTTGTATATTCGCATGCGTAAGCCAACACTGAACGTGCAAACGGATTCCATCCGCGCCAAGGTGTTTGTTTAAGCCGTTCATTCTAATTTATGCTATTCTTGTACCTTTCCTTATTTGCATGTTTTTAAACTAGTCTCTTGATAATGGAGTCACGATGACCCCGAAACGTCGAGTAATAAATCTTTCCTGGTTTTTTCTATGCCTTTGCTTTAGCAAATCCCTGCTGATCAAGCCTTGTTTTGCATCCAAAAAAGTTTGTTACTGATGGTAGTGCCAATTTTGTTGCTTTTTTCTAACTGATGTCTGTGTTTTCCCTTAGATTGGCGGCTTCTGCTTAGTCAGAAATCTCAGCTTAGGATGTGACACTGCTGTTTTGGAATAGACAGCAAATAAACTCAAGCTAATTGAATTGAGAATGGTTTTTGCGCGAGCTTTGACTCGCCATATTATGCTTTTTGTTTGTTATTATTGTATAAACTTTGCTCTGTGAAATGTTGTAAATACTGTATCACCTATTCTTGCCAAATTTCTATGTAAAAGGAAGTATACACTCCCTAAAAGTATAAGTGGGTTATCATGACAAAGAAGTTGTCCGCTTAAGCAAATTATTAATGTAACTGTTGACGGACCACGGAACGCACCAAGGTAAAAAGTTACCCCTGTGGGTAATGTCAAGATTTCAGCAACGTTTGACAATATTCATTATTTTGATAGTACAATGCTGTACTAGGACACACTGGGGGAGGGATTTTTTTTTTTGGGGGGGGGGGTGAGGAATACTTACCTTTTGTCAACTTTTAACTGATGTCTGAGAAGAATCATCAGGGTTATACTTCATGAACAACTCCATTTAATAACCCCATCCATAAATTTCAGTTCGTTAGTGAAAAAGTTCTGTAGGCAACAAAACTGAAAAGCTGCGTATTTCCTTTGCAGTCTTTCGTTTTGACCATTTAGAAACAAGAACACTGTAATTTTGGTAGTGAAAAAAAAAAGGAAAGAGGAAAGAAACAATAACCGACAGTCTTTTGACCCCGATGAAATTAGACTTGTTTTTTCATATTCAGGAAATTGTTGTGTAGAAATCAATAGGACCATACCTTTTACTCTGACGCACTATTTTTGATACCCTATCTGTTTTGTATTGTGGTTGGCTGCAGATATTATGCCACATATGCAATGCTGGCCACTTGTTTGTTTTTGACTCAAACCCCTAAAAACATGGCTCAGATAGTCGAGTTTCGCTAAAATTTATGGTTTAGTGGAAACGTGGAGGTATAATATTTTCCGTATCTCCTATCTATTTTCATTACATTTATTTGGAGGTAAAGTTACTGTATTGGCAAAATAGCCAACCGTGATCGATATATGTCTACTGATATTGAAAAGAAAAGATGCACATGAATCACTTGTGGTAATGAGAAGTATCAAATATGAGAGTCAGAGAGCCATTAAGGGATGCACGTTGGTTATTTTTCCCCTATGACAGGTTTCTTTATTACTCTCTCATTGAAACAATCATTTTTTTATTGTGAAAAATTCCCTGGATGTACGAGCTGAAATTTCATTACTTGGCGTGAGTGCAAGCAGTTACCTGTTGGAGATTATGTAGAAGTCATTTATGAGGTCGTTCCAGAAGATGCAAGGGAATTTCGCCTATTTTCGACGAAGGCCTAGGAGGGTTATTACATCATTTCTTTTGTGTACTGCATGCTTGCTTTCTTGTGAAATGTGCGTGTTGTGATCAATGCAAGTGAATTTCTCTGTGAAGTGGAAATCGTCGATTTATCCATAGTTATTAAATTACACTAATTATTAAAATTTATAAAACCCGAAGTGTACTCGGAGTCTATGCACCAATGAATTACTGGGATGAACATGTTTACTTAAATATGACACCTACACATTGAAAAAGAAAACATTGTAAATAAACTATTAACGCGAATGGTTTGTGTATTTCTGGCAATCAAGTGAACCTGGTAAATCGATCCAGTCGCACAATCATGCACACTGGATCATTTTCTAAGAAGATAAAACTGATATTTGCTTCTGGTGTTAGTAGTTCTTCAGAAACTCGGGCTTTTAGTTTGACACAGTAAACCTGGAATTACAGTAGTTCAATGGTCTGTGGGCCAGATACTCTATGTTTACTTGATAAAGTACA